GTGTAGAGGGTCACTTAATAACCTTTTATTCGGATATCCTTCCTCTACGACCGTGGCCCCTGTCTTTTACCTTTTGCATTAATAATTTACCTACTGATTGACCCTGATGATGCGTTTTTTGTGTAAATTTATTAATCGTTTACGCTCCGTAGGCATAGGTGGAAAAATTAGAATTAATGAAATTGTATAATAATACCGTTGAAAACTTGGAGAACTTGACATTGCAGCATTTTTTAATTCCTCGTTTGTAGTAGACGTATCTTTTAATTTTCACATGAGTGAACACGACGGTAATTATCGTAATGCAGTAGTAGTAACCCTGACCTGGGCAAAGGAGACGTGTATGGCTCTTGGAACTGAATTAAATACAATTAGGTAAGTTACCCATTGACGGAAATTGAAAAAATGACACCAAGAAATTTGATTTTAAACTTGAAGACGTGACTGACACCTGATGGATATACAAATTTTTCCGTGCATTGTCTACCAATTGGTAGGTGGATTTCTAAAAAGCCTTGCTTATTACCTACTCACGTTGTTGCCACATTCGCTTCTTAAAGGTTGTGCTGAGCTGATGGTGGACACTGTTAACTAAGAAAACGAAGACCAGAATTTGTCCTTTATTAATCCATCGAGATTGAAGAACTGCATGAAACACAAATAAATAACTCTTTGGAAATATACAGTCTAACCCGGTTACCATAGACAGATACGTGCAAATTTGCTGATAACGGTTGATAAGATTTCTGTTTCGTAATGTTCAAATGATCAGAATGCTATTAGTGGCGACAGGTTCAAATTTAACATTTTTGTAATAGTAATATCAAAGAGTAACCATATTCTTTGGTAATATCAAGCATCTGAGCTCATTATTTGCTTTATTTTGAATGTGTAAAATCGGAATTCGAAGTCCCATATCTTTTCTATTTGGGGAAAGGTACAGTTCATTTCGAAGGAAGAGGTGAATTGCAGATTCGCCAAAAACTCTCTAAAAAAGCAACAGTCAACGTAGACTGAGAGACGAACCGGCTTGGAAAAGGCGAACCACACCTGACTTGTGGTGGTGCATATTCTAAACCAAGTTACTAAATTGTTCATAAATTTAATCCAATGGGCGTACAAGGGTCTAAACTTCTGCACTTGCAATTTTGATCCCAACTGGAACAGAAGGTATTTTTTGTAACATGTATTCTCGACGGAAATTGACACTGAAAATAATAAAAAAAAGGAAAATAGAACAGCACTTAATTAACTAATAATTAAACCATTCCCACGATCTTCATTTCCATTAGAATGGAAAATATTTCAAAAACTGCTCCGGTAAGTAACAATGAATATCATTAAAAGGTAGGTCCGTACCATAGCCGTTCATACAAGTTAATTTAAAATACGAATTACATTAAAATGCCAAATAAGTAAATTAATTAACTCCGTATACTTACACACGTTGAGATAATGTTTATAAAAATTACTAGGTCAAGTGCAACAACTTTGAGAAGGTATTGTTACCTTCCTAGAATGCACTTAAAAATTATTAATTCAGAAAGTGAAAATGTTTTGGGTCAAGTTGGTAGATTTTTTTTAATTCCTCGACGGCGGCGTAGTAAAAAATGAAAATCTCGTAATCAATCAAAAATCGAATTGCTCGACCTCCGGAAGCCTGATCAAGGATTTTCTACTTGTACACCTCATAAAATTTAATAGCCGTTCCACATACGATGATCGAATCGTCTAACCTTGTGGATTTAGACTGCGACTTATGTGTTCAACTTAATATTTATAGGTCTTTTGGGGCAAGGCTCTCTGCATAGCAAATATCAGATTAATTGGTATAAGTAATGACAGCGTGACCCCGACTTAACTTCTCCTTTTTAACAAGATTTAACCCTGTCGTAGTAATTTTTCCTTGCGAAGTCGGCGTGAACTTCTTTTCCCTACGTCCATTTGGAAATAATCAACTAAAAAGCTTTTTCAACAGAAATACTGTCAACGTATCCGCACCTACGCCACCCTTGCTTACATCAGCAACTGCCGATTAAACTTAAGAGTCAAAACAGGTTTTTCATGTTGCTTGTCGTAAATACACAAAAGACAATCTTTCTGCCAAATGCCGTATAATTGTCCTAACAAAAGATCAAAATTGATTTATTGTCTCTCTTGTTCTGGACAGGCTTGCGCCCAATTACAGACCGGCCCGCATGCCCCTGCAGACGAATATCTGGGCAGATTGAGACTTTCCTCATAAGAGGTAAGGACGGAAAGATCTCCAATATCTCCAAGCATTTAGAAACTTTATTGAGATTTTATTCGCAATGTTTTTCCACCACCAGCTAGCTGATTAGAGCGATAAATTTTCAAAGTAAAATTTGTCACACTGCGCATGCGCAAAACCAAAAAATATTGGCATACACGTAATCTTTGGACCAAGCCCTTTCAAATGAGCCCCATATCGCCCAAATCGGTTCAGTGGTGTAAAAGGAGTGCGTGTGACGGACGGACGACCGACAAAGCGCAGCCAATAGCGATTTTTCACCATGAGGAAAATACGCTAAAAATCTAGATAATTAACGCCAGGACAAAAGATCGTATCAATTAAAATTTAATTTAACTAACAAGATTAATTGGTTTGCGTTCCGTCGTTATTTATAAAAACATACAAATTCGTTCACGGAATGCTAAATTGACTTCAAGTATAAATTTTTATAGAAAATCCCCAAAACGATCGACTTCTATTGTTACACAATGCAAAAAAATCAAAATAACTTACATTTATCGATGAGTCAAAGTTTTCTCCCATTGCCAGTTGGATAGTGGAACTTTTTGTGCAATACAATCGACCCTTTTGTATCACCTAGTAACCGGACCGCCCGATGAAAGTAAATCTCAGAAGACGCAATGAAAGTTCTGCACCTGGGACCACAACGCTTTCCTGGTAGCAATTTATTTTAACGCGAGCACGCTAATCATATAATGCAATAACAGGCAAATGTTCACTTACATATTAAGAAAGTAACATATTCGCACTGTATGTATGAAGATTTAAGGCCGATTCACATTATCGGTCACGTCACAGTCAGATCACGGTGCGGTCATAGCGTGTATTTCTTAATTTTTGGTGCATTATCGCGGTTTTCTAACTTATCAAAGAAGGCCAACTAAACCAATATTTATTGCGTTTTACTGAATACACTTTTTAATTATCTAATTAGGGGCACGTCACTGCAATTAGTCGCAATAATGGGTATTTGTTCAGTGTACGATACAGCTGTAACTCTAACAAGTTAGAATGCACTTCTTGTAATTCTTATTATCATCGTCAATGTGCAAATGTGAAACGCGAAGATTTACAAGTTCTGAAATCTCAAAATTTAGAGTGGAGATGTAATACCTGCTTAGCTAAATTGAAAGACGCGGATGGCAATGGACAAACAAAGTGCGTCTACCTGGATATTTTTTGGGTTACTCAATTTAGCCTATTCCTGATGCAGTATTTTAAAAATAAACGTGAAATGCTCTAATTTGGAAATAAAATTTATATGTTATCTTTGTAAATCATTTTACCAGATTTTTAACTTTCCATTAACATAAACCGATTCAGCCGTTTAGTCGGAAATAAGGTTCAGACGAACCGCCGACCGACAGACACACAAACCGACAGCATCGAGATTTTCTTTTATTCGGATTCCTGGTGCGTCAAAACGTGTATTTCGGCACTGAATCAATTTTATTCAATGATTTCGGTCAAAAAAGTGAGGTGTCATTGTTTATCCCAACGCAATACCTCCCTTACTAACTTGCGGGTGGTAAAAATGATGAATAGCAGCTAAACGACTCATTTTAGATATTATGTATAACACACAGTCACACTCAAATTGACCAAGAAATCGAAATATGCAAAAATATACAGGGAGTTTTATTTAAAAAACGCAACTTTGATATAAATCACCCTATATAACCGCATTGCAATCGACGTGCCTCGACAATGAATTTTAAATATGTGTGTTAATAAACCCACAATCTTCCACCCACGCGCTAATAGCCTACCCTGTTTTGACAGGTTGAAAAGAAATTTCACACAGAAAGAACGAGTCGCATCCATTTTATTCCTCATGGCCGGTGGCTAATCCTTTATCGACTTGATGGCACCTCGAGAATGTTCTAGAAGGATCGCTACAATATAAGACGGCATATAATAAGAATTTTCGACCCACTAACTGTTAGTGCCCCTTACTACCGACTACGCAGTTTTCTTTCCAACAACAAAAATTTTTCAATCATCTGAAGATGGGTAGACAGAGATATTTTAACATTTCAGTAAAAAACCAAAGACCGACTTGCCCTTTAATAAGTTTTGTATAACAGTAACCGCACCACGATCTCTATTTTTGTAGAAATTTATCGGCATTTTGTTTCGAGTGACGTAATGTTAATGATTCGATGAAATGTCCACGTTCCAACACGCCTAGGAGCCTAGGAAAGTTCGTATTGCTTTTGGAAACTATGCACCAAACGTAGGTACTTTGGTATATAAAAAGAGTAACTGTAAAGAGGAAGGTCATGCACTTACTTTTAAAGCTCCTTACTAAGGACGTTCTGGTAGCGACAAATGCTTAGCCATTTATTTGCACTTAAAGGCATTAAAATAAAGATTAGCATAGTAGTATTAGGACTTCTTTAGGAAACCCATATCTAGGATATTGTAAAAAATACGTTACCGTTCTAAAAAAAATGAGAGAGATGTACCTACGTCTAATTAGACTAATTGGTAAAGAAAGTTGCAAGTATTGTATAAACCGAAGGTATAGCAACACACAATTAAATACCAGAGAAAGTTTTTATATTATGAATTGTTAAAACCGATTAACAAAATTAAGAATACGGAATATCGTAAAAGATAAACCAATACTATTAATACTATTACATGGCAAGCGTTACGGTAGGTCACGTACTCGACCGTGACACTAACTAAAGGTAAAGTGAATTCAAAGCCGACAAGGACTACTGATCTTATTAGTATATTTTATAAAAAAGAGAGGGAAACGACACCACCTCTAAAGCACGATTTCAACAACCGCAGTTATAAAAGCCAGAAGATGTTAATATTGACAACAGTTTGTCGATGAAAGCTAGGTCATAAGACAAGTGTGTTGTGGCAGTGGCGAAAGTTCAGACACGTGCTTGCTAGTGACATACTTACTCCATAAGAACTCTTAAAAGACTGCATTAGTGATAACTGTTTTGTGATATTAGATTATAAGTGCAAGATGCCGTCCGCAATTGAGGATCAAATGCAAGAAATTAACGACAAACTGGGCGTTCTTCCCATTTCGACAAGTAAAATACTGGAACCGCGAGATAGCATCTCTTCAATCGATAGTGACGTTTCTTTATCGTTCGACGAAAAACCGAAAGAAAGTACCACGGAAAATGAAGATGAAGGTGCGCACATGGCTGACTTATCTGACAGCGCGTCCGACACCGGTTCTCGAGATGGTGGAGGTAAAGATTCCGGTTGCGAGGTTACGCCTGAGGTAACGGAACCGCCGTTTACACCACCCTCCGATGAGCTTTCGGAAAAAATAGTGGCCCAAGTAGAGTTTTACTTTAGCGATCCAAATATCACCAAGGATGCATTTTTACTTAAGCACGTCAAACGCAACAAAGAAGGATATGTCTCCTTAAAACTCATATCTAGCTTTAAAAGGGTGAAACACTTGACCAAGGATTGGAGGGTAGTCGCGCATGCTTTGGCACGATCGACTAAGCTCGAGATTAATGAAGCCGGTACAAAGCTGAGGCGCAAAGAACCGCTACCACAGTACGACGAAACCACCCCCTCACGTACTATTGTGGCTGTTCATATGCCGATTGAGAAAGTGACGATTGAGAACGTAGCTGAACTGTTTCGGACATGCGGTGAAATCGCCTTGGTCCGAATTTTAAGACCTGGAAATCCAATACCGGCCGACGTTAGACAGTTTATCAACAAAAACCCTTCGCTAAACGGCCTTGTTTGTGCACTCGTGGAGTTTGTCATATCCGAATCTGCTCGAAACGCCATCAAGTTGCAGGAATTGTACGGAGAAAACATGAAAGTAAGTTCACATCGCCTTTTCCTTCCTATTAACCCTTATTTCTCTAGGTATACGAACTAAACGGCGTTCCTCACATGGAGCGTAAGAAGAAAAACAACCACAAGACCAACAAACCTCGAATCGCCCACGATTTGCCTGAATACTCGACTAACTCATCCTGTCCAAGTAGCTCGGAAGCAGAAGATTTGCGCTTAAAATTCGACCCTCGAAGAATACGAAGAGGATCGTCGATTAATTTCCCCTCAAAATGTACGGAACCGGCCGCTTGGTTGCAAAGAAGACTGTCGGCATCGAGTACAGAGGCGCACTTCATGTTCATCCCACGACGCATGTCGAACAGCAGCCGCGATTCCAGCGACTCAAATTTGTTTTTGCCGCGCAAATACAGCACCTGCAGCAGTATCAGCATGGACGGCTCCAGTTTTATTACTCGAAGAATGTCCTCCTGTAGCCAATCGTCCGAAAATGGGTGTGCAAGATCTAGAAGTAACAGCGCGGCGTTTCCCGAAAACATCGTTCGAATGCCACAGGGACCCGACGGCTCCAAAGGATTCAGGCAACGATTTCAATTAAGTAACTGAAACACAGGGTGCTCTCGTCAATTAATCTAATTGCATTAACACATTGATGGGATACTCGATTTATTGAATGAATCGAGTAACCGTTAAAACCGGATTATTTCAATTAAATAGACACCGTGACCTCCTTCATCTGAATTTGTTAGTCACGTTTCGTTTACTACTTTCACCTAAATACACTTGTAATTCTTTTCCATATAACAAAAAATATTTTTCGTAAAGTTTCACTTCAAATTAGACGCACTTCTAACATCTAATTAATTTATCTCGCTTTTCCTACTTATTTATTTATTAGTTTTGCAAATGTGCAAAATTTGTTAATTGTACGTACTATGTATTTCATTATACACTATGTGAATAATGTCTTTGACATGTAAATATTATTTATTGATACAAAAAGTATTTATTGTACATTATGTAAATTTGTTTTGATTAAATGTGTTTTTAACAAATTAGAACACGTATTAGAAATTTAAGAAAAAAGTAAACAATTAAAGAGCAAATACTTTCTCTAATGTCCGTTACTGTCTCCGGTACTTTCTTTATAATATCGAACAAGTTCAACGTATCTTCAATTGGATACGCTTGACATTGCAAAATCACCAGAATGGAAAAGAGAAATGAGCCGATTGCTATATCCTGCGCTTAATTGCAACTTAATTTGCAAGAAATTGTGTTATTAACGGAAATAATGTACGTATAACGGCAAGCTAATGGTTTCGTGTCTGCACTTAAATGATTTTTGCAATGTAATATTGTTCTTATTTTTCATGCGTTTATATATTTACCAATTAAAATTTGATTTTTATTGTAGGTAAATTGAATTAGTTCCGTTTGTCATGTAAGTACCTACGCTAGATATGGTAAAAGAAAGGTGTTCTGCATTCAGTCTTCCAATTCTACAGCAAGATATTTTAGATTCTGATGGTGTCAAATTTTTCATTTGAATTGGTTGATTTACCATACACCAATGCTTTAATATTCTGATTAATGCACAGACCATTGTGCATTAGATCATCTTTACGTAGCTACGGTGGAGACAAATACGAAAAAAAAAACAATTTGGGATGGGAGCTCCAGAATTGCCTATACACATCCTCCGCTAAATATATTACGTCCATAGAATGGTTGGAATGGCCATTTTACAGTTATAACTTGCTTGGTTTGCTGGTTACACTCTATTACGCATCAAATGTAATAACATTTTGTTAGACCTATAACAATGTGGATTTTAATTGAGCCACCTCGTTTTGCTTCAATTAAATTTGTATTCTATTTCGGAGTCGTCGTCACCCATCATAGCGATGTTCTAGATGAAAGTTAATTCCTTCGTCGGATGACACCAATAATGATACCTAACCAATCTCATTTTCTTCAATTTATTATCAACGTGACAAAGGGTGTTTGATTTTCTCGGCCGCGTAGCAGCAGTGACACTTTACCAGACTACTTTTCTTGTCGTCTGTCACTTTACCGGCGCCATCAACAATTTTTCGGCCGCATTTGTCACATTGGTAATGAGTCATGTCATCATTGACAGATTGACATTAATCAAAACTTCTATAGGAAAATTGCAATTTTACATTAAAATACGATTTAGGGTAAAATAAATTTAATACAGGATAGAAAATAGCAAGACAGAAGCACAAAAAATATGCTCCAAATAAAGACCCCTATGACTTTGGTTTGATTGCAGTTCAGCACCTCTACTGAAATATAACCCAAAATCCTTGATCTGCGGACAATTATTTATACTGGGTATGTAAAAAAGGTAAGGTGGTATAGTATAGCTATAGGGGATCAAATCAAGCACTTTTTCCAAATAAACTGAGGATCCACGGTGTTTCATTTCGAAGCCATCTTAAAAAAGTGGTGAAATTGGCTTTTTTTTTCTCAGAAACCATAAGAGTTATCAAGATGTCTTTGCATAGGTTTTGGGATATGCCCTTTTCCGATTTTGTAAAAATATTTTCAAAATGTTAACCACGGAAGGGGAAATTGCAGTAAAATTTTTTTCGAATTTTCAAAAAGTAATTGCAGATTCTTGATTTTCATGTTCAAAAATCCCTAGATACCAAATTTCGCCGAAATCAGAATTTTTTACACGCCCCCATTTAGGGTAAATTCTGATGCAAACGCGCTATACGAGTTACATAACATCAAGGGAGAACAGTAAAATTATTTATTTCTACTTGGATTTACAAAAACAGATTTTCAAACACAATTTTCAATTTTGATGCACTTTTGAACACTCACATTGACAAAATTAACACAGCCCTTAACTTTTTTCATTCATTATTGTCACTTGACCATTCGATCAAGTATATAGTCACCTTCACGTTGATCGTTCTTTTAAATCTTCTTAAATACCGAGAACACCATGCTACGATGTCACTTTTTTCCAACAACCTACATTTGTCATGACACTTTCTTATATCGAAAACCAAGTTTCAACAACTGCTTGCAAAGAGTTTCTATTCCACCCATATAATTGATCTTTTTTGCATTTTTTCTACGTACCTTACGTTCAACTGTATACATTTCTTGTACAGTTCTTCTTAAAATACACAGACCAGCTTCATCAAAATCGATCTTGTTTGTAGGCTCCACATGGCGTTTTTTCTTAGGAAATCTTAACTTGGAGGGCCCAACTTCACCAGATTCTTCACGAATTTGTTTTATAAAACTAACTGACTTCCCAGTCATCTTAGATTTAAGCTATATGCGTCTTGAAAAAGACGAGTTTGTATAAATTTGGAAACGGAAAACGTAAAATAAAACAAATGCAAAAAGCAAAGTGTAAATTAAAATAACGTGAAGCGTAAATTGTCAAAACCATAGGTCAAAAGAGTATAATTAATAATTATGGCGCCTTTTATTGGCCAGTTTGAATTATTTATTTCAAAATTAGTTCGCATATTTTCAGGGCCCATTCTGAGCATGGTAACACTGTACCTCCCGAAGGCTGTGACCAATCCCACACTGTTGAATGTTATAACTGTAAAGTTGTGGGTCTGCTAAACCCTTGACCGCCTGTTCCAGAATGAGCTGGATTGCTAGAAAAATTAATTTTCGTACACCTTGTCCTAGCAATATTATAAACCCACTTATGGCCGTTTGCACCGCTCAAATTTGTCGGTGCAAACGACCATTAGTTTCTCCAACACCAAGATGATATGATGCGTAATAATTACAACCATGTTGTAGACGTCAACAGGACTTCACTTTCATCAGATTAATTGAATTATCTGAAATTTAGCTCTTGGTTCCAAATTCAAAGCACGAGTTGGAGTAGAAACACAGTGTAATTTTTAATACTTTTCTCTTTTTGAACTATGTACTAGGTATAGATTCATGTACTGCATTATAATTCACTTTATTTTATAAGACAATTCACTTAGGCGCTTCCGCCCTCTCTTGTTCAACTGCTGCGTTTTGAAAATAAATAACAACTTTAATTTTTACACAACTGTACTTGCTTATTAAATAAAAACTAGAATACTAGCGGCGAGTAGAACACAACTAGCGTGTACGCCACCAAAGTTTGATACATTAAGTCAAAATAAATGGCAAAAATAATAGTACTCCTGTATGGATAAGAGAACAATAAATATATTTACAATCGGTCTTAGGATCCCACATATCTTATGACCGTTACATGCTGCTATTCCAATGTATTTGAATTTTCCGAATCAGACATATTACTGTCTGAAGCTGGATGTCATGGTAACCTAGTTTTCTGCTTTATTGCAAGAACGTAACGCTGAGCCACATAAAGTGGTGGACTATATCCGTTAGTATAACTGAAGTCCTCAAACAAAAGTTCGTATTCGTCAGTATGAGTTTGAGGCAATTTATTGACGACCGCTTTATAAAAGCATGTTGTCTGAGGGTATAAGGCCATTACTAAAACAAGCCATATTTTTACTATTCCACCAGAATTTGTGTTGTTTCACTTGAACAAGCCAGACACAGCCACCGTGACGGCTCCCGGTCTTCCCTCAGGGCTAAATAATTATTGATTTTAATATAATTACTTACATAATCTAACTAATAGGAATAAGAGCAGGATCACCAGATTTTTGCGCTTAATTCCTGAATGTGGATAGTTACCATGTGCGTTTTTTTCGTGCTGTGACTTCGCCCTGTAATTTTCCTTTACAAGAATCAAGATCTCATTTTAATTTGAAATTTTCAAGAGGGTGTTTAGGATCTACAAGGAGGGTTTTAAGGAGGGAGATAATATTTTCATACTGCAGATAGATTGTCATGGTACAAATAACAATCGACCTGTTTCAGGTTTTTCCCGATGAATTTATTCCGTACATATAGACGGCCTGTGCATGGACAGTACAACGGGTCTGTTTCTTGAAGGGAACATTTGTCACCACCAGTTTAAGCAGAGAAAGTACTTCCAGTGGTAGAGGAAAGCAGAAGATACAATTTAATGCATGGAAGATCAGCAATGAATCATAGTGCAAGGCCTCCCCCTGTCTTTTTCAAATTAATGGCGCTTAATGACGTGTCACACTATAATTTTACATAATGTTTTACATTCACCCACGGATATCTAGATTAGATTTTGAAATTCTTGTAAATTTATATAACATTACAGAGCGTGACATGTAATTATTTTTCTTTTTCCTTTATTTCATTTCGTAAAAATCCAATATGGCGTCCATAAGAAATAAGAAAGTAGTAGCCTGTACCTTCTTCATCTAGTGTTATAGAAATTCTGATAACAGATTCAGATTCTCGGAACAAAAGTGTCCATAGCTGGTGCTAACGAGAACTGTCCATTTCCGTTTAAGCTAGGGGAAAATGACTACGAAATTAAACATTTTCAGTTTTTTGTCAAATCACAGTTATTTTCAAGGATTTTTTCAAATGCATTTTTTTCCCAAAAAGGAACAACTTTGCCCCCATTTAACCTACACTGTATCTCTCCCAATGGTCAGCCACGAATTTGAACGACCCTGTAAAGCCACCCTACTTACAACATACACATTCATAATAATGACAAAATATCATGCTTGCAGTAAATATAAGATAGGGAAGACTGCTTCCGACCACACTCCTTCTCAAATTCTGTTATCCTCAAACACCTCGTCAAACACTAAACATAGGAGGTGACCACTTTCTCGACAAGCGATTTATTTGATTTGTTGAGCTGTTTTCTTTTCCCTTTACCAATTGAAGATTCCAGTATTCATGAAGGAGCGTATCTTAAAGTGGGGAGGAATGAGCATTTGTCTAGGGAACTGTGTCTGTAGCATCATCAAGTGCAGCAACACCCCCTTACCAAAGAACTTACCAACGGTTCTCTCTGGGAACAAAGCGGTGGGATCGGTCTCGGGATTTGCACGCATTAGTGGCAAAGGAACCACATATTTCTTACTTAACACGTGGCGTTTCTTTTGATTTTGTTCCTCTAAAATATCGTCAACTTCATATTTGTTAAGAGCATGGTTGTAACTGACAACCTCGGCCAAAATCCAATTGTCTCCATCACCTTCGGCCACTTTGACCAGAGCTGCAACCATGTCACCTACCTAAGATGCACATTACGAAATTACACATATAGGTACAAAAAGTGATACCTTTGCAAAGTAATTAGGTTCAGCCGGCACAGCACCGCACAAGGGTGGTGGTTTCTCACCAATTTTGCTAACAAAAAGTGGTAATGTCTGTGCGGAACTCAGTAGCATCTTCATCCATGCTCCTCTTCGTATGGTTTCTTTATTACCGGCATTGCGTGCCTGTAATAAGTTTGACTATTAGTTTTTTTTTTTAATTGTGACCTGGAAACGAATCCTAACCTGTATACGTCGTTCATTTTTTATGTTCCTAATGTCTGAGATTTTTTGTAAAGCCTTCCGTAGTAACTCCTCCTCCTGCTCAGCTTGTAACATTGCAGTCTTGTATACACTCTTGATGTCGGTTTGCTAAACAATTGGTTATATGATTAACGTTAAATTTGATGAACCTACCATAAAACTACTTCTTTCATCTTGACTATTGAATTTATTAATTGTATTAATTCCATTTTCACTTTGCTGACGTTTCTTCTCGATGTCGTGCACTAACCTATACAAAGACTTTAAACATTCTTGCACCTGCTGTGCAGCAATAGAATCAGCAGTGAAGGGCATTGTATTAATTGCAGGTTTTACTAGCAAAATGTTTTCCCAAACTTACAGCATTATACCAAGAGACAATCACAAACACAAATGCTACCTAGAAAAAAGTCTCGTTGTATCAATTTTTAACAAGAATAGTTACAATTGTAGTAACAGCATTAGGATGAAAATGAAATTTTATTAATCCAAACAGCATTTAAATATTTACAAGAATATAAACAGTTTAAAACTTTCCAGTCCCACTAAAACGGCTCAATAACCACGGTCAATTGTAAGTTGCCAGTGGCCAACAACAGCTGTTAATGATTTTTAGCGATGTTGCCGTTACCGCAACAGTACACAAATTTGAAAAGCATGGAACCAAAGCGAATCTTATCTAATCATTTAAACATTTCGCTGCTCGCGACGTGTTATTGCGTATACAAAAACTATAGCGAGTGACGCGTATATGCGCATTAAAAGTTTACAGTATCTGCGAGTGCCGTTTATACACGAATTTAAAATCTAGTATAGGTGCGTTCGTTTATACGTTAACTCCAAACACTCCATCTCATGTGCAAACGGAACGCAATAGACGTGATCATAACATAAAATAATCTCTGTTATACATACCTATAGAGGTCTATACCCATTTTGTGATATGGTAACAGGATTTTGCTGTGATGTAGACAAGTAGGCATTCCCATTCGAGATCGATGCTGGAGTTGAATGGAACCAATCCTGCACATTAGCTTATCTGATGACCGTTTTTGGCTACAATGGTATGATCTCATTAATATTTCTTGTTATGTTAACATGAAAAATCTGATGTATATATGGCGAAGTTGTAAAATCTGACAGATTCAAGGAACCTAAAGACACATATTATTTCGTCTCTACAAAATGAAGTACCTACTTTTTGAAGCGTTTCGATGAAAAATCCGAAGCATACGACGGACCACACAGTTTGAAATATTTAAAGAAACGAAGAATGAGAAGAATATTAAGTATTAAAGACTGGAACAATCCCAAGAATTAATCAACAGGACGTAAAAATTTCTTTCACTATATTTGTGTGTAATAAACAAAGACATGGCAACGTTTAATATGGGCTGAAGGGTTGATCAACTGCGCATGCGTCATTTGATCTTGCGCAGTTGTGCATGTTGCGTCAAATTCAGATGTTATTGTGAATATCAGTGACCATTTATCTGAAAATTCAATTTTCTAGGTTTTGTATGAATATAAGATCAGCCCGTTAGTAAATTATGTCACAAAATAGAGACGAGATTTTGGCAAACTTTCAGGTACGTCCATTTTTTTTCTTTGTTGTTTATAAATCTTAGGTTAGTTGAATGACATTCATTATTTGAAAGTTTTGTCTTATTCAGGCTTGTACTGGAATTGACGATTACGCATTGGCCATTTATCACCTAGAAAGTACAGATTGGGATTTACTGGTAAACTGTTGAAAAATCAATTTCATTATTATTACACACAATGATTGTAGAGTGCCGTTAATCGTGTGGTACCGGCAGATAGCCAATCGTTTAACAACAGTGGTTCACAAGATGTTATAATGATTGAAGATGACATGCCAGTTGTGCAAATGCCAATTGAAGTGGGTACAGACATGGCCTCTGTCGGAAATAATACACCTCAATCAAACTCCTTTGTTGTGGCAACTGAAAATCATGTAGATCATCACCCTCTTCCATCTACGTCTTCATCAAAACTTACACCTAAAATGTTGCACTTTAATATACAATATTGTGATCGTACAATTCCTGTTGATATTCCAGATACGGGGACAGTAGGTAAGTATGTTTCACGCCACCTCTGGAGTTCACTGAAGTATGAATTATTTAAGCCGACATTAAATTAAAACTGAGTAAAGAATTGAAGATTGCACCCTGTCGTCAACTTTTGTCGAATTGGGCCAGACTTCCACAATATGAAAATACTCCTCTGTCGAAACTGAAAATTCCCGATGAAAGCACTTTGCAGCTGCATATAAAATCTAGCGATAGCAGTTTTACTACAGATCATGAGTAAGAACTTTGAAGGCAGGTGGTGCTGTAATTAAATGTTGCATTTCAGGTCGGAACGGTTGACTGGTACATACACATTAAATGTAACTGACGAAAATACTAACAAACATTACAGTGTTAAGTATTTGGGTACCATCCCGATCTTGAAAGTGAAAACAGATACATACTCAATGACCAATATTCACGTACGTAACCAAATATGGTGTGGTTGGCCGCCAAATATCGATGATCAAACCATGTTGGCACTTTCTGGAATTAAGTATGTATTATTTATTTCTGTTGATGTGAAATGTATGTTAATGTCATACTGAAAAGGACTCTTAACTGAGTACCATGGTTTTCTATGTTCATTGATGTTGGTGCGATAAGAACCTTCTAGCTAGTGTTTTTAAAAGACATTGGCGCTAGTTTTATGTGAGAAATCATTGTCGTATAATAAATATGTTGATGGTATTGATTGCTCCTTGGGCATCTCTTGTACCTGCCTACCTAATAGTACTAATAGTATACTAATGGCTATTGTTAACTAATAACATATCTGTCTGAGCAAGTTCATATTTTTGGACTTTGTGTACATGATAATTCGCAAACGGTTTCGAGTTTTCCAATTCTGTTTTCAGTAGGTATTATGTTTATCATCACCCAAGTAAGAACTGATTAAATTGTCAGTGACCCAGGAGCTCGTTTGCTATATTTGTTACTAGTTTATTGTATTTCTACTTCTTGTTTCCATTGCTTCTTCTTCAGTGGTTGTTATTTTCATGACCTGTTTTGGCGTCTGTCGGCTCGAGTTCTAGTGATTATCCATTTTATTCCAATTAAATGGCAAACCAAGATCAGCAAATTAGATGATCAATATTGCAGTTCTTTCCTATTGATTGCATAGAACGACTCCTGTTTTCTCTTTCTTTATCATTGACATAAATAAATAAATAAGTAAATAAAAACATGTAAGTAATTTAAACTATGCAGATGAAAAAAAAAATGTTGCGCATGCGCATTCCAACTTTTGTATTTGCGCAATCCAATTTTTTTATTTGTTAATTACCTCGGATTATCGGGATTGTACTGTATTCACTCCATTACATTACAAAGTGGTGTATTGTGTACACTGTGTCCAAGATAATGATGTCTATCATGGGGTTCACACAAACCATAGAGGATGGGAAGATGGTCATTAGGGAAAAGTTGCGCAGTTAAAGAGTTATCATCATGCTGTGAAGAAAACCAGAAAATTCCTATTACTTCCGAAGATATGCCGGAAAAACTGAAATTTGTTGCTTCTATTTATTTCTGATTTTATTTGAACAGATACAAAAAAATTAAACGTGCGAGAATACCTATCGCACAAGTTTCTTGGAAAATGGAAGATATATCCGATTGGTATTCTGGGACGATTAAGGCGATGTGGGCGGGTGCACCATTCTGTTGAAACCAACAGTATCCAACTTTTGTATTAAAAAATACTATTAAATAGGGTATGTACAATGAGAAAGTAAAATTTTTGTTGTATCTGTTCAAATAAAATCAGAAAAAAATAAAAACAAAATTGGCAAATTTCGGTTTTTCTGGCATCTCTTCGGAAGTATAAGGAATTTTCTGGTTTTCTTTAAAGTATGATAATAACTCTTTCTTTGCGCATCTTTTCTCTAATTTGAGATGTGGTTTGTATGGTTTCCATGATCTCCATGATGTACCTATAACACTGGGAAGATACAAGGCAAGTAACAAGAAAATCCGATCAAATCAAATTAAAATCAAATTAATAAGTGTAAATTAAATGTCCCCTGATTACAATATCTCAAAGCTACTACCGCAAAATATTATTATTATACACCAGGAGTCGGCAATCGGCGGCCCGCGGGCCACTTGTGGCCCACGCGGCGTTTCTTAGTGGCCCGCGAAGTGTTTCAAATTTTACTAAATATATGACCCGACTTTTACATTAGAATAATGTGAAAATAAACGGCAAAATTGCGACTTACATTAGAACGAACTTGAAGTATGAATGAAATTACGAGTGAAATTACTACATGAAAAATAACTGTACCAATTTACGGCGCTAAAACTGTTAATTCAAATACAAATTTTCCGGGGGAGGACCCCCATCCCCTTGGGGGTACTCCGTACCCCCAACCCCCCCGTTGGCCCCTCATACAGATCACAAGTACACATTCGCCCACACTTACCGAAAGGTTGCCGACCCCTGTTATACACTAACAAAATAATGATGAGGATCATACATCGGTTCAGGTGACATTAATGAATTACAAACAAATAGTGATCGTACAGTTGTTACAAAAAATATCGTTATAATTTCCTTTCAAAGGAATTATCCAAAATATTTACTAATTGGTTGACTTTAGTGTGCTCACGCTTATTTACCCTCAATCTTTTTACATAACCTCAAACTGTGTTAGATGCAAGTTTTCTTTATTCTCAATTCCAAGGCCTTCTGGACATTTTCCACTATATGTTATCTAGATACAAAATATAAGTATATATATTTTTCTATTTCGGTGTCACAATGATGATTTTGTACAACTGTTTTCGACCCGGTCAGTTGTACAAAGACAGTGATTATAGTCGTTTTTTTTTTGGTAACTCATCTCTTAAGTTGGCACTGTTGGCAGTTACTAGTTAGTACATGAGTACAAGTAGGTACTTCGTTGGGTACTTCCATGTTTGAACTTCAAAATGTCAGTCTTACTACGCTGCCAACCTAAAACTTAACGGCATAAAAAGTGTTCCCAACATAAAACATGTTAGTTCTAATGTTCCGTATAGTTTCTGATAATGATTTTTTTAATTAAATTAAAGCACCGAAATAGAAAAAATAGTATGAAAAACGCGTGTTACAATGCTTTATTGTAATACTCCTATCTTGCGAACACTCGTGGCTACGCTTCGCGTCGCCACTCGTGCCACAAGATAGTCGTATTACAATAGGTCGCATTGTAACACTTGTCTTTCAATATACTATTGTATCTAGATACTAAAAAAAAGTATCTGTCGCAACACTGAATATAGCTCCCCAAAAACTTGGCAAAAATGTAGAACCCCATTCTCCAACTAAATCGGAATCCACAAAAATATAGGTTCAATCACCAGAAATGATTATAATTGGAAATTGCAATTAGAACCACATGGTTTTAACCCTGCTTGCTTAGCGTGCGGCCACCATTTTGGAGCCTACTGATAATTTAAATCTGGGCACAAAAGAGAGTGTTTAAGGTGTAAGGTCTAATGTTTATGCATTGATAACCGTTGAAAAAAATCAATGTGTATAGCAGCACGGACTCGTCCACTATGTTGGAGCCCACTGAAAGTTCTATGTCCTGCATGTATTGTGTTGTGATCTAAAGAAAAACCATTGATTTTTTCAACGGTTATCAATAATCCAAAAATAAACACTGCGTACTCTCGAAAATAAAATATTAACCCTTTCCATCGCCAAGTAAGCGTTCGAATACCTTTTGTCAACGTACACCAATTAAATTCACTTGAGCCACCACTAAAACTTTGAAAGAAAAACCGAGGGAGGAGATAAACTTTTACAAAACAGCACACAATTATTACTCGATGTTCCTAATATGTATCTTTTTTTAAACGTAATTTCGCTAAACAATAAAGCATCAAAATAAAACATCTAATTCAATCTAAATTAGCGACAACATTTAATCTTAAAAAATTGAATACCAATAAAAACGTCTGTATGGCGTAGTTTACACAACAATATTTAATGCTTAATGCATAAATTGAGGATTTATTCTGATAGTTGTGCAGTGCTGGTAGGGTGTCTTAATAGAGTTTATAGGACACGTCTGTTCATATGATTCCAGGATGGCGTTGTTCTTTGGGATTACAAACTTGCCTTTATTTCAGTTACCCGGAACATGACCTTTCAGTGAGACGTAACATTTTAACAAATCACACCCGCGAAAAGAAGCCAAACAATACGGTTGAAATTCATGACAGCGACGATGACGAGTTCGAAGATGCCACTGAAACGTTCACAGTTGATGATGAAATGTTTGTCGATAACGTAACCACTAGACGAGTTGAACCTCTTAGTAAGCATGTCATAAAATTTTCAAATTTCTTCATTTTTATTTTATTCTTTTTTAGTACCTGAACACATTGAAGATGAAATAGTAGGTAGTATCAGTTTTGTGGAACAATATACCGCCCGCTATGGGGATGTTCATCCCACCTTCTATCAGGGCACTTTGGATGATGCTTTAAAGGAGGCCTGTCCGAAATCGGCAAAAGATGTGAGATTCTATTTTAGTTGTGTACTAGCTAACAGTTTAAAATTTTAGCGCAAAATCCTAGCAGTTTACTTGCACCACGATGCGAGTGTCTTATCAAACGTTTTCTGTACACAACTGTTAGGCTTTGAGAGTGTTATACAAACTATCGAGGCCAATTTTATCTTGTGGGGTTGGGATCTGACATTTGAAAGTAACCGGACGAGATTGCAGAATTCGGTTAACATGTGCTTAGGCTCGACCGCCGCCGTTAGTTTACGAAATATTCCCGTGGATAAACTTCCCGCGATCATTATTATCATGCGAATTCGTTCATCTACCGATGTGTTTAGCGTTATACACGGAAACGTAGGCGTTAGCGAGTTATTGTCGAGCTTAACTGAAGCAATGGAAGTCTTTACTGAGCATCAAAGGGTCGAGATGAAGGAGGAGGACGAACGCACGGCCAGGGAGTTGGTCAAATGGGAGCAAGATCAAGCGTATCGCGAGAGCCTTGAAGCAGATAGGTAAGTTTCATACTTGTTCAAATAGATGCTTCAATTGAGGTTTTTATAACGAAATTGGGGAAGTTGTTTTGGAATACTGAGTATACTGAGGACATGAAAACTCCCTCCCCCTCCCCCCCTACCTTTTGCAAGTTGGTTTGCTATTTTGTTTCCCTGTTGCATTAATGTCCTAGGATTCAACATAACTTGTTGCTGTTGGGCTTACTCAGGGGTTGTAATAGGTTGACACATTAAGTTGTATCATTGCTTTGTACAGCCATTGGGACAGTTTGAAATAGCACCTGATGCTGGTTACAGATGGGTGTTCCCTAAATTGTTGTACGATGTAGGTATGTGAGTCATCATGATTTGCCAATATTTATGCATTGTAATATCAAACATTCAGCAAAACAGCAACTAGGAATTCGTATTTAGCACACCCAAAAATGTACAATCGCCAAATAACTTTCTCAATTTTGTTACGGAAAAACCACATCTTGACTAGACTAGATTTAATACACAACCACTTTTAAAGAGCAAAGGAAGAAGCCAAACGTATTCAAGAACGTGAATTGCACGAGGAGAGACAGCGAGTTGAAAATGAAATGGTTGAAGAAGCTGCGAGAAAAGAAGCATATCGTAAACAAGTCGAAGCAAGTCTACCCTCAGAACCGATGGACCGAGGTGATAATATTGCAAAAATAAGATTCCGTTTACCAAAAGGGGAAAACATAGAAAGACGATTTCAAGCAAGCACGCCATTGAAGGTATACTCTGTCAGTTTTTTTTGATACCTTTAATAACTTGACTGTGTATAGGTACTGTTCGATTACTTAATTGTTAAAGGTTACCCGGTTGAAGAATTTAAGGTCATATCTAGCTGGCCTAGACGAGATGTAAGCTATGGTTTATCTTTCGCCAATGGCATATACTAACTTCTGTTTTAGCTCACGTTGTTGGATAGTAAAATGACATTACAAGAGTTAAAGCTGTGTCCACAAGAAACTGTGATATTGGAAGAACGATAAATTAATACATTCCAAATGAAAAAAAAAACCACAAGTGCAGCAATGTTGGAGAACAGGTGAACAATACGAAGAATTTTCTTAGCTATGTTTTTCATCTTTGCCTACTTGAAAATTGGAATTGTTTGTAATCCATTTTGTTAAATAAACATTATTATTGATTTGAGGTGTATTAATATTGAGGAAAGTAACAAAGTGGAAGGTTAAGACTGTAAATCTTTTCCGCTGATAGTGTGCGTGTAAGCTATATTTAAGAAAAAAATATTGCAAAAGGTGTAAATATTTTATTTATTATTAAGAGTGTAAGTATATGTTAATTATTTGTATGGCTCTTTTCTTTGAATCTCTTTTGTATATAATTTAGATTTGTAAGTAGTTAAAAGTCACCGTGGCTTATGTAAAATGTTAAAAGTGTAACATCTCAAGACAAGCAGCATCTTCACAAGAACCTTGTTCTTTCTTTTTCTAATAGCTATTTAATGTAATTTTAAAAATATAGTAGTAGGTTTTGTACGAAATTTTTCTGTACTAATTGTATTTATTTATCATTAATAGATTTAAACATGAGATGTATTTATGCAGATCAATTTCAATCCCATAAACAAATATCCACCCACAAATTGGATATTTGTAAGAGTATACTATGTTGAGTGTTGAAATTGCTTTTGGCACATCCTTAAATAAATAAATGAAATTGTAAGTTTTTTTTTACCTAGAGTTATGTGACAACAATATTGACAGGGAAGAGACTTTCCCGTCAGATGTATTTTTACAATTTTTTATATAAAACAGCTCAGCTTCTGAAACTGTTATTTTATTCTCCAACTGAACGTGACTTTTAAGCTTGGCGATCACGCTCTCTATTGTGTTAAAAGTTGAATAAGTCCCAGAAAGAATGAGAACATTAATAATAATAATGTGTTTATTTCCACCAAATTAAAGAAATGGAAACCACAGGGGTTATCGGTTCAGTTGCTGCACAGGCATTATTGACAATGTGTGTCAATTCACTTAACTTAATAACAATTATGGTTGGTACTTCAGCAAGTCACTTTTCTAAACCAACTATTCTTCGAATATCTCAATTTGTAAAATGTATTTTTCATCACCTCGAATCGATTAAATGAGAATAAAGTGCAAATATTTAAACTTATTTGGCAGGTGCAGATTTATTCATTTATTAACCACTTAACTACACCCTTCATTGTTGCTGTGGTTTTACTTTTAAGCGAACGGGAGATTACGTGTTCACTTTTAAGAAAAGCTCACTGTATATTCCCATTGAAAGCATCCTGTATATCAAATCTTTTTATTAATTTGCAGGGATTTTTATGCAGTTGGCAACGGTCATGGCCAACCTGTATTCAAAAACATGGTATGTCAAGGTTTTGCAAAACACGCTGTCGTTTTTTAGGTGCCGGCTTCTTTTCAATAAAACGGTCAAATACATCTCAATTTGTTTGTAATAAAATAGACCAGGTGAACTTATCCAATTTAACGATTTTCCGGACGACAGGATTACACTAATTTGTACCTGAAAAGCTGTTTACATTTTGTATAAACAGAGAATATGGCAGAAACTGAGGACTTAGGCTTGGGCTCTGAAGACCATTTAGATGGCTTGGATGAAAACGGAGTAAACGATGAAGCGTTGCTGAATGATACGGATGGAGATGGAGGTGGAGCGGACGATCCCGAATTGGAAGCTATCAAAGCTCGTGTGCGTGAAATGGAAGAGGAGGCCGAGAAATTGAAACAGCTGCAAAATGAGGTTGATAAACAGATGAACATGGGGAGTCCGCCTGGATTAAGTATACTTTTTCGGTTACTTTGTATACTTTATCTCTTATATTTCAGCGAGTCCTTTAAATATGTCTTTTGAAGAAAAAATGGAGGTGGATAATCGGAGCATTTACGTCGGAAATGTAGACTATGGTGCGACAGCTGAAGAGTTAGAGCAACATTTTCATGGTTGTGGTTCTATAAATCGCGTTACTATTTTGTGTAACAAGTACGATGGACATCCCAAAGGATTTGCTTACATTGAATTCGGCGACCGTGATTCCCTTCAAACTGCCATGGCGATGGACGAGTCTATCTTCAGAGGAAGACAAATTAAGGTGTGCTTGTCTACATTTAAGTACAGGATACAGTGTTAATTTAGGTGATGCCGAAAAGGACCAACCGCCCAGGAGTGTCATCGACAAATCGACCTCCGCGTGGATCTCGTTTTCGAGGAGGTGGACGTGGCGCTATTACAAGGGGAGGATATTATGGTGGATTTAGACCTACCCGTAGGCCAAGGTTGGTTATAAATTTGATATTGAACATAAATATTTTTTACTTTTTTCTCATATAACATGGTTTTCTATGTGCAGGAGCTACAGACGAGGAGGGTATTTTGCGCCTTATTAATTGGATATCTGGTGCAGGTTTTTATACGTTTAACTGATTTACATTCATTTCCTTACACAACTCCCACATTTGCCAAATTGGTTTTTAAATTTAAAAAAAAGAAAAAACAAGACAAAAAAAAGAAAAAAGATGGTTGGCGGATCGAAATGTCTACGATATAGGTTCTAGATTAATTCATATAGAGTATTTCAATAGTTTGAGAGAAAAAAATTATTTAAGTAGAAAATTGAAATATTCTATATACTTTCAAAAAGATACTTTGGTGTGAAAGTGTGTGAATGTCTTAAAAAATATTGATCGATTCATATGTGAAGAGAACTAGTTGGAACTGTTGTGGAATGTCTACATTTGTTTCCTTGCCTTTACAATCCATTTTAATGTTATGTAAGATTTACAGGTACCATCATCCTGTGATTTCAAGGATGCGATTAATCGTAATCATTAATTTAAAAAATCATTAAAATATAAGTAAAAAAAATGTATTATTAAATAAATTTCTCGTAATGTATTTCATTTATTATTTATTCTTCTGTGCAGTTAGCATTGCCATGATGGAACAGCAAGTATGGTTGTTGGTTTTTTATAAAATAGAGGAATTATTAGAGTAGGCGAAAGATATAAATGTAAATAGTATCAAATGGTCAAGAAATGAACTTTTACAAAGAAAGATTATCTGCATTTTCCAAAAGTCCCTTTTGAAATACAGTTAAAAAATAAGATGAAAGTTGGCAACCCTGCATTGGACATTCGAATTAGGTTAGAATTTCATAGCAACTTCAGCTCAAAACAAGTGAAATGTTACATCCATCCAGTGGGATCGGACAGTTTGCAGCTAATTCAAGAAAAATAATAAGATTCCTTCGTTCAGGCTGTACGAATAGACCTTTCTATCACATTGTTGTTTCAGAAGTGCGTAGAACTTATACACAATAGCCGAGCTAACGCAATTTACTTGCAGAGACGAAATACACAAAATGAGCCAGTTATTGAACAGGTAGGGTCATATGATCCTATCCCAAATGAGTGTAATGAAAAATTGGTGTCCTTAAATTATGAGCGGATTCAATATTGGATTGGAAATGGTGCAGATACTACCACATCAGTTGCAGAGCTCCTCGGTAATATTGTTTTTTAATATCCTTACACTTGTGATCCCTTTGTAGGATTAGCTGGTTTCTATCCAATTCATCCGCGCCAGTACCTAACGGCATGGCGTAATAGAAGGAATGCAAATGCACAAACTTAAAAATTGTTTAACTTGACATTGTATAAATATTTAATAATTAAAAACGAGATAAAATACACAGTGGACTTAGTAGCTATAAAAAAATTATTGGTGCCAAAGTATGAATCGTTGCATAAATCTCACAAAGTAAAACCATAAGCTAATGCAAGTACCACACCAGGCTTTAAACATTCCAGTAACAACAGGCAAATAGTGCATAAAAATTATTGTTGTTTTTCTAATATCTTCGTAGCTGAAAGAAAAACATTATTTGTGGAATTTACGACAAGAATGAATACCTTCTTGTCGCACTTTATTGATTGTGTCATCGACTCTTGAATGATGTTGTAGATAGTAAGGTTTTATTATACGATTATATAGAATTAGAGAACCATTAAATTCAGTTGGTATCATCAACCACACCATAAAGACGCACTACAATAGATATTACAAACAGTAACGATCTTTTGTAAATCTTACCTTGAGTAACCAATACATTGGGAACCAACCAACGATAATATCGGCGAAGAATTCCACAAGTGAAAATAATGCGTAAACAACCCAATAAGTTAACCACTTTGTATCATCATCTTTATGAGGCGTTTCAATTGCATGTATGGACACATAAGCAGGATACAGAAAGCCTACACAGTTACAAACCAGCTGTCCTGCGAAGCCAAACATCAACCAAAGTGCAAGGCCAGCAACCGATACTAAAAATAAGTATTTTCACACACAATGTCGATAACCGCCTATTACAATTAGTACCAAAAAATATATAAACCCGATTAATGCCAGTTTTCGCCTCTATCTGAGCCAGAATCGCCGTCCATGGTTTGCTGCCATCATTAAGGGTGGCTTCAAGTTTTTCCTTAATTTCCATTACTTTTGCTGCCATTTTCCCTTCAAGTTTTTTCGCCCTATATATTAAGGATTAAGCAAATCAGCGCGATCAATTTCAAGCTTGTATTAGCGTAAAAGTGGTAAAATTACCGGTTACCTACCAATTTCAAGGTGATTATGCTGATTTTAAAAATGAATCTGATTGGTCAGATAGTGAAATGAAAGGGGAAAATGGAAGTACAATCTGCTGTGGTCTAAATTTTTTGGTGGTTAAAACCTAAAATAAAACTAGATCACCCGCTTATGTTTCCCTTTCTTCTGGGTGCCAAGCACAAATTATAGATTGGAAAATGGGAAAAAAATAATCTATTTTTTTAACGCACTCTTCGTAGATGAAAAATGCAAATAAATGTGTAAAATTTGTACCATTTAATTTGAAAAGGATTAAAAATGAGTTACAATTTCAAAAAGGCGGTAAGGTGTAGGGTTTTTTTTGTTGACCGTTGGTAATCTAGTTGTTCCATCTAAACGCGACTCGTTCTGAAAGCGCCCAATTTTAAAAATTCGGCGTCGTTTTCAAAACCCTTTGGCCACCATCAATAGTTAATCATTGAACTACAAATACAGTTCAATGATATTAATATAACTTACGGATAATTTGGCCTTCATTCTTCAATTTTCAAGTGCCAACTTTAAAGCATTGTGGCCCCGGAATTTAAAATCTCAGTTTTTAGCGCACCTTTACGTTATGTACTGAGATTTGTGTTTCAAACAAACGTTATTCCTTTCATACCAGAAAGTGTACTACCTTGAAGTTTAGTTTATTATTATAGGTAGTTTGTGGCACAGATTTTTGAGAGTGTCTCAATTTGGACGTCCCGTTATCACACCAAAAACTTGTTTAAGTAGTAATATTTGCCGAAGCGGCTTATTCACATTGTAGGTATACTTTTCTAAAAAACAGGCATGCGCTTGGCGTTTCTTTGGCCTATCTCACTAACCGCGCAATTTAAAAAAAATGCCCCAATAAGTTTTGGAAAATATTTCACTTCCTGTGAACATAATTAGATAAAGAAACAAAAATACTTGATGTACTACAAAAATTACAGCACCCACAATGGACTAACAGTTATGTAAAATGAGTTGTTATTTAAAAAATGTACAAAGAGTACTTTTGTATTTAAAAGGTGGTTTCTCGACTCTGTGAGCCATATCGGAACGGAACTGCCACCAACTTGAAAATATTTTAGATGATTTCTTTTTATCTACTAGTACATTGTCAAATTTTCAAAACGGTTGGATCCTGTTCCAGGCGTTGCTCACGGAACACCTTGTATAATAAAACACGTAACGCATGCGCTTTCAAAGAATTGCGTTTAGCTTTAGGTGATAATTCCGCCGGTCGCCATATTCATTTCAGATTCTGTCAAGAGGTGAGAGTCAGCCATTCGGAAGTAAATTTTCCAAATAACAACCCATTTCGGTTAAATCTCTATTTATCACCGCAAAGAAACGGAAAAAGGTATGTTACATTCTTAAATACAATTTTTGGCTATATCTGCTTTGGAGGTAGATTAGGGTGCACTGCTTCTCACACTGATTATGTAACTTTTCTTTTATTTAGCTTTTTACAGGATTATTATTATGCTGGCTGTACGCCCTTTATTTAAAGCGCTCAAGCAAGTGAGGTATTACCCTGTTGTTGCAGCCCCACCTTGTAATCCCATCTCAACCTGTGATTTGTTTATCCACGGCTTTATAATTATATTTACCTTTGTGTCCGTTCCTGCTTATGTTACCTATAACATTCCAAAATGGAGAGATGCTAACAAATAACACTTTTCTATTGTACTTACTAATATTGTAATAAAATGATTGTTTGAAATTTGTCTGTACATATCAATGTTTTTACAGCTATGTTATCTGCACGACCTTTAGTGAGAATTCTCCCCCATGTGAGAAAAATGGCAAGTATATCAGGGCCACCTAGTGTTCCTGTCAGCAAGGCAGAGTTAATCTGTCATGGAAGTGTTATTGTTGTTTCATGTTTAGCGATACCTGTTTATGTGCTAACACACATCCGTCAATATAGAGGATTAGCATAAAGATAACTATTTAGTAAGATGTACTGTATATATAGTAACAAATAAAAACATGTAGGGGAATTAGTTGTGATTAACATTGGTTTTTGATTGTAATGTTTCTTAATTGAAATTTATATTTTAGCTATGTTTGCTCTCAAATCTGTTATGCGAATGAGCCGAGCACGGTATAGTGTTGTTGTGGCACCACCTTCAAATCCTATGACTACGGCCGAAAAGTGTGGCCACATGTTCGTTATGATTGTTGTAATGTTTACGTGCCCTATATATATTACTCTTAACATCCACAAATATCGCAAGCTGGATTAAGTACCTAGTTGGTTTAAATGTGTAGTCTATTCCTACATGTAGAAAAGTAAAATATATCGTACTGTCTGAACCATATTATTTAAATGTTGAACTGCATGATTTAAATAGTTACTTGGTGCCATTTTTCCCAAAACTGCATTGGAGTAAACATTCCTAACTTTCTCTCTGGTACCTATTTGAAAAAATTTGATGATTTTGCATGAATGTTTGATTGCTGATAATGATAATTCCAATAAATTTGGAAAACGTTCTGTTTAAAATGGTGAAAGTATCAGAAAACACGTAGTAATGTAAGTACATTGTAACTGTATTTTTCTGAAACTAATTCACCACTTTGTCTCTAAAAAGGGCGAAAAAATGTAACTTTCCTCTCTAGTGAGGAAAGTAAAAAAAATTAGCAATCTATTGTTTGCACTGAAATGATCGACATTTATAATAATTATTTCAATGGTTGTTTGGTTCAGCTGATATTCAATTCGATTAGAAGTATACGTACATAATATCAAAATTTCACAAAAATCATTCGATAAATAGGAAAGTTAGGTCTGCGCATGCGCAAATTTATTTCATAGTATGTTCCCTAAGAATCACTTTAATGAGAAGTATATCGTTAAAATATCTTGGTAAGAAGTTGGGATACGCTTGCGCAGAAACGGAAACTTATTCGACATCCTTTTTCTTTTCGCCCACCCTACACTACCTACATAAAAACAAACCGCAGCCTTCTACGAGGTCTGAGTGCTGAGATCTGAAACCTTCACCCAGCCGACGGAATTCACTCATGTATAAGCATAGTGTAAGGTATAAGCTTTACTTTCACGAAAGATACGCAAAAAATTCCCATCGCACAATAAAAGTTTATTTGTACTTTGACGATGAAAGCGCCACTTAATCCACAAATTACAGAAATAAAAAGTTTGTTTTTTTAATTGTTTAGGAATAAATAAATAAGATATTTTGTCACTATAACTTGTGTGAAGGTAATTATATAATGAGGCAATTACCATTTTATTGTTCATTTTGCATTTTTAACGTGAAGATAGTGTTAAAACGTTTACGTTTGTTACATTATTCCCTACTCACACATATACCTATATGTCCTGTTTAAAAAGGCGTATAGATCTTTTTCACACTATCTTGTTTTCTCGAGCACAAATTTCGCTCGTTCCGGGCTCGCCCACAGAGACAAAATTAGTATAGTGATAAGATAAAGTACCTACCATAGTACTACAGCTTTTTAATTGCTTGACGATGAATTTTAAAACTTTACCTTGATAACATACATTATAGGCGACATGTTAGGTCAAAAAACCTTGGAGTGCTTCTGATAAGAATGTCAGATGTATATCATCTTTCCACGACATAATTATCACATATTTGCTTATTAAATGTACCATTGTATTTAAATGGGATGATTTTACCTACACGAAAAGAAACGTAAGAACTGATAAGGAACATGAGTGCACATTCATTTTGTTGATAATCTCGCCTAGTGAATACCTACATATTTTTGGATACCTTTACAGAACTATAGTTTTAAAATTAGTGGCAACAATTAGAGTGACCACAAGAAATTGCGATTAATATATAAGTAAGCAACATAATACCGATATCATTATCTTGAGATATATTAAAAACTAGATTAGGCAGAGTTACTAACCACAAAATTGTAGTAGTCAACCCAATATATTAATATACCTATCGCGAGTGTGCCCAAACCGAGAAGCAATGGCTCAAGATCTTTCAGAACTTCACCAAAAACTCCATAAAGTCCTTTATGACGAAACCAAGGTTTGGTCACCAGTTTTTAAAATAATCGAAAAAAATATTGGAATAGAAAGACAATTTATAGTTATAGGTAAGTACCTACTACTTACAATAGAATATTTTTTGGTGTTCACCGTGAGGATTTTTAGGATTTGGCGTTTTTCTTTTATTATGGTTAATTTTCGGTTACGCCGGTCAGCTACTTTCCAATATTGTTGGAACAGCGTATCCCGCCTATGCTTCGATGCATGCAATTGAGACGACAAATCCGACAGATGATACGAAATGGTTAACATACTGGGTGGTATTTTCCTTTTTCTCCATCGTCGAATACTTTGCGGCGATTATTGTTGGATGGTTTCCATTGTATTGGTTAGCAAAGGTATAGGTGGTTGGATCATTTCATTTACCTACAATTGTTTTTTTTATTTAATTTTCTAGTGCGCTTTCCTTGTATGGTTAATGATTCCTGTTAGTTTCAATGGATCCTTAGTGATATATAATAGTATAATTAAACCATACTTTCTGCAATATCACGGCATTGTCGACGATGCTCTCGATAAAGCTCAAAAGTCGGGTAAGTGGTCTACAATACGATTGTTTCATTATACTCACTTGTTTTTTCTTTCAGCTAATGAAGCTTTAGATGCTGCCAAGGTGAAATAATTTTTATAATGCATGTTCCTTTACTTTTAGGTGTTATCGTGACTTTCCTTTTCGTTTGTTGAAAGACCTCTCACTGTACTTATTTAACATGATTGTGATTTAGAGTAAAGCTTTTGATATTTGTGAGTTATTTATATTTTTTGAAAGGAACAGAAACACTCCGCTGAGTCCCCATTAACACTGCCTTGCCCCTAACTCTTATACCTAGGTATAGCTACCCGTCGGAAATATTTTATAAATTAAAGTCGGGTGGCCCTTACTTTTTCAAGAATTTTCGGCTCCTTATTCTCTTCTCCTTTCTACGTTACACTCAACAAACATCAATCAATCGCACATTTGCTCGAATGTGCCCTTTCGCTATATTCGATCAAAATTATCATATTTTTACTGATTTGCTCTGTTTACTATACCACCAAGATCAAGCAAGAATAATAAATTATCCTTCTTAATTTCTTCAGAAAACCAGACATAAGTTACAATGGCGGTGCGGATCATTCCAATAGCATTGCCACAATTACCTAGAGCGTAAAATGCGTAAAAATCCCGGTGCCTATGATGATTGACGATTTTTTAGGAAGTCGGCGACAAACGAAGAAATGAAATAAATAGGGAAACAAATTTAAAGGCAAACCAAAGTGGCGTCCATCGCGAAAACTAATCATTAAAAATGTTAACAATAGCTGCATACATTTTCATTTCGTCTCCCTTTCTACAGTAACAGTTCATTTGGATCATTTCATAGTTCATTATGGTATGAATTTCTAGGAATACTGCATTGATTATAACGGTTAATTATTATGTATCACACTTGGATTCACACGTAAATTTATAACATTTAAAAAATACTATCATTAAGTCAAATTTTAGAAACGGGTAGGTAGGTGTACTTGGTCCGGACATTTTTTTGACTACGCCACTTTTTACTTCATGGGTAATAAAGTTACACTTTTTGTTTTCATCCAGTAGCATTGTTTAAATTTAAACATGGCCGGTAAGTACCTATCTCAGAAATAAACGTACCTAGTGATTCTGTTTGTGGTATTAAAAGTTTCACAAAAAAGTAGTAGAGGGTCGCGAAAATAGCAATGCTCAGCTGAGACCATGGTGATGTATGGCTGAGACAGAGGACAAGGTAATCTCAACCAAATAATAAGACACCACGGTGCACTGCTGTTGCATTATGTGTTGCCTATCATCGACAACACAATTTTCATTATTCGACGAAACCTAATCGTCACGTACAATTCTGGAAATTGCTGTGAGCTATTGTTTCCTCACGGCAATAATCACAAATAAAAATTCCAGAGTAATATTCCTCCCTATACTTAATAAATATTTTGTATTTTTTCCTTGACATAGGTACGAAACGAAGAACTTAAAATTGCAAAATATCTCAAAAATTTGGAACAATTGTAGAAGTGTCAATTAAAATTAAAGCAATTATCTTTTTCAAATTCAATTCCTATTTCATTAAAAATTGTTTTACTCTGTAGAATACGAAAACCGTACTTACCTATGAATTGCATATCCATACGGAGAGTTTGGAGGATTTGCCAAACTTTCTTATTGCTAAAAAGAAAACTAAATAACGTCTTCCAAGCAGGAACCGTAGTAATTTATACTTTTAAAGCGATCAGGGTTGTTAATTTTGGCGGCATTTTGCATGAATTCGAGACGGCCATTTTATGTCAGTCACGTGACCCATAACTGTGTTAAGTTACGTTTGACCGAGGTATGGTTAAGAACACAGTCACTTTTATTGTAGGCTTTAAATTTAGTTTAATCCTCGTTGGTAGTTGCAATATTAATATAATTAGTTAATTAGTGTTATAAAAATCGTGTTGATGAAGGAAGAACGTGATTGTAAGATTTTATTTGTCAAATCCATTGATATTTTCTGTAAGATGTCAATATACACTGTCTATGCATAAGCTTTGAAATGGCGTCCTTCCACATGGCGATTAAATTTTGATCCGTATTTTTGGACGTACGCAGTCTAGTTGAGAAGATTTTCTTCATATTTCGAAAACCGGCATTTTTTAGCGTAGTGAAACTATTATATCACCAAAGAGAGTTCTTTAACCGTTGCTTTCTTTGTATGACGAATTTTACAAGGTTGCCATGTTTTAATAACATTACAAGATTTCTATCGTAGTTCATTAACAATTTTGGTGTTTATAATAAAACGTGCCTAACTAATTTTCTGTTTTCGTTCCAGAAAAGCTATTGTAAATAATTGTAAATACTGTAAAGATGAGTTCGACTACTCGAACCACTATTAAGGGTGGTAAAAGTGCTAAAGGGGATTCCAGTAAATCACACAAACATGACAAATCCGACACAGGTAAAGGTTCCGATAAACAGCATGGCGGCGGCGAAAATGCGAGGTCCAAAACTGACGATCCAGGCATTAAAGAAAAGGTGCGACAAGTTACAGAGATGACTAGGAGATCGGAGGAGGAAGTCTGTCTGGCTTTATACGAGTGCGATTACGATGCGGAACGCGCCATTAACATGCTATACGAGAATTTTATTGAGGTAAGCGCATAGCCATCCGTTTAGATATCGAGAGTGATTTTCGAAAAGTAAAACATTGTTTCTATTACGCTTTAGGGCGAGTGGGAAACATCCAGTAAGAAAAAAAAGAATAGACAGGCTTCGACTAGTAAAACTGAAACAGAAGAGGCAGCTCCCGTCGATGAATGGAACGAAACCCCAGAGCAACCTAGTGATAAAGAGAAACCGAGGAACAAAAATGGAGGCGGCCCACCTCGTCTCCATGGCAGACATAACGATAATAGAGGATGTAAGTAATGTTGCAACTAAATGCTCGATTTTCATATAAGATGGGTGTCATTTGTTGCCATTACTAAGGCAAACAATTGTTTCATGTCCGGAGGATACACTTTTGGTTAATAACAGTAGAACTGAGATTTGGCTTCCTGATAGTGTACCAGGCTCATTGCGAAACTAACAAAAAAAGCCTCCATGCATAATAATAATATAGTGTTAATTATGTGTGGAAATCCGACTAAGTACAGAATTTGTGCAGGTTCTTTTTAGTATAGCCGAGTGCTTTTAAATTGTAGATACACAGAACTGTCTGAATACTAACATCTACAAGACACTGTTGTGTGCCGAGGCCAGGGTACCATAACTTAATACGTTGTGAATCAAAGCGTATAGGCAGCATGTTATTTTCCTTTGAGGCGCAAACCATTAACCTGCATAAAACAAAAATCGTTTTGCTGATTTTTATTAACGAGCTCCTAAGTGAGTTCATGATTTTGGACTTTTTGTTCGTCCGTTCGTTTGTGTACATGATAACTCGTGAACGATTTCAAATTTTCGAATTCTATTTTCAGTGACCCAGGAGGGTGTTTGCTATATTTGTTACAAGTTTATTGAAATTGTATTGCAGTGTTCGTTATATTCAGGCGTATGTCCTCATAGCGTTTTAGTGTGAAGGTCTGAATTTTAGTTTTCCTTTTGTTTAATTTTAGGTTATTTACTGTCCATGGTCGAGATTCCGGTGCGTATGACCTCATGAGTGGTATGATAGTCATCGCCAATCGAGATTAGGTTAGCATTTTCAGCATACAGTATACACTTAATACGATTAGGCAGATAGAAAGACATGTTATTGATGCAGATTGAGAACACTAGCGGGCCCAGTATTGACCCCTGCGGATATTGATACTTCTTGGGATACGTTGTTGTTATACCGTAAGCCACTGGCTTCTTCTATTTAAATAGGACGACATTAAGGGTACCTAGTGTTTTTATCAAACTTGTATACTAATTCCAACTTAAGGCGCTTATGTGACACACAGTACCATGCCTTAGTAAGGTGTGGTGTAAAAGCCATGACAGCATTCTGCTCCTTTTTGTAACACCCAAAGATGGTTTGTTTAACATTTGTGTTTGTAAGTGCTCTCTTACTGAATCCACATTGGTGTTCATTGGAAAGACAGACATAGAGCTGTCAGATATACAATAGTATATTGAAAGACAAGTGTTACAATGCGACCTATTGTAATACGACTATCTTGTGGCACGAGTGTCCACAAGATAGGAGTATTAAAATAAAGCATTGTAACACGTGTTTTTCATACTATTTTTTCTATTTCGGGGCTTTAATTTAATTAAAAAGTAATTATGAAAAACTACAGGAAACTTTAGAATTAATTTGTCTTAAGTTGGCAACACCATTTACGTTGAGAAATTTTAAGTTGGCAGCGTAGATAAACACAACACTGACATTTGGAAACTTTAACTTCCATGAATGTGTAATTTTTATTCGTAGATAAATTTATTTATGGTGGATGTGTAAACTGCTGATTTGGAATGTATTAAGTTTTTCGTGTACCAAAAATCAAGGAAAACACATAAATTTTACGTAATTTGATTTCACATCTGATGATTTGACGTTGACGTCTTGGCGAACTGCCAACTTAGAGATGAAAAGTTACCAAAAACAATGTTACAATGGAACTCATTGAAACACTGTTTTTGCTGTATACAGTTGCACAAAATTCTCATTGTAACACCGAAATAGAAAAAATGAATTTAAGACGATATGAACTGAAGGTTGCTCAAGGAAGGGCTTCCTCTGCAATTGTTTCAAAGATTAATTTGGTAAATCACATTTTTAATCATTTACTATACAGAGTAGACGAGTCTCTATATACTTTAAATTTGTGGTCAGTGGCGTACTATCACTATTTTTTATTACATATTCTAAAAGTGCACACCTTTTACGCTGCTACATCCAAAAAGCGCACTCTTAATAAATATGTAATGAAAATTAGTAGTAGCTGCCATTAAAAAAATATACCCCTCTTGGTAATGCAGAAGTACGCCACTGTCCACAAATTGAGGATTGAACATACCTTCTACCCTTCATGGTATTCTAATGAAAGGTCTCATGGAAACGAATTGGTTTTTACAAGCTATAACTTTAATGCGTGACTCCTTTTCGAGATTAGCGGGTTAGGGGGGAGGGGGTAGAAATTGATTTTATCTCAGGGGGCTGGTTTTATCCTGCATGGTACTCTAATGAACGGTTTCTGCCAATCATAGTCCCCCTTCTCGACCCCTTATCATGATAGACTATAATGCCTTATATTTCAAGAGCGGATTGTCGGAGGAGGGTACTCATGAAGGACGATTGTGACGTCTGGAATAAATATATTCATTGGTGATGGCAAAACTTTAAAACCGAATATGTCAAAAACAGTTTGTCGGAGGGGAGTACTCACAAAAGGCAAAATGCAGTGCCTGGACGAAACATATCTAGTGGGGAAGTCAAAGCGAATATCTTGAAAGTATAGTATTGGAAGACAGTATTCATAAAGGCCAACTAGAAGGTCTGGACGAGACACATCTCCTGGTGAGGTCAAAACTTCACTGCAAATATTTGCAGCACGGAATATTGGAGGAGGTACTTTCAAAGGGCGGAAAGATTTTCAAGATGAAGATCCTTCTTGCATTATGTAGCGTAGATTTTGAGCGTGTGCCAGGCGGTTTTTAAATGGTTATGCGTAAAGATCTCCCTCCCCATAATCTACTAATAAGGTAAACATCGATAAATATAGCATCCTACTACCTTTGTAACCAGCTACTTAGGTTTAAAAAAATGCGCTGTGTCTGCACAGGAGTTGTGAACAGATCCAGTTTTTGAAATTTTCTAAACGGAATTTTAGTCACTTCACAAAACTGAAAAACTTGTCAAAACAGTCTATTGACTGACCGTTAACTTACTATGAGGTTTGGACCCAGGACGTCCCTTATAAAAATTGAAGGGAACACAAAAGACAAATTTCGTTTTAATTTTCCGTACCTTAAACGGTCAGAAATGGACGATCCCAATTAGCACCTTCTATGGGCACTTTTTTCATAGGATCTGTAATCTGTGTAATCACAATTTCCATAACACGCTTGATGTAGAAGCTACAGGCTACTAATTTCTTATTTCGTATGGCCGCCATATTGGATTTTTACGGAATGAGATGGAGGACAAAAAAAAGAAAAATAACGACCACACTGTATTGCGAAGGCGTCTAAGGGAGATCGTATCTTTTATTTTGGTCAAGTATACGTTAGAATGCAAAATTTTGCGTTATACGCATCACAAAATTTGCACTACACCGCTACCGATTAGAACTTCTACATACAGGGACTGCTAGCAACTATATATAAAGTTGTCTCAGGACTTAGAAGCATGAGGAGCCCCAAATTTAAACATTTAGCTGTCAAATTCATTTTGGCATATGAACGTCTTCTAGGGGGAAACAACTTTGAATTTTTGTTGTACATTCCTATGAATTAATTTGAATTAACGTGAATTAATTTGTATTGACGGGAATTAATTTGAATTTTTGGTATACACCAAAAATGGTACGTGTTTCCCCCTAGAACGTCTTCGTGTAATTTTAGGTATTCTCAATGCATTTGTATTAACGATTTGCCTTCAGTGAACTCTGCAGAACGCTCACATTTGAAATCCCGGGCATACGCTTTAAGAGGGAAATTGGCGTAAACTCTTGACTATACGTCAACATAGCTATTTTTAGCGCCAAAAAACAATTTCCGCAGATTCTCGCGTTCGTTCCTCATGATTTCTCAAATTTTTTGCAATAATAGCTCCGCGATCGCGGACTCACCTTCATTTTTCATGATGGACTCGTCCGTCATTTTTTTAAAATGGCGGAAAATGTATCTATCTCTCACCGTTATATTATTATATTTCGGAGATTCGTCTGTACGTACATACAGACTTTTTGAACCTCATTTTCAGGGTCCAGCGACCTTTTAGAACGTCTATGTAGGCCCTTGTAACAAGATCTGTTCACTAAGTCAATGAAAATAAAGTCAAAATTCGCTTTAAAAAACTGTAAGGAGTAGGGTATCATTAGAATTGCCGAAAGGGGGGCACAATTACAAGATGTTCATTAGAAAGTGATAGCCTAAGAGTCTAACCTGTACTGTACTGTTAACGACATAATTTACCCACAACTTTGATTTTCGCACATTTTTTTGTGAAACCAGTAATAACAGAATCATTGACATCTAAATTTTATGTTACTCTGGTCTTACAATATTTTTCAGCATTCATCCTGTATATCAACTAGTCCTAGTTGATAATGTGTAAATCTGCTTTATCTATAGTACCAATTTGCAAGGCCTTATTTTTCTTTCTCACGCGTGGATTTATCTTATCAGTCAATGTAATTTCAAATTGTGGGTTATCTGCCATGTGGGTTACCACGTTCTTTTTTCTTCTGCTAGTAGTAAGTTTGATTTTATTTTTATAAATCAAAATTTTGATTTAGATTTATCAATTCTATAGGAACTTGTTTCGGCTCACAAGGTAAAAGACATGGTAGCTATGAAATTCGGTGTTAACCATTTGCATGTACTTAGTCTAAAAAAAATGCTCCTTTGCACATCTTTTCAATTTTCTGAAACTCTTAGTTAAAATATATAACCAAATCTTCATGGCTCAACCAATCTCAGCTTTTCCTGTTATTTTTGCAAAAATCTTTATAAATGCCTCCCTAAAGCAAAGTGGTGATTTTCATGACAACGTATTGTACTAAAGTCAATAGTGAGGCTAATACACAAAAACTCAAAATATACAATAAAAATTTTTTTAATTTAGGGAGGGGTAGAGAAAATAAAGAGAACGAGCGTAACCTGAACGATGGAAACCAACAGGATCGTAAGGAACGACGTGGCAGGGGTGGACATGTTAGAGGAGGACCTGGTCGAGGACGCGGTGGTGGAAGGGCTGGGTCCAGGTATCCACCACGCAACAATCGGAGTAATTTTCCGAACGCTAGACCTACAATTGAGACATGGGACAACTCAATACCGTGGGAAAGCACCACAATTACGAACAGTTCTCATACAAACTTTGCGGGTAATTTTCTCTCAATGAATTTGTCGCAGTTTTAAAACTCATATTGTAGAAGAAAATTGGGACGAGTTTCCCCAAACAGATGATTGGTCAACGGAGGAATATACAGGTAGTTTAGCGGATACTAAGGTGTTCACACCAAGTATGGCTATGGCATCTGAAATTGAGGCAAACATGGAAGCCAATTCACCCAATGTTATGCCATCAATGACGATAGAAGCTGTATGTTGCTGCGTGGCAGGTTTCAATTTGACTAATGTTGACCTTTGCAGATGGATCCTCCGATGGTTGGAAGTTTAAATGCTGCCCAAACGCAGTATTTTAACCAATTAACGCAACAAAGTAATGAAAATGTGAAAGCTGCGCAGTACTCAAGTCACCAATCTCAGTCGTACGACTCAACATCTCAGCCGTATAATACGGCACAAACTTACGCTAACAATAACACAAACACTTCGGCACAATATAACAATGCTCAATACGGTTCATCTCCTAATACAAACACATACAGCAACAACAGTAACTACGTAGTCGGGAATAGTAACTATGTGACGACCCCCGATACACAGACACCACCCCAACATCATCCCGTGCGGACTAAGGCGCAAAGAGCGAGGGTACCACCTCCCTCCAAGGTAATTGCTTGCTCTGACGCGTGTAATGAGAATTGACACAGTCTTTCAGATTCCCTCGAGTGCTGTCGAAATGCCGGGTGACATCAATAGTAGCATTGCTTATTTGGATGTCCAGTTTGGTGCAATGGACTTTATCTCTGATGCCAGTTCCTTCGACGGTGTTGTAGATAATAAATTTAGTCCAACAAACGATACTAATTTAACAAGCACCTTGCAAACCCCAAATTCTAACATAGATCTGATGGATCTCAGCCAATCAGTGCAAAATCCCCCATTAGATGTGTATGCCTCTAAACCAAATACCCAACAAAGCAGTATTACAACGGTTCTCTCGCAAAATGTAATATTTAACGATCAGTTTTGTCGTATTTTAATTGGAGCCTTTCAGATTTCTAATGCGGACACCATTCCACAAGCTAACGAACATTTGACGGCGTCATATACAACGTTACCGAGGAGCTCTACTGTTGCTGCTAATGCGACTCAGACAATAACACCTGCGGCGCTTGAACTGAACAAACAAAGTGAAAAACATTCTTATTCGCAAAGTTCTTCGTATAATTCGTATCAGCCGAAGACCACCACTTATCAAAATCAAAACTATAGCTCTTCAAGTTACAGCACGCCACAGGTACTTATCTCTACCAAATTATCACATTTCAAGATCTGCGTTGTAGTTTAACGTCTTCTCCCCTTATTTATGTATCGCTCATTAGAAGCAGTAGACTTTCAACACATGAGATTGTCTTATTACAAATGTGTGTAATGTTCCCATACCATAAATTTTCTACCTGAAGAACCGAGATGGCGCCACTTCCGGTGTTTACGGAAGCGGCTCCATCTTGTGTATATTGAGGTCCATTTTTACAGATTTTTAGTTCATTACATTTTCAAAGTGGGATTAATACTTTAATGCTACCAAATAGCCACCTAATGAAATATTGTTACCCTTTGGAGGTGTAGACTTAAACATACATGATGAGTCGATGACGAAACTGAGAGCTGGTGTAATGTGAACAGTTGTATCTTGGACAAGTTATTTGTACAATTTACATTCTGTCATAATTACGCCTTCATCAGTGTTGATTTGGCAGTCTGACTTCTTGCGTACATTTCACAGGATTGTGAATATACGACTAGGATCTAACTTGTTCCTGTTTACTTTTAGACGACCGCGAACAGCTACGTCAACAGTAATACACCATCGTACAACACACAGAATGCTGGTAATGCTTATCAAAATTCGTATTCATCTGTCAGTTCATATCAAACGAGTAATTCAAACTCATCGACTTTTCCGGCAATTAGTCAAGCTAATAGCTATCCTGCCAACAATCAATTTCATCAACAAACTAGTCAATCCGTCTATGGAGGAAATACAGGTAAATCTCTTTGGTTTGTCGCAGGTTCGCGTTACTCGATTTTTTTATGTTTCAGGTCTTAATAGCAATTCGAGTTATGGTAACGCGACGAGCGGAAATCAGTACAGTAGTTACAATACCAGTAGTAATAAATCGGTGAAGGAGTCGAATTATGATGGTAGCACAACTTCCGTTAGTAGCACGACGACCGTTGTTAGTAGCATTAACAACACATCCTCGCTAACACAAACAACATCGACGGGAGCGAAATCTACAACTGCATTAGGTAAGTATTTAAATTGCACTAAGTTGCAAGAAAATAGGAAGGATCATTGTTCCTTCTCTGTATGCTTTATTCAATTATAATATGCAGTGCAGCATGTAGTGTTTGATATTCCGAAGACCTGTAAACACTTGAAGATGGTCACTATGGCTTGCCTACATGGGTTGACCATAGTGGGACGTTACGGGTCGTAGTAGCAAAGTGGCAGTTTGTGTTATAACAATTTCTAGGTAGAACTACTCTCATGCTGCTTGCTTTGCCTTTAAAAAATATCCTTCTGTTAGTTGATGGGTTTACTGGACTGTTACTCACATTAGGTCAATTAGGTGTCCTATTCTCATGTACCACTTGAAAATGAAATTAAATGATATGTTTGAGTGGCCTTTCACAGGGATATACTTTATAGTTCCACACTGGGATGCTTTATCGCCGAGTTAGAAGCAAAAGTATAAACATAAGAGATAAGACCCAGTACTGGTACGTTTTAAATTGTACAGGGTGGCCAAATATGGTGAGGTACTGTATCTGGGAACCTATCCATTGTAGAGGCTTGCGGTAAAAAAATTTTTTACTAAAACGGCTAAGAGAAAAACTGGAAAATATGTTGAAGTTTCTGCAATGGCCGCTAGGGGGCGTAACTGCAATCTGGAATCTAAAAAAATGATTTTTCTGTGAATTCCGCTATATTAGCGTAACAAAAAAATGTCCGGTCTTTGAACTTGACGATAATCTGAACCTTTTTTGTTTGACAATTTTTCATGTATCTCTAAAAATGATGTGGTGGGGGGTATTCAAAGGTTTCCGTAAAGAACACCCTGTATCTTCGAAACGACTGAGCCGATTTTAACAAACTCAGGTTAATTGAAAAGAGTTATTCTTCGGCTATAAATATTATAATATTTGAAGTTTTGTTAGTTTCACATATCGCCGCTTGAGGGCTTTTTTCGACATTCCGACCGAAATGGTTAATTTTCTCAAAAAAATGAAATGCGTTGGTTTGATTTTTTTTTCATGAAAAAGTAGCTAAATGATGCCTAAACAAGCTTGCGAAAACCCCATCTCGATATCTTGCTCCTAACCTAAAATTTAGGCCAAAGAAAATTTTATACCCTCAAAATTTTATTTTTTTTAAGCGAATTTTTTCGGAATTATTTTTATTATATAATTTGTGGCCCTAAGGTGGATCGATTTAAAAAAGCAAGCTTACGGCGTAAATGCCCGAAATGCTGGCCACCACGATATAAAAAAATATATATATCTCAAGATTTCGAGATGCTGTTTTCGCGGGTTTGTTTAGGCATCATTTAGCCACTTTTTCATGAAAAAAAATCGAACCAATGCATTTAATTTTTTTGAGAAAATTAACCATTTTTGTCGGAATGTCGAAAAAAGCCCTCAAGCGGTGATATGTGAAACTAACAAAACTTCAAATAGTATAATATTTGTAGCTGAAGAATAGCTCTTTTGAACTAACTCGAGTTTGTTTAAATCGGCTCAGCCATTTCGAATATACAGAGTGTTCTTTACGGAAACCTTTGAATACCCCCCACCACTTCATTTTTAGAGATACAGGAAAAATTGTCAAACAAAAATTATTCAGATTATCGTCAACTTGAAAGACCGGACATTTTTTTGTTAGGTTAATATAGCGGAATTCACAGAAACATCAGTTTTTTAGATTCCAAATTGCAGTTACGCCCCTTAGCGGTCATTTCAGAAACTTAAAAATACTTTCCAGGTTTTTCTCGTGGCCATTTTAGTAATAAATTTTTTACCCCAAGCCTCTGCGATGAATAGATTCTCAGATACAGTATCTCGCATTCTTAGTTGGCCACCCTGTACATCTAAGGTCCTCATTTTGTGTTGTGGCAGTTTGCGGGCGTTTGTTGTTTATGCTAAAGGAAGTGTCAGGGCAAAGATAATTTAGGGTAAACTAGGGAAATCATTACAGAGATGGGTAAAAGTGTGAAACCAAAATATCTCTGGAGTTTCAAGAAAGCTAGTGGTAGGTAGGTACCTATAGTCAATTGTGTATTTCTATTTTAATTTTTAATAGAACATTTTTTTAAGTACAAATATTGTAAAAAAATGTTCTAGTTAAAATTTGACATAATATACAGGATGTTCCTTTACAAATTTTAATAAACTTGTATTTGTTAAATACCAAGCAAGTACACAATTCATTATAATAGCTTCAGCAGTCAAGTGTAGCACGTCACATCAAACAAAAAGAATGTCCAGTGTAATCTGTTCCTATCAAACACATTGGTGCTGCTTAACCTAACTTAAATTAAATTAAATGGGTGTTCCTATTGGGCAAATAAAGCATTATTATTATTTAAGTTTCACTTATTAATAGTATGTTCCATGAATGAACCGATATTACCGAAACCATGGTTCCGGTATTCTCCATTTATTTGTGGTGACGTCTTATTTACGGAACAATACCGAGTACCGATTGCAGAGCAACATAACCTCAAACGTCTTATCGTAAAAGTTGAGTTGTTGAGAAAAATCTGTTGCATGTACTACACGCATTGACTGAGGAAGCAAAAACAATACATGTATGAAGGTGTGATTCTGATTCAGTTATTTTGGTTCATAATTTTTCATGCTTCAATGATATATTTGAAGGTTGTATCTTCATTGATATTGGGTCAGGAAAAAACCGAAAATTCATGAATTTCGCAAAAATCTGTCAGGGTTCAAATCACTACATTGCTCCAATGCGATGATCCAACTTTTGCGAAAACCATTTATGATACTTGAGGTGGAATCGCTTTGTATAAAGATTTGTGGAGGCGGATACATTAATGGATTATGGATCAATAAATGTAAAACAAATTTCATCCAAATAATTCTCATAGGTCAATTACTTTAGGAATATTCTCAAACAAAATTAATTACGCAAGTTCCAAAAAATAACCGCACACCACTTTAAGAAATCATAACAATTTTAAATAACTGAAGTAATTGACGTGAATAATATTCCCTTTTGGTAACACTTAATCTTATCTCTCCTTGGAAAATACCGCTCCTTTTAGAAATATCGAAATGGATCGCTTCGATGGTACAGTTGACGGTAACTTTATGTTCATGATGAAGGCAAAATTAGATAGACGAAAAGTTTGCATAAATCGCGAATCCCAAGTAAACTGGCTACAACTTCTCGAAGCTAATACACAAGATCATGATTACACCCAGGAATAAAATACCAATGTTTCACTGTGTTGGTATTACACTAGAATTCCGATTATCTGTGTTCTACGGGACCGAAGAAGCACATATAACTGGAAAGCACGGATAATCCAAATATTATTTCTATTTTGCCATTTTAAAGAGAAACACGCACACGCGCGGTTGTAACACAATGTCAGGTTAAACTTCAGTTTGGTTTAACCGACAGATTTGAGAAATACGATTGGCCAACTTGTGAAATATTAGCCAATCAAATCCTTTAACCCACAATTCAACTATAAACTGAAGTTTAACCTGACATTATACAAGAGTAGTCTTCGGGTTTCGCCTATTAGCTGTTTGTTAATGCAGAATAAGTTTTATAAATTCTGTCAAGTGTTTAAGGTACTAGGAGTAGAGAAAAAAATTTTAATTTTTGCTCGGATTTTCCTGTATAAAAAGTTGATTACAATTATTAATGATTTGTTTGTTTGTTTTTTAAGCTAAGAATACAAACAACAACGTGATGTCGAATATACCACCGGCCGGCGTAACTCCCGTTATGAGTACACAATACATAATGAGCAACGTGCCGTTTTTCCAGCAGCCTATCTACTCGTTTGAAGAAATGCAGTTATTACAACAAAGGATGCCTCATATGGTGAGTAACAATGCAGAGTGCATAGAGGGAGAACCTTTGTTTTTCTAGACGGGTTATTATGATATGAGTTACCAAACACCAACAACGTTAACGGCGGTAAGGGACGGAACCTTGGCTAATGTAGCGTATTCCATTTCGGATGGTCGGTTTACACGGGGAGACAACAATACCTCACCGGTACCTTCCACTCTATCGCAACAGACGAGTACGGGACATCAAGCGCAGCCTATGCTAGCTGCCCAAACGGGAGCTGCACCATTTTTTTATGCACCTTACAATGCCTTACAGCCGACGTATCAGTTTCCAGTGTATCCTGTAAGTATTTCTATCGTTTAGTTTTATTTAAATAACTTTCCCATTGTTGTCATATGCTTGCATATTCTAATTTTGCATTTTATTTAACCCGCTTCCGATCGAAAAGAATATGCTCAATTGGATCCTATTACGTACATGAACATGTAGTTACGTTGTAGGTGTCTTTTAACAGCTTGTATGTTTATGCGTACATGATTCGGCAGAAATATGTTACTAGCTGGGGTTTTTTTAATCTGAATGTGCAAAAGTATTATATATTTTAATAACGTAATTATCCCGTTGCATATGTGACAGGTGAATGATAGGATTATCGCATTGCAGCAACTTCCAACCGTTACGAATGCTCATGGGTCTAATAACAGTCAGTATCCTAAACCGGCGACGTATGGATCTGGTTATGGTTCTGGCTATGACCCTCTCACGCAGACCCAAGATTATAGTAAAGGAGGGTATGTAAGCAATACTCAAAGTCAAAGTAAGGGGTCTGGTGCTAACGCTTCAACGGGTGGCTCATCTGCTAATGATTTAACTGCTATTTATGGAAAATCGCATACAGCACTGGGAAAAGTTAATGTAAGCATAAATTGTCTCTTCGTTTTATTGTTTATGTGCCTTTTTATATGATGATACAGATGACGAGACCGATGTAGGTGTTTGTATAGAATTAACGCTCGTATGAACAAGTGTTTTGTTTCATATTTGCTTATTCTATTGATAACACCTACAGTAGACGATTTGGCAATCTGACTTGTACTACAAAATAATTTTTTTATCTTACGAAAGAATGGATTCCTCAATTTAAATTACATTGTTTCAGTCGTATGATAAACAAGGATTTCATTCGGGAACCCCACCTCCATTCCCTGGAACATTACATGGGAATCAAAGTACGGCGTTAGCGCCTAGCGGGACTAACTTTAATCCGATGTACATTTCAACGATGCCACCACAACAGCACCATTCAACTCCTCTAATTCATCAACCGATACATCAGGTATAATGAGTAAATTTTTCAATAGTTGTGTTGCCAATAATGGAAACCACAATTTTTTATGTGAAAAAATTAAAAATGTCTCATTACTAGTCAATCGCAACATTCCACGTTGGTTTATATTGAAACTTAATGTTAATTGATTGTTATTGTTTTACGTGTTTCTATGCAGCATGTCCTTCTTTTTGGTTATTCAGGTTTTGTTTTGCTTATAGATGGAAGTACGGCAAGGCCGGCGTATGGTAAGTTAAATCTTAAAAAACACGTGAGCTTTTCTTGTTTTGCGTTATTGTCGTACTGCTGGTATGAGAATGACTTACGAATAAGATGCCTGTAACATTGCTTGTACTAATTCGTAATTTTTGGAGCGTTTAAACAGTAATTATGTAATAAAAACACAAATGTAATATGTTGAATAATCGACACACCGAAATGGCAATTTAAAGCTCGGATCAAAAATGTTTTTGTTCTTACTCAAATTATACTCTGTTTTGTGATAGACAGTTCAACAGAATACTGCACTGACGGTGAGCAAATCCAAAAGAGAGATGGAGTGTTAATTTAATATCATAACCTAAAAAATGAACATTTTTTTCTATTCCTAAATTGCACAGTTCCTCTGTAAAATGCTGTAACAAAAGCTTACTAACTTAAGCATGCATTGTGACATAATTGGGGTTAATTTGGAAGGGTGAGTAACAAAATTGAACTGGGAAATTGAATTATCTCTTAATTCCCTTTTTTCTGCCCTTTTGGTGTGGGTGTCATTGTAAAGTATGTAGTTTGAAAGGAGAAGTGATTAATATTTAACTGTGGCATTGAGTTACTATAAAACATTTGTTCCGTTGTAAGTGTTTGCATGGGACACAGTGGGTTGAAGGGTATATTAAACTTGGGTCAGTTGTTGAATATAGTAACAATGAAACCTTGAAAGGGGTTTATGTAAGTAGATTGGTGGAAATGTGTCTTATGAAACAGGAAGATACTGTTTAGAATATTCAGTTACTCGGAATATCCATCCACCATATCATTTCGTCAATTTGACAGAAATGAGTTTGGTTTAGTTTACGGTATAGTAGTGTTTCTAATGGCTGCAGATGCAGAAGCTATATGGGGTATTGATAAAAGCTGTCAATTGTAGATAGGGTTGCTGGTTGCACATTCTCCGACTGTACCACCAATTAGAACAGTTGTTACAATTAACACCTTAAGGATTTTGTTTCTTTAAAATTTGTGTCGAGATCAAGAATCAAGTCGGTTAAGACTTGCTAAAGAACTACAGAAGAATTACTTTATCTAATCACTGATATTTTGCTTTATCGTCGTGAGAGTGTGGTTAGGGTTGTTTAAGTGTCGTCAGAATATTCTAAAAAGCGAAAAGAATTGATTTGATTCAAAAAAGGACCAACATATGATAATCCCCTTTGTTTAGTCAACCTCATTGTATATGATTGGTAAAGGGTGGGTATATTTCGCACAAATAGCCTCAAAAACTTAATCTAGATTCGGCGCAATACGATTTCTGGCCATTTTTATTTTGTTTGCTTATATTAGAGGAACGGGCGTCCTATAATTGTTTTGGTAGTGGTTGGCCATTGATAATTTGTTTTTCTGAATGTCAAACGTCAAAGTCACAAAAAATCAGACACGTTTAAATTAAACAACAAAAGCAATTGTGTCAAATTTGACAAATGTCACATGTAAACACACAGAAACCAATAACAGGAACTGTAGTTAAATATTTCAGACTCTCAATTACATATTAACAAGTATTTATTTGTTTTGTATCAGCAACAAAAATTGGTATAGATGTATGTGACCACAAAATTGCTTATTGACAAATTTTGAAAAAAAATAATTTTTAAATCTAAAATCAATATACCTAAAGGTGAAATTTCTGATTATCATAATTTTTGGTTAAGAATGCAGTGTATCTCAGCTGTTTTTCAAGATAGAGACTTGCAGTTTCGCGACCATGTGCCAGTTTTTTTGTGAAACTTAACACCACAGTCAATCTAGTTACTTTCGTTTCTGAGACACAGAGTGAGAACGAAAAGTTGGGCTATAAATCCGGAGGTCGAGTGTTCGAACCTGGTTTGAGGTGAATTTTTCATCTGTGGCAGAGATGGGAATTTCCTTAGGTCAGTTTCATGCATTCTGCCGGCTACTCCGAATTAGGTTTTCCTGCAGTTTTCCTAATTCGTAAGGTAAATACTGGAGTAGTATAGAACAACTTAAGACCTTCTGCTGGGGCAACTTTAAAAAGCATTCAAGCCTGTTGAGGGCCTAGAACAAGAGGGACAATAAATAAATAAATAAATAAATCTTTTTGGGATGTATCATGTCTTACTATCCAAATAAGATAGAAAGATACCAACTTTGGGTCAAATCTCAGAAACGGTGGTCCAAAATTGTTTTGACTACGCCACTGGGTTCTACGTAACAATATCTAAAACATGCACTTTTAACCTTTTTTTCTATCTTACATGTGATAACATCCCAAAAGTCAAACTTTTCGTTTTCATTCTGTATTTGAGAAACAAACGTAACTAGATTGATTCTGTTTGTGGTATTAAAAGTTTCACAAAAAGTGGCACTAGGTCGCAAAAACCGCAAGTCTCTACCTTTAAAAACAACCAAGATACACTGCAGTCTCAACCAAAGTAGGACACACTGTACATTATTAAAATGTTAAAATTGTCGGAGTTAAAAAGTGCATGGGAGAAACAGAATAGGGTTGCATGTTGCTCCTTGTAGTCTGCATACCGCCTCAGTAATGTTTCAATAGACATGTTTCAACAGAAACATCTTTCTTTCGTGTTGTCTATAATATACAAATTAGAGAGAAAAAACTCTACAAGGTGTCCATATTTTGCCCACCACCGTCAGGATTTTGGGTATCTTCAGAGCAGAATTTAAAATTTCAAATGTAGTTTTCATAATAATTTAATAAAGTTACGTAGTATATTCAAAGCAACTAAAATACTCATATATTTAATTGTGAAAAGAGGATCTTGGAGATAAAAGATGACATTGTATCGATTGTTTTGATAGTATACAGGGTGGTTCAAATTCGTGACTTACCGTTGGGATCTCCGTAACGGCGAGAGATATAGTGAAGGTTAAATGGAGTTGTTCCTGTTTGTTAAAGCTTTTGAAATCTTTAAAAATATCACTGAAAAATTGAAAATGCAAATTTCGTTTTTATTTTGCTTAGCTTAAACAGTCGAAAGTGTCTATGGGCATGTCTTTTCAAAGTATGTGAATCTTTAATCAGAATTCCCATAACACTACATGTAGAAAGGTACAGGCTACTACTTTCTTATTTCTTATGGACGCCATATTGGATTTTTACAGAATGAGATCGCCGTCATAGTCATGTTGTCTTATAGCGTTTTCGATTGGCAAAACTCGTACAGCACGAGTGTTGCACGAGAAACTGAAGAAATCCATGTGAAAATTGCTCTCAATGGAACATAAATATTCGTAAATATTTGTTGTCATTTGTCCATAACCTCATTTTAGATTTAGGTAATCGTCAAATCTCTATTCTAAAAAATGACAAACGATTTCAGTATTATTTATGATAAACGATGAGGAATATAAATTTGAAATTCCTGTAAAGGACCAATTTTTGGCGTTCAGTTTAATGAGCAACTTTTTGTAAAATAGAAGTTATGGCTAGTTCATCATCTTCGCTATCGCTAGATGACCACAAAAAACTCTCCCAACGCAAGAAACAAATTCAAATTGTCGCACGTTTGTTTTGAAAATTTGTTAACTAGCAGCTCCACGAGCTCTCGGACCTCGTGCGTCGAAATTTGCACTGAGTGCGTAATTGTTGCATCACATTTGCCAATGGAACACAGAAAATTGCCCTAAAATTACCAATAGAACGTAAAAATTGCACTCGTGCAGCACAAGTTTTGCCAATCGAAAACGCTATTAGTTACTTGTTGATGTTTTGTTGAGAAATGAATGTAAAACTTGATTGATTTGGACATTTTTTTGTAAATGTGTGTAAAAGTATAGTGTGACACCTCATTGTTTTCCTTTTTTTGTTCTCTCTCATTCCGTAAAAATCCAATATGGCGTCCATAAGAAATAAGAAAGTAGCCTGTAGCTTCTACATCTCGCGTATTATGGACGTTCTGATAACAGATTCAGATTCTGCGAAAAAAAGTGCTCATAGAAAGTGCTAACGAGAAAGTTCAAATACGTTATTTTAGTCGGAAACTTTGCCCCTATTTAACGTACACTGTTATGGAGATCCCAAGTGGTGAGTCACGAATTTAAACCACCCTGTACAATATTTGATCTAAAATATTCACTAAAATGCCTTACTCAGATGCAGTAAAGCTTCTACATTCTGCCTTCAAATGAAAAACTTTTCATATCCAATTCCTTTCAAGGAGGCGCAAAAAAAGGACACCTTTGTGTATGTCAAAACAGTCTTGCATAATGTAATTTTGGCAATTTGAATGCGTGGCAAGTTTTAACCTAACTGTTGTGTTCTGGATCAGTGTTTGGAAATGTGTTAAGTTTTGAAAAAAAATGATGTACTTATGAAATAACTGAATTGTTCTCATTGCATCAAGTAAACTAACTTTTATGTGTGAACGTTAAATGTCCATTATTGGTAAACGCTTGTTTGCTTGTTATATACTGGCATCCCTACAATCATCCTTGACGTTGTTCCTCATTGTTGTAGGATTCCACTAGTACAGGTCAGCGTTCGCAAGCATCCAGCCAAGCAAAATCTGGGGCAAAGCAGAACTATCCGCCGTCCTATTGGAATCAAGCCTAAATAAGCTGCCCACCTGATCACTTTGTCATTCTTAGATAATGGTTTGTGGCAAATGTATGTGTGAAAAAAGTAACTACTCAAGCGAACCACTAATTGCCCTTTGTTATCTTTAGTGATTAACATTTTTTTTTAATGTGTCTAAAAGTAAATTATTTTTCTTTATATTTATTTTGAAAAAATGTGCATAAGATTTTATACAAAATGAACACAAATCTAATGTATGATATTTTTTATGACCATTTTGTCAGTTTTATTTTGTATAAAATCGAGGAACTATTTTATTTTTAGGTTGTAAAATCGTTCGCAATTTCTGTTACAGCTCTATTTAGGTAGTGGAAGAGGAGAACAAAATTTAATTTTTTTTTTCGATTTAGTATCTCCATGTGTATAATGCAGAAATTGTTTAAGACTGTATTTTATATTACAAAAAAATACATGATCCTTTTTTACCCATATTAGTAGAATGATTACTTATTGGTTTTTCATTTAGCTTAATTTTTTATTATAGGTGACAAAGTGATTTGACTGGTGTTTAAAGTCAATTTACAGGTCTCGCAAATCACAAAAAAATAATATGTTGATCGGTTTGAGTGCCGAGTATTGTTGTAAATATTAAAATTGCTTAGAAAGAAATTTCGTACTGAAGAAATCTGTATCTAGGTCTTTGCCTTGCATTTTACATTAGTAAATAGTATTCAGTAGGTAAATTAACGTACCTAAAATTTTGGTCATTTTGACTGACCTTGTGGTAATCTTTCTTTTGTGGAAAAGATTTGCCAGTATTGATCTTTGATTTATTATTAGGTTATGTTATAAACTAAATTATCTTTATGTAACTATGCTATGTATAAATAATCACATGTGTAGAAATCACGACTTACTGTATATGTGTAGTTTTGTTTTGTATTTGCCTGAGAATCTACAAATGAAAATACATATTAATATGGATATATTAATACTTTATTTTCCCTGTAGTTAATAAAAATAATTAATTTGTTTTATTTATTAGCTTTAAGTACAACTGAGACGTTTGAGCGCCTCAATCGTTTTTTCTAATAATTGTTTAATTTTCTTAGACAATTTGGGTTTAAAGAAAAAAATTGACAACTGTAAAGGGTTGCTATTTGTCATTGCTCATAATGCGCTCTTGAATAGAATATTTTGCAATTAAAATCCCTTTGAATTTGTGTTGACCGACTTTGTAATTGGTTTACACTTGTGAACTTTGGGATCAACGTGTGCTTAAGACAGTTTGGGGTATGTGGAATGAAACGTATACAAATTTTAAATGTTAATTAACTCGTTGCTTTTTTATAGGGGACCACAGATGACCATTTAGCCAATTGAAAATATCTTCTATGGAACTCGAGCTGAACAAAGTGAAAACAATTCTATTTGCAATTCATATCAACAGTTCAGGTATTTATCTCTTTTCGAACTTATTAGTTATTACATGCTAAATCTACATGATGAGTCGATGACGAAACTGAGTGCTGGTTGTAATGTGAGCAGTTGTATCTTGGACAAGTTTTTTGTGCAATTTACATTCTATCACAATTACCCCTGTGTCAATGTTGATTTGGCAGTCTGATTTTTTGCACATTTCTCTCAAACCGTTGTTAATACAACTGGAATCTAATTTATTTCTTTTTAGATAACTACAAACAGTTGCTGGTACCTCATCACATCACTAGTACACTGTCCTGTAACGCATAGAGCACCAGTAATCCCGATTAAAATTGGTGTTCATCTGCTTCTTTGTATCAAATAAGTAATCAATTTTTCCGGCAATTCAGTAAGCTAAAAGCAATTCCGCAAAGTGGTTATACAGAGTGGTGCAGGTAAGTTACTGATTCTGTTACAGGATAGTTTTATTTGTTTTATTAATGTTTCAGATCTTAATAGCAATGCGAGCTGTAGTAATGTGGCCAGCGGAAATCAAAGTACTCATAGTGAAAAAAAATAGTATATATACCGCATGGCCATGGTAGAGAAGTCTATTATTGCCTTCGCACCTTACACCGCTCAGCGCAAGCGCATCGGGATTATAAACTGTGCTCGGGCAATAATACTAGACTTCCCTACCTTGTTATATACTTTACTAGTTTCTATGTCGTTTTGCTGTGCGTGAAAAAAATATAATGGGATTAATAGGTATGACATTAAAAGAAAATTGAATATAATAATAAAAAACTAGCACCCAATTTTTTTCCAAAATTTTAAGTCATAAACCAAGTGCCCAATAAATTTTTGAATGTGGTATATTATTACCCAGTCATAATTTTGGTTTATGGAGGGATGGTGTCCCGGAATTAAAGGTAGTCAATATGGCAACCCTGTTGTGACATCAAGAGTAATCTTCCAGTATGTAAAGCCTTTATTTATTTTTTTATTATCCTTCTCTTGTTCTGGGCCCTCAACAGGTAAAAAAACTCATTTTATATGACTGTCAAAATGACATGTCTCAAACACTAATGTTTAACAAAGGCACATGTTGGATTTGTTCAAAACATTACTAAATTATACAATTTGTTTTAAATATTGCCCACGGCATATCAACTTCGTCAGGGGCCCTAGGCAGTGTACCCCCTTTCTCTCCTTTACTTCATCCTGTTCTTTTTAATAGTATATACCATGGTAGAGAAATCTATAGTATTATTTTGCCCCCCCCCCCTCCTTGAATGAAACGATTAAGCTCAACTTTTTGCCTTTCTAAAGCTATGTCCCCTTTGAATTTAATGCAATTCGTTGCAACGGAGCTGTCGAAAAAGCATTTTCCTTATTTTTGGCTTACATTTCCAATTCACTTCGATCTACAAATATGATAAGGAATCTAATTACAAAATTTTATCGTAATCGGTCCATCCGTACATTTTATAAATCGATGGCATGAACGTCGTAAAATTGGGAGGTTATTGAAAACACTCCAAATTTCGATTTTGAGATTTCACCGGATCTTGACGTTTTAAGGTCCCAGGAGTCCAAAACAGTGGTTTAAATAAATTCTTGTATGCTCGTACGGGCGGTGCAGGCGAAATTACCCGACCGGCGACCGATTTGGTTAAAATTTGAAACAGATGTTCTCTTAAATAGTCTCGAGAGCTGAAAAACTTTGGGAAGCGATTCGAAAAAGGGAAATGCCTGTGGTAAAAAAAATCGATATTTATTGAATTACGTATAACTGTGTAAGTAGCAACCCGCGACTTGACCGACGCTTAAATTTTCTTATTTAGTAAGGTATGAGCAACAAAATTTTGATTCGAGAGGTGGAAATTAGGTCACGGCTAATATTAATTAGTTTAACAGTTCGCGTTAAGAAGTTTTTACCCATCAGTGAGTTGACTGTGTAGTTAAATACAGTGGTGGGTGAAATCATAGCCGTGTAATTGATCGGTGCGATTGACGAGGTTTTTGCTACCATTTTTTGGTTTTTAGAAAATGTCACGTTACACCCATTGATTGTACACCTGTACAATCATTGGTTACACTGTTACAAGTTTGTTGACCCTGTATAATATACATGGAATGCACCCACTTGAGTTGTAGTAATTTTAACAAGTAACTAAAATGACGTATGGCAATGCTGTTTGTTACTGTCATTGTGACAGCGACGGCCATCGTTCTTAAAACACAATAAATTAAATTTGCAATGTTGAATTCGGCATATATTTCAATGTTTTTGACTTTGAAATGCAACGAAATTGAGTTTGGAAAACGAAATATTCAATGCCAATATCTAAATGGTGTGTGCTTATATACAGTTTATAGTCGAAATTTCTATATCTAACCTATTGTTTATTTAATTTTTTTTGTTTATTAACTGTATGTGAGTACTTGAATTTTGTTTCGTTTCAGATGCGATTCGTAATTAATTAGTCACTTCCAATTGGAAGATATACGAGAATGTATTAGCTTATGCTCACAATTTACACAATGAATTTTAACCACTCCTGGAATGGAAATAGGGGTAGAAATCGTGGCAATAGGGGCTCTACACGAAATTGGAGAGGTGGACACTATAGAGGGGGATCACATTTTCATCGTGGTGCTCCTCCACTGTTAAATTCGGATAATTATTATAGCCCTAATCGATTCCGTGGACACGAAAACTTCTCTAATTAGTATACACCAACCACCTGTTTGTTTTTTACCTAACCGTGTGCTTTTTTAGTTATCCACATTTGCCTATTGGTCAAAATGAACAATGGGCTCCAAGGAGTAGACCTCCGCTTCTGGTCAATCCACGACAGTCGATTCCACATAACTCGCATTTTCAACATCAGAACCCCCCCAGATCGCTATCACCACTACCCGGTTCGGAAGAGTATATGGAGCGAAACATAAGTGAAAAGAGTGCATTATTAAAACGTGAACTTGAACTCGAAGGCTCTGGTTCAATTACTGACAGTGTGAGACCGTTACAATCAGTGAATAGTGACTTCCAAACTGATAGTGCAAATAACAACTTTTTCGAAAACACATATCCGAGGGAATGTGATGAAGATAAGACGGTGTGTGAAGTGTCACAATCCCCACGTCGAAGTAAAAAGCAACGACCTATTTCGCAGAGCGTAGAGGAGATCCACCAAAAAATTATAAATCACATTTCTAATTTAAGTTATAATAAAAAAATGAATTTAGTAAATCTCTCGGGACCGTCCGGATATGACATTGCTATTCAGGAGATCACGCGACAAAAACGCATGGAACTTTCCAAGGTGTTACGAGATATGTGTCACAATAAATTTAAGGAGACTGAGGATAGCAGTCAAGTTATTAATGCTATTATTCCTGACTTTGATATTAAAATCGAGGAGTTGCCGCGAGAAGTGGTGGAGCAGCTTAGTAGTACTCTGGATGAGGATGTTACAGAACGTGTCAGTATGTGCATCGATCCAGAGTTGATGTTTCAGCAGGCCGCCGAGATGTTAAGTACTACGTTGGATATTGACAAAACCTGCGAAGAGGACAATAAGACACAAGTAGAGGCTGATTTTAATTGCGTAACCTTTGCAAGTGAACAAATTAGCGATGAACCGATAGTCGACAGAATAGAAAATAAGGTTTGCTTTTTTTTGTTAGATTAAACAAAAATTACTGTTGAAAATCGGTGTACTACGGATAGATCATTTACAGCTAGTTATTAGGCTTATAATAACATAATCAGACAATCACATGGTAAGTTAAAACCGAGGTTAAAACTAAACAGTACAAGGAATGTTGCATTTGGGTCATTGAATGTAACATTCATGCTGCTCTGTCACAACCCTAATCATTTTTTGAGGGTAATGTGGCAATACCAAATACCAGGGCAAATTCCATTAAGTATATTGTGAAATCCTGAACTTCTTGAAGTTACACAGAGCTCCTACGAAACCCTAGGGAACTCGTTCATAATCCCTAGATTGTAATCTGAAAACGGCCTTTTTTCATCCAGTGGTAAAGCTCTTTCAAGAAGATGAATTTATCTATCGCATATAGGGTGTATGTAAATAAATAATGGTGGGGTAGAGGTGGCAAAAAGAAACATTTTTATAAATAACTAAGTGTTGAGATATGCATAACTTTCTTTTTGAAAAGCTATATGTATGTAAAAGTCAGGAGTTTACCTGACAACTAGTTTTTTTTGCTGAGAGGTTGTGTAACCTTTATGAGGCACCCTGTACTTGGGTCATAGTAGTGTGACGTGCGATACTCCATTACTGGCATACTTGCTATTCTTTTCTTTTTGGTCTAGTTCACACTGGTTTATTTAAATTTGTGCTCATTCGGGCTTCGTTTTCCCCAGTTTTATAGATTTGCATGCATGTGCTCACTATCGTGACCCAGTTAACTTCTGACTCGCATTTTGCATTGTTTGTACTACGTTATCCGACGTTAGTCGTATTCTGCATTTTTTAAAGACATTTCTATCTGTCTATTCACAGGGGAGCCCAATCAGGCAGCATTTAGGTATACCAAAGGCCTATTGGTGCAGAGCCTGTTCCTCTCAATAAAGGATAGGACTCTGTTTTGCACAAGTTGCTTCACCCTCTCTGGTTCCAGAGGTTCCAGCTGTCTCCAAGGAGTTGAGCTCTGTGTCTAATCAAGGCGTCACAGTGATCAACCATATGCCGGTAGTTTTATCTGTCTCACCACAGAACTTCCATAATCCCAATGTGATGCAGGTGATACCTGTAAAGACAACAGTGACCTTAATTTGGTTTCTATTCAGTTTTAGAAGCATAGAAGATCCAAAGCCCCTTGCCCAGGGCTTGGAAAAAAAAAAAAAAAAAGCCAACGTGTTTCATTCCTCCGGCATCCCCGACTACAGGGATACCGGAGGCGGGCTGCTCAGGGCTTCCTGGCCCTCTTCAGCCAGAGAACGGGATTGTAAGGATGGGTAAAGTTAGGGATGGGAACGGAAGGAACGGAGTTAGGGTGCTGAGGGGGAGAGTACTGCTCCAGCATTTGCCTAGTAGATTTCAACATAATGCTAGCATTATGCGAAGCTACGTATGTCTGAGGAACAAAACCCCAGACAGAGCAGTCGGCAGCGGGATTCGAACCCACAACCTCCCGAATAGCATCGGTGAGCGCGACCACTGCGCCACGTGCCTCGGTCAGGGCTTGGGTGCCAAACGGCTATCAAATTTCGCTGATTTACTCCCTCCCCCCTTAAATTATTTCCTGAGATGTTGTTTCTCAAAGTAAAATGTCATAACTTTTACATGCGACAACCAATTGGACGTAACCTCATTTTTTAAATAGAACACCCTGTATATTTGAACCTAAAAAGACTTTTTTAAATATATAATGTAATCGCAATAAATAGGGAAAACTACGAAAGCGTAGAACGGACAAGGTAGTTCAAATTATGTAATCCCGAGATATAATGCGGGATTATACTTAATCCCGAAATATAAGTCGGGATTATACTTAATCCCGAGATATAAGTTGGGATTATACTTAATCCCGAGATATAAGTCGGGATTATGCTTAATCCCGAGATATAAGTCGGGATTATAGTAATCTCGAGATATAAGTGAGGATTATACTTAATCCCGAGATTATACTTAAGTATAATCCTCACTTACATCTCGAGATTACGTATAATCCCGACTTATATCTCAAGATTACGTATAATCCTTACATATCTCGGGATTAAGTATAATCCCGACTTATTTCTCGAGATTAAGTATAATCCCGACTTATATCTTGGAATTAAGTATAAGCCCGACTTATATCTCGGGATTAAGTATAAGCCCGACTTATATCTCGGGATTAAGTATAATCCCGACATATCTCGGGATTACGTATAATCCTCACTTACATCTCGAGATTACATATAATCCCGACTTATATCTCGGGATTAAGTATAATCCCGACTTATATCTCGAGATTACGTATAATCCCGACTTATATTTCGGGATTAAGTATAAGCCTGACTTATATCTCGGGATTAAGTATAATCCCAACATATCTCCCCGACATATCTCACATATCTCGGGATTACGTATAATCCTCACTTACATCTCGAGATTACATATAATCCCGACTTATATCTCGGGATTAAGTATAATCCCGACTTTTATCTCGAGATTACGTATAATCCCCACTTATATCTCGGGATTAAGAATAAGCCCGACTTATATCTCGGGATTAAGTATAAGCCCGACTTATATCTCGAGATTAAGTATAAGCCCGACTTATATCTCGAGATTACATATAATCCCGACTTATTTCTCGAGATTAAGTATAATCCCGACTTATATCTGGGGATTAAGTATAATCCTCACTTACATTTCGAGATTACGTATAATCCCGACATATCTTGGGATTAAGTATAATCCCGACTTATATCTCGGGCTTAAGTATAATCCCGAATTTTATCTCGGGATTACATAATTTGAACTACCTTGTCCGTTCTACGCTTTCGTAGAAAACACAAGTGATTAAAAAAAATTAAAAATGCTTAAGAAAGAATAAAACATTTAAGAAAGGTACAAATATTAAAAAAGAAACAATTATACCTATTGAAATTTTTTAATTTTTTGAAAAATCTTATATTGCACTTTAGTGTTATATTTTTGGAAAGCGAATTTAATATGCTCTTTTCCGAATAAAATATACAGAGCGTTCCACAAAAAAAAATTATGTTGGGTCTTGGGTTAGGTCCTATAACTTTTATTACCTGATCCCGTACACTTATTTTAAAACGGCAGATTATTCAACAGTTTTATAAAGAAACTCGTAACATCTTTCTATATCACCTTTAATAAATATAGTTCATTCTGAGATTGACAATTTTTTGATTTTCCTACATACATTTTAAATTGAAATATTTTAATCAAAAACTAACATATTAAGAATCTCTTTTCCAAAATATAACACCACAAAAATTCCATATTGATTCAAATAGATTCAAAAGATTTAAAAAACCGAAAGAATCAAAATTTTTTTGAAATTTTGTTGTATTTATCAATTGTTGACCTTTTTTTAAATGTTTTTTGAGCCCTTTTTGAATATCATCATTAGTGTATTATATTTTTTAAAAGTTAATATGCTATATTTTTAGATTATTAAGCGGCAGAGCAAAGCGATGTAAGCTTTATAGGGAAGTCGGTGGTGTCCGTCTGTCCGTCCGTGAACACCATAACTGTCACACGCTTGGACCGATTCGGTTCAAACTTTGCACAGTTGACATATATACATACCACATGTAACCAGCCTATTGAAAATGGGTCAAATCTAATGATTTATTTATTTTTTAATTTATTTATTATCCCTCTCTTGTTCTGGGTCCTCAACAGGCTTACTGAGTGACCCGCATAATACTTTTTAGAGGTGCCTCTGCAGAAATTACCATTAGTTCAATGGGTGACATAGTTCATGAACTTTAAATAATATTCTCCAGCAAGATGATTCAATCTTATTCACTGTACCCAATTTATAGCATTTGATGATCTATCTGTAGTGTATCTATTTCACAGTCTAGATACATGATTTAATCTATGATGGAGGTGTTTTAATGTGGATGTTTGTTTACAGGATTCAACGGATAATGCTGCACCTGACGAATCAATTAGCACACCAACCGTGCCCAATATTGAAAGTTGTCCACCACCAACATTTACTTTCGATATTACCGAATCATTAGAATTTGACAATTCTGCAGTTACTGAATCGATTAACACTCCAAGTGTTCCGAATATTGAAAGTTGTCCACTGCCAACATTTACTTTTGATCTTCCTGAACCATTAGAATTTGGTATTCCATCACCGGTTGCCGCACCACCGCCCTCATCACAAGAAACAGATTACATAGAAACACCTGTCACTGAATTCGTTAAACCAGAGGCCGAGCTCTATTCCCCTGGTCACGAGTCTTCAAATTGCAGCTCTCCAGAACCTTGTACTCTAAATTACGACGTCATGAACATGCCAGAGCCCGGTGACATTCCCATACCGCAAGAAGTGCATACATGCGCTCCCCCGCCAAACACAGATCTTGCAGAAGAGACACATACCGAATCAGACGTGTTGGATCTTAACAATAGAGGCAAAATATCCTTTAACTTAAATAAGCGCACTCTATTGAAAAATGATGAATTTACAGAAAACAAATCGGTAAAAGATGAGGAGGAAAAATCTCAAGCGTCCGCTGTTGAATCTCAAACGGAAGAAAAACTAGAAGCACCTAAAGTTGTCGAGAGCGAAATTCCGAAGGAAGATAAAGCAGAAAAGGTTAGAGAACGTAAAAGTCGATCAAAAAACAAAGAAGCAAAAGCAAAAGAGACGAAAGAAGAGAAGAAGATAGAGAAGGAAGGATCACCACCGAAGAAAGTTCATAAAGATCGTAAGAACAAAAGTAAGACAAAGGATGAGGATGACGAGGAGAAGAGGAAACAGGAGAAGAAGACAAAGTTGAAGTATGAAACTGAAGAACCACATAAAATAGAAAAAGAAGACAGATCTGAGCGAAAACGAGATAAATATAATGTTACCGAGACCAGCAGGCTGTCTTATGATGATGACTTAGAAAGGCGAAAGGATAAAAAAAGTAAAAATAAGTATGATGACGAGTATTACAGTTCCAAGTACGAGCGTAGCAAATTTGATGTGTATCAAGGTCAAGGTTATGATGATGGGTACCGGAAACGGTACAGGGAGAGTCCTGTTGTTGAGGATGATAAACATCGACGAACGGAGCATGTCGAGAGGTATCGTGAGGTAGAGCCTGATCTATATCATTATTCGAAGTATCCTGTTGAAATCGAGGAGGGCAGGAACAGCAAAAGGTAAGTCACTGATGATCGTTTGCATAGGGTTGTTCTTTCATTCTTAATGCCTCGCCTTAAGTAATTGTGGATGTAAATTGGTACATTACTGCAACTTCTCTTTTTTCTTGGGGTACTTAAACCTTGGCTCAAAAATTATAAGTATTGGAACGCAGGGTCAATAATAATAATAATAATAATAATAATTTTTTTATAGTCTAGGTATGTATATTTCATGATGTACAGGGTGGCCAAATAAGAATGCGAGGTATTGTATCTGGGAACTTGTCCATCGTAGAGGCTTGCGGTAAACAAATTTATTACTAAAACGGCCACGAGAAAAACCTGGAAAATATTTTTAAGTTTCTGAAATGACCGCTAGGGGGCATAACTGCAATCTGGTATCTAAAAAAGTGATTTTTCTGTGAATTCCGCTATATTAACCTAACAAAAAAAATGTCCGGTCTTTGAAGACGACGATAATCTGAACTTTCTTTGTTTGACAATTTTTCCTGTATCTCTAAAAATGAAGTGGTGGGGGTTATTCAAAGGTTTCCGTAAAGAACACCCTGTATCTTCGAAACGACTGAGCCGATTTTAACAAACTCGGGTTAATTGAAAAGAGTTATTCTTCGGCTACAAATATTATAATATTTGAAGTTTTGTTAGTTTCACATATCGCCGTTTGAGGGCTTTTTTCGACATTCCCACAGAAATGGTTAATTTTCTCAAAAAAATTAAATGCGTTGGTTCGATTTTTTTTTCAAGAAAAAGTAGCTAAATGATGCCTAAACAAGCTCGCGAAAACCGCATCTCGATATCTTGTTCCTAACCTAAAATTTAGGCCAAAGAAAATTTTATACCCTCAAAATTTTATTTTTTTAAGATAATTTTTCCGGAATTATTTTTATTATATAATTTGTGGCCCCAAGGTGGATCGATTTAAAAAAGGAAGCTTAATGCCGCCGTAAATGCTCGAAATGCTGGTCATCATGATATAAAAATATATATATATATATATATATATATGTATATATCTATATCTCAAGATATCGAGATGCTGTTTTCGCGAGTTTGTTTAGGCATCATTTAGCTACTTTTTCATGAAAAAAAAATCGAACCAATTCATTTAATTTTTTTGAGAAAATTAACCATTTCTGTCGGAATGTCGAAAAAAGCCCTCAAGCGGTGATATGTGAAACTAACAAAACTTCAAATAGTATATTTGTAGCTGAAGAATAGCTCTTTTGAACTAACCCGAGTTTGTTTAAATTGGCTCAGCCGTTTCGAAGATATAGAGTGTTCTTTACGGAAACCTTTGAATACCCCCCACCACTTCATTTTTAGAGATACAGGAAAAATTGTCAAAGCCCGGGCATTTTTTTGTTAGGTTAATATAGCGGAATTCACAGAAAAATCACTTTTTTAGATTCCAGATTGCAGTTACGCCCCCTAGCGGTCATTTCAGAAACTTAAAAATATTTTCCAGGTTTTTCTCGTGGCCGTTTTAGTAATAAATTTTTTTACCGCAAGCCTCTACGATGGATAGATTCTCAGATACAGTACCTCACATTCTTATTTGGCCACCCTGTACAATGTCATAAACTATAGGTACCATCACAAATCTGTGATCTTGTTAATAATTCCTAATTCTTATATTCTATGAAAAAACATGGAAACCACCGAACTCTCCTTAATAATAATAATAAATTATTATTATATTATTACAATATTTTATTTTATAGTTGATTACTGTCATGTATATTTCATAATATCATAAAATAATAATAATATAATATATTTGCAGAAAAAATGTTTACAATTACATTGAAATACATTTGACGCAAGTATTGTCAATACATTAGAAACCCTTCCCTAAATTCTTACACTGCCTACCAGAATTTTGTACACAATGTACAAAATATTTTGAAAAAATATCTGTTCGAATAGTTTCAATTGCCTTTCCCCTTTAAAAAATAGGACTACCATTTTTTCTTTCTCTTCGTTATTGCAAAAATGTCTATGCGACGTTTTCACGTGTCCCTAGTTGCACCTTGCCACATTTGCACGTACAGGACCAAACAAATTGTCAACTTTCATTTTTTTTCCATAGGTACTATCACGAGAAATCAGTTTACAGACAAGAATACGAATATCCTTATAACAAATACGATTACCCTTCTACGGAATATTATCAGCGGCCAGAGATGTATCCCTCTGAAGAGTATGATCAAAAGGTCCACTATTCTAAAACGCATAAGAATAAATATAAAAGGCATTCTAAGAAACACAAAAGACATCGAGATCGTTCTTCAGATTCTAACGTAAGCTCGTCTGGATCAGAAAAGAATTCCTCCACATCATCATTTAAGACAAATAAACAGACTTCCAAACAGTCTGATTTGTACGACAGTTCAGAGGAGGGGATGACTAATAGGCTGCCAAAAACATCGCTAATGGAGCGGTTACAAGTATTATGTGACACTAAATTAGGTGGTATTAAATTGGAACCGGTTTCTCCAAATCCTAATGACGATGCGCGCAAGTGCTCAAATGTAAATAGTGAGGGTGACAAATCGGGAAGTAAAAACAATAGTGATTCGCGTAAACAACCTACTCGTACTAGTGTTGATAAACAACCGAGTGACAAGGGCGATGAGACAACAAAGCAAAAAGATAATTCGTCTAGTAGAACAGTAGAAGATACTTCATCTGGCACAGCTAATACAAAAAATAGATCTGAAAGTGAGGATGATCTGAAAAATTCTTCCGAAGTGGAAAGTTCGGAATCAAAAAATTATAAGCACCGTCCGTGGAAAAGTCCAGGTGAAAAAAAATTCATGATGGAACATCTCCATCAAAACAACGCAAATGAAGATGGCGTGGAGGTCGATGCAGAACATGATACTCCCACAAATGAGGGGTTACTGAGCAAAGTTCTTACAGTTTCCGGGGAAGTCGATTCTTTGTCAACGGAAAAGCCCGCACAAGTTTCCTGTGCAAAAAATGTAGAGTTGCCAGTAGTAATGCCCGTAGAAAAGGAAACAGTATCAGAAAAACCTAAAATAATAGATAAAATATTGGCGCACGCTGCTACGCAAACTATTATTGGTACAACTGAGCATACCTACTCACAAACGGTGTTGGATACTACGGAGAAATTCACCCAAGCCACCTATGAGGAAGAGAAGAAGAAAGTATCCTCTTTTTCCACTCAAACGGTGGTTAGTACTGTAGCTGCAAGTACCCAAACTCCGATTGCAAAAACTGTAGAGAAGGGGAAATTAATTCAAACAGACCACGTGATTATTGTTGATGTGGCAGAAAATGTAGAAGTAGACGAGAGCATTCCAAAAACATTGCGATGTAAGCAGTTTATCGATCGCATGTATGAGATTGACAAAGAGATTGATCGCCTCGTTAAGTTGCGCCAGAGTTTCTACCATTTATTTCTTAATGTAAGTGATCCAGATCACGAAATTAAAGACCTAAAAGGGATTACTGATAGTCCAAAATCCATTCCAAAGCTGCCAGACTCTAAGACATCAAGGAGCACTCCAACGCCAAGTATTCCCGAACGTAGCACTTCTAAAAAAAGAACCCCACACACGACCAGTGATCGTAAAAATACTCCCGAGCGCAGCTCAAGGTCTCACCACAAACATACTTCTGCAGATACCAAGACAAGTACGCCGGAACCGTCAAAGCAAAAAACGGCGCAGTCTCATAGGGAAAGATCGCGGAAAACAGACTCAAAACCAGTACACATTTCTGATAAGCAGAAAACGTCAAAATCTCAAGAGATTGCAAAAACGGAAAAGAAAGAATCTGTAGAAAGGCTTGAGAAAAAGGAGACGGCTGCGTTACCAAGCGCAAAGGTCCAACACCATGGAAGAGGTCGATTGAAAAAAAGTGCACCTCATGGGTCCAACGAGGAAAAAGTAAAACCGTCACGCGAAGAACCGTCACATTTAGATGAAAAGAAGCAAAAAGTTACAGTTTCGAAAGAAACTGGTCGAAAGAGGAAACTAAAAAATGACGAAACTCCCGACAAAGAAGTGAAACGTTTAAAAAAAATTGAAACAAGTGAAGAAAATGTTGGTGACAAGGAAAGGCGAGCCAAAAAAGTTGAACCTGCTGAAGTTGCTCCGGCTGAGAAAGAAAAATCGGATGAAATTTCTAATAAGGAACAGAAACGTTCTAAGAAGTCAGATCCAGTGGAAGCTACTCCAGTTGAAGAAACTCCGAAAGAAGCAAAACATTCCAAAAAGTCGCCAGACACAATTGAAACTTTCAGCGAGGAAGCTCCTAATAAGGAAAAACGTTCCAAAAAGTCAGACACAGTTGAAAGTAATTCAGTTGAAGAAAGTTCAAATAAAGAAAAACGTTGCAAGAAATCTGACACAGTTGAGGCTAGTTCAGTTGAGGACACTCCCGCTAAGGAAGCGAAACGTTTGAAGAAGCTCGAGGTGATCGAAGCCAATTCGGCTGAGAAGGAAAAAGTTGAGGACACTAAACGTTCCAGGAAAGTTGACGCTTCTGAAGTAGAAAAAGTGGAGGATAATGAAACTAAACGATCGAAGAAATCTGATACGCTTGAAGCTAATCCGATTGTGACAGAGAGTGTTGACGATATTAAGCGTTCTAAGAAATCTGATGTGGTTGAACGTGGTATTGTTGAAGATAAACCTGACGATGCTCCTAATAAAGAGATGAAACGGTCCAAGAAATCTGAGGTTGTTGAAACTATCGAACGGGAGAAAGAAATAGAAGAAATTCAGAATAAGGAAATCAAACTATCTGAAGCAGTTGACGACGTTGAGAAAGCGACCACTCCTAGTGAAGACGTCGAACAGGAGACACACACTGAAAAAGATACTAAACCTGATGACTCTTTGGATACTAAAACGTCTGAGATGGAAGTGACAGACGGAGCGGTGGAAGAGGAAAAGAAGGACGCGGTTATGGACAATACTGAAGCAGAAGAAAAAACCGAGGTTGAAAGCAAAATAAATGGAAGCTTTATGGGAGACATCCCCGATGTAATGGACGATACAAGGGATGAAACATTCGAAGATAGGCCCATTACTCCCGGTGCAACGCTCACGAGCTCGGACCTTGCTTCACCGCCAAAAAAGAAAAAAAGGCGCTTAAGCGGAATGATGGCCCAATATCGGAAGAAGAAGAAAAAATCGAAAAAGTCTAAAAAGAAAGATGAGAAACATTTGGATTCCAGACACGAGTCGCCAGAGCACAGTGCGAGAAACGTTGAAACCGTACGTGTATCCGCACCCAGCAGTGTGAAGATGATAAGGTTTTCAATTGAGCAATTGGAAACAATGAGGAACAGTATACGTAGTAAACATGTTCAGGAGCAACCACTAAGTGACGATTCGTCTGTTTCAAATGAGAATCCTGCTGCAGATGCTGAACACGAAGAGACTAGGGAGTTGAGTGAAGAAGCGGTAGAACCGACAGAGGAAAATGCGTCTGAAACTGACGTGGTTGCAGATGACACAAACACATCTACCTCGTACTCAATGGAGTTTAAAAACTTTACGGGTGCTATTTTAGTTATAAAGGTTGGTAGTAATAGACTGTGTGGATTTAGCAAAAATAGAAGTTTCACTCATTGTAGTAAGTTCAAATTTAATATTTTAAACGTGCATCTTTTACAATACAAGAAAGGCTCATGTCAGGCTAATGGCAGTACCTATCAAGGGTTAACTCCTGGTTTTCCCAATTTTATTAACACAATGATGTGATGATTCTGCATTGCTGTTCTACAAAAGCGTAGGAGATTCATAGTTTTTTTTTTGTTAATTAGCACTAATTGATATCTCTATCATCAATATATCTATTAATTTCAACAAATTGACCTCATAGTACATAGATGCACATCATGGTGAGTTTAAACAATCATTATCTCCAAATAGCCAATAGAAACAAAGGTATGCTTTCGTTGGTTAGTGACGCCTAATTAACCTTTGTTTTTATTGGCCACTTCTTAATGATCTAATGATACTGAACCAATGATTGTATAAACTCACAATCAATTAATGTTAACTGACAGTTAGCAAGTCACAAAGTCCAATTGGCAATAGACTTAAGATCCCTACGCTTTCCTTCTCCTCTGTACTCTGCTGGCGATAATTAACAACTTTTTTACGCAGGTAATTGAAAATACAGTATTAGCGGCATCCGATAAGGGTCAACTTCTCAGTTTCGATATGCTTAACGGAGAGTTGCTGCAAACGGTGGAGATTTCAAGTGTGGCAGTTACATCAATCGTTTCTACATGTCGTAATGATATTACAACAATTTACTTGGGCTCTCTAGATACACGTGTGACAATCTTTAATTTCCAAACCAAAGAGATCGTCAAACAGGAAACTGTCTCAGAGCCCGTTCAGTGTATGGAGTATTCGTGGAATTTTATCTTCATCGGATCAGATCGAGGAACATTGATTCGATTCGATTTAGATGTAAGTGTTTGTTAACGTTAGGGAATGGTAATTTATTTGATAATCTTTCAGACGGAAACTGTGGTGGACCAAACGAAAATATCAAATTTTAATATTCTAATGATGAAGGCTTCAACGGAGGGGCCGCGGAAAATTTTAGTTGTTGCGACTCGTAACTCTCCCGTCAGCATTCGTGACGCCCTCAGTGGTCTGTTATTACGTACAATGGAGACCTCTTTTTCGCCCACGGTCTATACATTATTAATCGACAAAAATTTAATATATTGTGGTACCAGTCAACACGATATTTTAGTTTATACGTTCGAGGTTAGTTTGCATAAGTTGCTTAAGACAATTAAAGGTTTCAACTTTGCTTTGTACAGGATGGTCATCTGGCACGGCAGCACGAAGCGACCAAATCGAAAGGCGTGGTTTGCATGCAAATACTTGGCAATCTCCTTTTTGCCGGTTGCTACAATGGCAACATTTATGTATATAATATAAAAACGAACGCGTATTTAGGTATAATGAGCGGACCCGGTGGTTTAATGTTATCTATGGAAATTGTTGACGATAAGGTAAGTAATTATTTAAAGATTTCAAGTGGAAAATACGTACACAAACAAAAATTCTCACATAATACAATAGGATTCCCCACAATCAAACGTTACAAAATTTGTAACTCCTCCCATTTCTCTGCATTGTAGTCTTTCACCATTGTATTTAATTGGATGTAGTAGTTCCACCCAATGTAAGTTATTATCTTGCTCTTAATGGGAGTCTTCCTACCTAATATGGACAATTACAGCAACTGTGTAAAGGTGGATTCTAGCCTCTGTTCATACGTTCTCGTTTGTCCGTTAGCCAATCAGAAAACAGAATATTTTTAAATCTTTAATGACATATAGCTAGGGGCGTAGTTGTGAGAAGCAATTAAAGGTATACGTCTTTTGAGACAGGAAGTGGGTATATGTATAAATTTTATGATCATGCCCAGAAAAGTGCTTAAAAATGTGCAAAATATTGGGTTGTATAGTTTTAGGTAGACAAAATAATTCATTCATTTAACATGATCTAACACACTAATTTTTCAATTAAGTGGATTTAGTAGTTTGATGGTAACTTGATGGAAGCATAACTACATGTATTCTGATTAAGACTGCAGTGTATCTCGGCTGTTTTTAAAGATAAAGACTTGCGATTTTTGCGACCCTTTACCACATACAGAATCAATCTAGCTACGTTTGTTTCTCAGATACAGGCTGAAAATGAAAAGTTTTTTTTGGGATGTTAACATATCTTTCTACCCATGTAGTAAGACAGAAAAAAGATAAGAACTATCTTAGATATTTTTATGTAGAATCCAGTGGCGTAGTGAAAAAAATTTTTGGACCGCCATTTCTGAGCTTTGATCTAAAGTTGGTCTTTTTTAAATGGAATACCCTATATATCTGAACGTCAACTTTTTGCATTCTTTTTCCTGATTATATTGATGTATCACAACCTAAAAAGTAATCCAGGGCATGATAATAGGGTAGGTTTTTTTCTTTTTGTTCTTTATTTTGGGCAGTTTACATCTTCTTTATTTGATAAGACTTACGGTTGCTGGTTCCTAACTTACAGTGCTTAATAAAAAAATTTTATAGTGAAATTCTAACTTTTACTAACTTGTGGTCATTTTGCTTTCGATATGACAAACGTCTGCTATAATCCAGGGTAGCATGATAGGCTAGGGTTTTTTTTCTTTGTTCTTTATTTAGTGCAGTTTCAAGCTTCTTCAGTTGTTAAGACTTTCAGTTACTAACTTACAGTGCTTAATACAAAATGTCTATAGTGGAATTCACAATGAGATGGTAGTACACAGGCATAGGATAACAGCGTTGCCAATCCTACTGCTATTGTAAGTTTATTACTGTTTGACAAGTATTAAAAATATTTAACTTCACCGTTTTTTATTTCTACTTGCGGCCATTTTGACATCGCCATGGCGCAAACGTCTGCGATGAACTTATAGACTTTGGCAACATTCCCGTACATAAAAAGCATTGCGATAGCTCTGTGACGCTACCATCTGATTGTGAATTCTACTATAGTTGATGCTCAAGGTAAGTAGTTTTAAACCTATCTATTTAATTAGGAATAGAAAGTATATACAGGGTGGTGACTTGCGTAACGCATCATAGGGATTTCAATGTAAAATTCATAACATGCGATTATTGGCTCCCCAAATTATTTTAGAGTAATAATGTATTAAGGTTTTTGGTAGAAAAAATTTTTTTAAGTCATTCAACCGTATTAGTTTTCAATTTTTTGCATAATAAAGACGGAAAATTGGAAAAATAAAAACCCCATCTTTTTCAATAATCTGCGATGCCATGGAATTTTCTAAAACAAAAAGGTATCCAGTTATCAATTAGCAGCAGTTAGAAATGGATTTTACTGTCGACTTGGTTACTGTCTTGCATTTAATGGTGACTTATTCGAACATTTATTGCTAATTGTTATATTAGGAAACCGTTTTTAGTAATTTGGTTTTTCTTTATGTTGAATTCGCTGTTCTAAATATAATACTTTTTGATAGAATTTGATTTGTTTTATAGCAGACATTCCATGGCATGACGGATATTGGCGTAGTTTTTGTTTTAGAAAATTCCATGGCATCACAGATGATTGAAAAAGATGGGGGTTTTATTTTTCCAATTTTCCGTCTTTATTACGTAAAAAATTGAAAACTAGTACGGTTGAATGACGTAAAAAAATTTTTTCTACAAAAAATCTTAATACATTTTTGCTCTAAAATAATTTGGGGTGCCAATAATCGCATGTTATGAATTTTACATTGAAATCCCTATGATGCGTTACGCAAGTCACCACCTTGTATATTTAAAAATATTGAGCAAGAGGGAAAATTAAGATTTCTAATAAAGTAACCTCCTTTCAAATGAAAGACCCTGTATAGGTACATATTTTTCAAGAAATTGAGTTGAGAACATACTCAACAGAAAACATATATCAAAAGAAGACATACAAAGGGATAAGAAATAAATTACTTTATGTATGATTTGTTATAGTTACTACAAATCTGTGCTGTAGAAAAATGTATTTAAAAGTTGTGCACATTACTGTTTCAGATTATCGTTGGAACAAAATCAAGTAATTTCAAGGCGTGGAAGATACCTCCGGAATATTACGAGGAAAAGTGAACACACTGTAAATAGGTGTTTATTTATAATTGTAAAATACTTGTATATATATATTGTACACCTTGGTATAAATTGTGATTATATGTAAAAACTATCGATAGATTTAGTCTTTGGTATACAATATTCGATGTAAAAAAATTTTAGACCAATGTGATTAATTATTACTTTTATTTATTATTAACTTTTTAAGTTTAATTGCTTGTAAATATTTGCAATGTGATCATTGTTCAAATCGATTTAATTTTTTTTATCGCTCATTATTAAAACATTTACCATTTTCGTGCCTTTATTGTGAGAATTTGATTTTATAATTTTCAAACACTTTTGACCAAACCTATTTAGGAATGAGATGGTATCAACTGCCGACCTTTAGCACCTTCTTTTTTTATCATAGAATAATTGCATGTGTTCCATGATCATTGTTATTAGAGAATAATTGTACGGTAGACTGTTAATTTCGTCGTTACGAACAATGTTTATTGTTGTTTTAAGTAGTGAATTTTAATTAATGTAGCACTCGCAGTTTTATAATAAAATTGTCATTGATCAGATATGCTTTTGTTATTATGGGGGTATTGATCCATATTGTTCACATTGCCCAGTGCAGCAGTAAATTTTGTCGTGAAATTTTCCAGTGTATTCTGTATCTTCATATATGTGAAAACAGTGATATACAGGGTGACAATTTGAAAACTTACCACCCCCCATATCTTAGTAAATGAACGAGATATTTAAAAAAATCAATATCCGTTTCGGTAATTCGGAGGGGGAATCTCAATGACATAGTTGGCGACGCACCCCCTCACACCCCCTGCGCCCCAGCCACCCCAACTTTTAAATCTTAAATAGTGACCCCCCATGTGTGATACGTCGTTGGAAAGCTCTGAAAAAATACTTTCCAACCATACCAAATAGCATTACATTTAGGTTAGTAATTATCGTGCAAATCAAAAAATAAACATGGAAAATCGTATTTAACTTGAACTTCCAAAGCCGACTCGACAGCAATTCATTTTTGATCGCCAGTTATAATCTATTCTCAAACTCTTGTCGAACCTTTCCTATGTTGGTTTTGCAATATTTCGACATTCTTGATTTACTCTCTTGTCTTAGTTCGTCTAATGTTCGCCGGTTGCGTTTTAAATACGACAGATTTCAAATGTATCATATTAGCTTATTTTTTGATTTGCACGATAATTACTCACCTAAATATAATGCTATTTGGTATGGTTGGAAAGCATTTTTTCAGAGCTTTCCAACGACGTATCACACATGGGGGGTCACTATTTAAGATTTAAAAGTTGTGGTGGCTGGGGCGCAGGGGGTTGGAGGGGGTGCGTCGCCGCAACTATGTCATTGTGATTCCCCCTCCGAATTACCGAAACGGATTTTGATTTTTTTAAATATCTCGTTTATTTACTAAGATATGGGGGGTGGTAAGTTTTCAAATTGTCACCCTGTATGTCCAATTTACCTGTACAGGGTCGCTATTAAAGATGGAACCAAAGACATGAAAATTAGAACGCTTCCATTTGGTTATTGCACATATTTTGAGGTTGAAAAATTTCAGTAATGTGTTAAAAAAATTCAAGATGGTGGTCGCACTCAAAAACCATGGGTCAAAAAAAATTTTTTTAACCCTAATTTACAGGTCTGGGGTGGATCGCACCCCACAGCCACTTTCAATGTCCATAAGTTTTTTTTCTTTCAATATTTTGGCCTGGGAGCTCGAGTACCTTCCAAGTTTAGTCTTTTCTATCTGGGGTTCGTTCCACCCCACGCCCGTAAACTTGAAAGTTTTAGTGGCCAGTAAACTAGGGTTAACATCAAAATATGCGAAATAATTTCAAATGGGAGCTTTATAAACTTTCATATCTACATCAGAAATGGTTTGAGCGTGAGAGCTTTGGTTCCATCATTAATAGCGACTCTGTACAAGTAAATTGGACATATATCACTGTTTTCATCTATATGAAGATACAGAATACAGTGGAACATGTCACGATAAAATTTACTGCTGCACTTGCCCATTTGAACAATATGAATCAAAGGACAAACTACAGACTCACAAACTCATAAAATAGCGCAACAAAATATAATGCTCGCCAGGAAAGAATGCCGGAACACCTGATCCCAGTCTACAATCGTATGTTTTTCATATTAAACTGTACGATTGTAGACCGGCATCAAGTGTTCTGTGACCGGTATTCTCTCATGGCGAGTCTAAGGGTGTTTGTACACTATGCGACAGCGACGCAATTTATCGCACGCGATATTTCGTTCCGATATCGGGTGAAGTAAAATTACATTTAATAAACGCAAAGCTTGCACACCAATGCGATGTGATAAAATATCGTTGAGACTCACGAGGCAGTCGCAAATAATTGCGGATTTTATCACAAATAAGCACAGAATTGGTTTATTTCATGGGAATGTGTAATTTTAGCTATTGGTCCATTTTTAATTGTTTAATTTCTTTAAATTTTATCATTCATGTAAATTTGTATATTTAAATTATAAGATGTTAAAATTGCGTTATTTAGAATTAAGGAACATTTGGTCGAGTGCATTTTAGTGTTATCTGTTCGGACGCGATAAGCACGTTGTTATCGCGAAAGGTAATTGATTTTCGAGAGGCATGTGTGTTTAGCGCTGATAACAAAGGTTACAGGTGTGGGATTTCTTAAAAAAAATCATTTTAGCGTGGTTGACCTTATGTGGGATCTTGTACTCGCAACTACAGAATAATGCGACAATACAGACACGAACCGCATTGGTGGTGTGGTGAACACTGTGAGAGACTTTCATCCACTTTCCTTGTCTAACGCATAGCATGCTACTGTGGTCACATTTTTGTTCAATGGGCTTAGGTAAGCTACAGACATATGTTTTTTTTTCACTACTAGCGTCTGATGACATGATTATTACCCTTTTTCCACTTGTAAAGTAGGCTTTCTCAGCAGTTGTTCAAAGTGGTTAATAATGTGGTCATTATTAACCAGTAGTCAATAATGAGAACCATCACGCTGTCACTTTTAGAAATCACAACCAAAAATTTCGCTCAATAAACGTCTAAAATGAATATTTGCCTCCATCCGTCATTTCCACATTTCCCCTTAACTAGGTGGGGTTATTTTAACGAAAAATAAATGGATCATGTATTTCATTTGTGTGCAAAATCTGATATATTGAAATTCAATGCTTTTTTTGTTAACAACACCGATTTGTTTGGTTTAAAAATACGTCAATCAGTTGGTCACTTTTTTTTTTCAAAATAACACTTTTTTAAAATAAATATGAAAAATGTTTTTTTATCTGAAAAATTTGTAAAACTTGCAAGATCCGGTTTTGAATGCAAACTCCACGTTTGGTTATCTACATATGGAATAGATAAACATTTACACGTATAACCCAGATAACATAATTTAATGAACAATGATCAAGATAATTTATACAATAATTGAGCGCAAACATTTTTACTTTTTCATAAGTAGTCAATCTGGTTCATTTTTTGTGATAAATTTGTTCACTTAAAAATACCATGTAAAAACTACACAGGATCTGACCTGAGTATAAAGTAGTGTTATAATTCAGAATTTTTTGATTGTTGGAAACAAGGCGGAGGTGTTTGCAAACTATCCATTTTAGCAATTTTTTCCAGTGTAAATAAAATATTTTAATATTGTGAGAACGTGTTTGTCAGTAATGTTCAGTAATTGTTAATATTGTTATAAGATGTGGGCAACTATATAACAAGATACAAAAACAATTTATTTAGAAAAATGTGTGAGTTTTAGTGTAGCTGTAAAAGTAACTCGTTTGAGCGGGCTCTTGTTCATTATGATGAGGTAAGAATTAATTAGCTCCTCCCATCTTCATTTCAATGTAAACAATTATTAATTTCGGTAAATTTTTATGGGTACATAATTAGAAATTGCTTCGTTTTGGATTCCTTCTATTGTTTTGTGCATCTTTTTCTTAACACGATCTTGAGGCACTTTCCATCAAGCATGCAAAAATTGTTTAACGATCTTTTGAAAAGTGCTCAAACCGCAAAATCACGAAATTCGGGTCGTGTTTTGGATCCTTTTCGTGTGCTCTTTTTTTTAGAAGACATTCTGCAATTGTTTCCCTTAGAACAGTAACCTTCTCGACAACGACAATGCCTCGTTGAAAACGCAGGTTCTCGTTTTTGCGCATGCTGCCTATTAATTTTATTTATTTTTTTATTTGAATGTCACAATTATAATAATTGTATAGGTACCTATAAAAACGAGAAGTGGTGTCCGAAACGAGGATAGGTCTCTAATTAAGCAAAACGCCTTTTTTATCGTTTAATTAAAAAGATTCTTATCGATAATAATAATTAAGATTTTTACTTATAGAAATAATTATCAACGCCAACGCTGGAATTCTTCAGGTGTATTTTGGGGCGTATTTCGTCAAAGAAGTTGAGAATATACCTAACTTCCGCAGATTCCTAACTTCCGTACCTTAAGGCACCTAAAAGATTAAATTTCATGACCGTTTAGCTATTAGGCGCCCTCTGTGAAACTTACCGAAGAAACTGAGAAAGACTGGTAAAAATATAAGGCCATGTAACGCGCCGATTATGACCATACCTAAATACATACGGAAATAAAATATCTGGAAAATTGGCGATTTGGCAAACGCCAAAACCGTGATGCCACAAAATTTGGTGAGTGTGATTCCGGACAGCACCTAAAAAAAATCATTTGCGAAACGATTTACATTTGAGTCGATGTGAATTACCGAGCTGCCCATGTTGGCTAAAGCATCCGCTGCTTTATTTACAGATCCTTTACGTTTTGAATGGACGAAGGAATGAACTATGTGCCCGCAGAATTCCACCGATATTCCAACAGCCTACAATGCGCATGAGTGGCTATTGAACGATTTGATTTGGATGTTACTCACCATAACTAAATTTACCAAGGAGACGGCATTAAGGGTAATATTCCAAATGTACATTAGGCCTCCCATGTGGACAATAATCATTAGAACCGTTAAAATTATAGTGAACGAAGCGAATATGTCAAAGATGGAGATGATTAATATCACCACAAATACCGCGAGCAACGAGTATCCCAAGGATGTTAGAACTGTAGGCCATATATCCAAGTATTGTTCGTAAAAAACGTACGTGACACTAAAAATCACTGTTAACTCCCCTCCACTACGTTATTAACGCTCATTACCTATAGGGAAACACTTCAACATCCGTCATATTAATGGTCTCTGTTAAATTTTTTGCAATGATTCGCGAATAGCGCAATGCCTCATAGTAGTCTTTAGACGTTTTTAGCACGGTATGGAATGCCATCACATGCGAAGATATGACTCTAGCTCCATCTTCTTCTAAATAGTAGTTCATTCCCTGAAACAATTCGATTACAAACTCTCCTGGTAGTCATAAACGTTACCTTTGCGTATGCGGCATGTCCACCTTTAGCACACTGCGGTGTCGGATTATCTTGCAGAAAATACGGCAGGTACTTTTTGAAGTATTGATCCCAAGGTATATTGAGAGTGTTTATACTACAAGCTTCACAACCGACAGCCGAATTGGGACAAAACGATCCATTGGTTGGAAAATACTTGCAACACGCTTCAGTCTCGCTCCAATCTTTAAAGTCGTCCAACCACGACGATGGTTGTCGTAACAAGTAGGTGCTAAAGATGGTCATTGTATCATTAGTTTACTTAGGAGAGTACTTACATGTTTGACTGCTTTGACGCCTGGAATAACTGGGTCGGTACCGAGTTCGGATGGCATCCGGGTCCTCCACAGAATAGGTTTTGTACATTTGGATTGGTGTAGTCGACGTTGCCTTTCGTTACCCAGTAAACTGGTGGTCCTATTCCGAGCAATTCTTTAAGATGCTAGAAATAGTGTATTAGATTATTGCGCTGTCTTCTAGTAGGTACCCACCCCGAAATATTTTAAAACATGACTATCCTCGGGCATTGACAATTCTTGATCCAATCCAATTTCAATACTAGGCACGACAATTATACTCAAGCACAAGGTTACTGTAAACACGATGACTACCAAACACCTCACGAAGAACCTACGAAAATACGTTAGCGGAACGTGCTGCACTAGGTATAACAAAATACGAACTTCATAATAACTGGGGTATAGTATTTTGACCAAAAAGTGTATAGCCAGCTTTCGGTATGTGTGAAAACCCTCTTATCTTGCTTAAAGCAGCAAAGGAAGTCCAATCGGTTGTCCTAGAGGCGGAAACTATGCGATTATGTTCGAGATTCGCAAGTCTTACCTCGTATCGTTTATCGTCCAAGTAGAGCAGCGCGACGAATGCGGTGATTTGGAAGACAAAATCAAACGCCAATGCAATTACGGAATAAATGGCGAAAGTGTTCACTGCCGGCATGCTAGAGAGCGCACCAATTCCAAAGCAACATATTTCGGAAAAGCTGGTAAGCAGCATGCTGGGTCCAACTTTTGCCATCGTGAGACCAACTTCCTCTTCAATCGTTAGGTCTTTTTGCCTAAATTCTCGAATGAATCGGAATTCTAGACTAGTGAGTTATACAAACCTTGGTCTTCTCTGATGGGTTTGTACAATGATGAAGATGTTGTCGACACCTACTGCCAGTACTAAAAACGGTATTACTTCGATCGTTAGGAGAGTGGTTGTAATTCCAATATATCCGCAAACACCGAGCGAACAAATTACAGAACACAGTACTATCACGATTCCACCAATTCCCAGTGTAACTTTGCTATCCAACTGCAACGAGTATTTACGTACTCGATACAAATTTCTGGGAGTGGTACTTACGCATAGAGTGGCTACGGAACGAATTCTCCCCAGTGCGATGGTGATGTACGCGAACATTACCAGGTAGCTAATAACTGTCGTGAGGATTTCAGCTTGCGATACACGTAACAGTTCATCCTCGATTGACCTCTCACTGCTAAATGCTATATCTATAAAGTCCGGTCTTTCATCTGCATCCCACTCCTTTAATAATGCGATAAACCTAAAGCCAGAGTTTTTGAGATTGAGTACATTATGTGATTAGGACGTACTTTGCTTCCCATTTAAAGGCGGGCTCCAATTTCTCTTTATTCACCGAGTTATCAACTAAAAACGTGAGAGTAAGCCCAATACCATCAGTGAAATCTGACCGTGTAGCTCCACCGACAGAAGTACCAGGCTCGACTGGTCCTCCATAAGGTGCCAAACATTCAAGACTGTATGGACTCCTGAAATGATCTTCTTGTAATACACAAAGTACAAACCGGCATACAAATTCTTACGTCATGCAACGTACGAGAATCTCCAAATAATCTTCGTGCTTCTCAAAATAGTCGATGTCGTTATTATACAAACCTAATAAAGTCTGGATGGTGCAGTCATTAATGGTTTTGGGTCCTGTGAACGAACTTGCGATTGGACTGAAACATATGTTTTGTAAGCCAGCATTTTCGTCTTGGCCGATCTGCAATGGATGACATAAGTAATGCTCGATCTTTTTATTGGGTCATACCTGCTCGATCTTCTTTTGTAATTTAAATACTTCCATCATGAAAGTTTTATTGAAAGCAGGCCCCATTAGTATCTTCCCACGAACTGATTCATACTCAAACTACGAAAATGTGCATGAGGTACCTACAGTAAACAAGTATATGCTTACAGGTTCGATATTAACCGCTTTAATAAAGATTTGTTCCGTTCGATAAAACGGCGAAAACTCCAAATCGAAGAAATCTTTTTCTTGGCGACTTCTACTTGTCGGCGACGCCCAAATTTCTACTGGATCAGTGGTAACATTTAGGGAAAATGCGCCGTATGTTAACCCAATAACTACCCACGAACACAGGAAAAGTATAACCACCGATTGCCCTGCGACACCTAACGCAAACGCATTAAAAAGTGCTTCGCTAATTGGCGAAAAGCTTACCTTCACCAAGCGACTTAAAGAAGCGCTCCAAGAAGTTAAATGTGCTTACGTCGACCTCCGGTTCCGGCTCTAAATAATCGATTAGGTTAAAATGTAAAGGTTTTCTGGGACATTACCGTCGAGATTATAATCCGGAAATCTTTTGTGAGCAAAAAGGGCAACTATTACAAATAGTGCTGAAAGTGATAACAGGACTATTCCCACTATGAAGGCGTATCCATTTATCCCCAAAATCTCATATCCGACGCCGAGTGGTTCAAACTGGTCGATGGTGCAAGCTTGGGGGCAATCAATACAGCTGCACGACTTGGAGGTTTCCTAAATAAATCAAATTATAGCTCGCCGTTATACATATTAGATATATCCAAGAGCCTGGGAGCTCGCGACATAAAATCTTGGAGTTTTGGCGTAGAGATAAAAGTGGGTAAGGGTGATAGGGTCTACTTACACATTCTATACACTTATACAGTGCTATTTATTAAGAGGTAGACATAGGGATTTACATATATTGTTTTTCCCTATGTCTACTTTTAAATGACAAAATCTTGTCTGAAGGGCGCCTAATTTTATGCATCCAAAATAACTTCTTAAAACAAATAAAAATCTATCTGTCATTATTAATTAATTTGCATCATATTGTTATTTTGACGTCACAGAAAATAAATCTCTTACTTACGCTCTTTGAACTAATACCAACACTATATCAATTGACAATATCAAGTTTTTCTTCAGTTGAATACATCGGAACCGAACGAAAATTGAAATACAGAAGCCAAAGCAACAATATTCAAATTACTTAATCTGACAACCAGACCTTTACTTGTTTTAAGAAGTTATTTTGGTTGCATAAAATTAGGCGCCCTTCAAAAGAGATTTCGGTCATTTAAAAGTAGACATTGCATGTAAATCCCTATGTCTACTTCTTAATAAATAGCGCTGTATATAAGATAATGTAAGATTGGGTTTAGCATGATTTTATTGAAACCTTGCTTAATTGGAGGACATTGATGATTGTACTGTCAAGTGTATTCGGGCGGTGTATTTTTTATGTTAAAAAGGAACAAAGTCGCTTTCTAGAGGGAGCACGAATTAATAGTATATTATATACCAGGGTATAACCCCAAGGGCGTAGGACGTACTGTTGTTAGGTTTAGGGAAAGGTAGCGGCACATTTTTATGAGATCATAAAAGAGTATTAGGGTTTGTTTTAACTATGTTGAAGTAGACCAAAAGTCAGTAAACCAGCATCAAAATTACACCCCTCAAGTTTTCCTTGCAATTTTTTATTTTGGGGTAGGTACCTAAGAGTGTGATCATGTAAACGTACAGATTGATCGCATCTAAGTAGGTAAGCTAAAAAAATTTCTGTGGCTACCACTCGTATGATGCAATATTTTAGTCATAATATGGGAAAACGTCAAAAGTTTGTTGTGACTTTGACACACTTGCGCATGCGCGATTTTTCTTTCTTTTATGTCCAAGAATATGTCTACCAAATTTGTTGTCAATCGGTTCATCCGTTTAGCCGGAACTGAGAGTATACTAGACAGACAGACCGACATCATCGAAATTTTGTTTGATTCGGGGGGGGATCCTCTCTTACTAACGAGCGGGTGGTAACAATTTAAGCGTGGGACCGGACCGTACTTACGTCATACTGCAAGTGACAAGGAACGACTTCCTTGTGAAACTTCCCATCTTCCGAGTCTTTGGGCACTCCCAGAAACCTGATCGGATACGGCGCTAGACTGTTTCCTAATCCAAAGTAGTCAAACCACCTACCAAAAGGCAATGTGAGATCATAAAATTAGATACGGTGGTAACTTTTACCGGTCAGGCGTGCAGTTTTTCTCCCCCCAAGAGCCGCATGTCGTTCCCAGAACCAGATCGCCTGAACTTGGTAAAGCCACGTTGCGGCACGATTTGAATGTGCCTTCCATGTACTCGTTACTTAAGTTGAAGCTCATGCTTGTGATGTAGTTATCTGAAAATCTTCCGATAGCAACATGCCATTTGGGAATTGTACAACTTACATTTTGGGTTAATATTACCGTTCGGTAAAGTGGTAAAGTTAAACATGTACTCGTCTTGATTCGTCGAACATGCCAAGGCGCAGGTGTATGATCTTAAATTTCTAATGCACGTCGGACATCGTTTGTAAACTTCCATAAGTTCAAAGCTTTTTAGAGCGATCTGCGCTTGTTTTATGGTGCAGCATAAAGGTGTTTCTCCTAAAACACGTGGTTTGATTAGTCTCAAGGTGACAGATTCAGCAAGTACTTCAACATTTGGGCCTGAGGCCCAAAAACAAAGTATAGGTAAATACAATTGGCTGATAACAATCTTCTCGACATTAGTAGAAAAAATGTTATATAAAACAAATGAATCAATCCGCATTATATCTGAAGAATTTAATAGCTTTGATCTTATCCAAATAATTTTAATTTTTGAATAGAAAGGAAGTTTCTTACCGGGTTTTGTAGGATCTTTAAAAAGTTCAGGACAGACTTTAACTAAACTTTTCGAGACCTTCTCATAAATGGGATCTGTCGTGTCCAGTAGTTTACCCTCAGTGGTCCAATCACAGTTAAGATGGACACCTTTGGTTTCATCGTAGTGGCACACATCATACATTTTGCATTCGCTGCTCACATTATCAATGTGCAAAAGCACGTATAGTAGAAGGTATAACAATGTCTTCATTTTTAAAAATCAGTAAATTCCAAAACTGCATAAACCCAGCCGACTTACAGCAGACGAAAATTATTAATACTACTCGATCTATAGTGATTTCCTAAAATTTATCTTTGGAAGATGACGATAAAAAAATAATCTAGTAACTGATATTGATTACTGTTTCATACGTAATTCAGGCTCATTTATTACAGGTTAATGATATGAGACACTTACATACAAAGTAGCAATGAATCTTCAAATTTTGACTTCCCGTGCTCCGATTTTTGATACTTGCATTATCTACTTATGTACTAGTTAAATTAGCCTTTCAAGATCAAGCTACCTTAGTATCAGGAAAAGTCTGATCAAAGAATACCTTTGCTTGCCTCATTTTCTTGGACCAGTAGGAATTAGGATTAGGCATAAATGAGTATCTGGGGTTCACCCTGGGGTAATAATAAGCGAATGTAGACCATACAATAGTGCGTGCCCCACTGCCTTCATGGAATTCGTTTCAGGTATGGCAGGGCTAAACTAAGATGGCCCTTACACACTTTTCCCGTAAAACGCCGTTAGATGTTCTATCTCCATTAATATTATAAATTTATTGAATCCAGTTCAATTCAGTGACAATTACGATTAAAACGCGTGATAGTTACCTATATATAAAATGAGATACATATAGTAGGTAAATAAGAATGAAAGTAGTTGCTTATCTCCAAATAAGTACTTCACCGAATTGATTACCTACCATTTTTGGAGTGATAAAAAGTTATGCAATCTCAAGGAAAAATTCCTAAAAAATAAATGTCGTTGTCTTTCTTTATCCTAAAGGCCATTCATTTTTCAATCAAATGCTATGCGATGATAGACCAGTTCAAAAGTTAAATTTGTACAATGAGATACATCATGCTTGATAATCATTATAATTGTTTAAAAAAGGCTCGTTGTCGATAGCTATTATTGTCATGTCGGTTACAATATCTGGAGAACCTCCACTTGAAATATTACATTTATTTATTTCGGAAAATGCTATACCTACGTCGAATCTTTGGATTTTAAATTAGGTGTAAAGTAAAGTATTATAGTTTTATGTTTTGCACTCAGATCATTATACAATCAATTAATTTTGATACACAATTTAATATTAATTTGGCGGCAGATTTTTTTTTTTGGTAAGTTCTTTTTTCCCAGTCTATTTCTGTTTTTATTCCGTGAACTACCATTTCGAAAGTTTATTTTTGTAATGTAATTTATTTCGACTAAATTTCAGAAATTTCACAATCTTCTAATAATAATAATGTTTATACTTATTCGTTTTCAGCAAAAAAAAAAATGTAACAAATTATATCGAAAATGTGTAATAAAATTTACGTTTTTGGTGTAATGTTTGCTTAATTTATGTTTATTGATGTTGATTTACTTGGCCTTGCCTCTGAAGTAACCTTCATGTAAGTTTTGATAATTTTATTTTAATATGTGGAAATTACCGATTCGTTTGATGTATGTACTGACTTGTTGTTTGTTACTAACAATTTTCTCCATGAATGAAGCAATCATGGGGGTGTTAAAAAACTGTAGTCAAAATTGAAGTACGACACCTAATTCCGTGATTTCTTCGACATCCAACGGTAGGTTCGAAACCCCGAAACCAGGGGCGGATTACCCATCTTGCAGGAGCGGGATTACGCTAATCAAAGCTCTTCAGTTTAGAATCTATGTGCGATAACTAATTTCAATAATTTCCACAAAGGTTTTTTGTTATAATTTGCCTACAAGGCCATGTAATTTTCCATCTTGCTTTTAACAAAAGGACTTTATTGCACCAAAGATGAGTCACATCCTGTACTCTTAACCCTTTCTCAGAATTTAGTTACTTGCTCCAACCTGACCCATTGTTCCCAAAAACTTGCTTTTAACCTTGAGTGTAACCAACATTGTATATATGCATTTACTATCTTTGTTAACTACTGCTTAAACTTTTACAAAATATTTTGTTAATTAACTTTTGGACTGTATTAATCAAACTGCGACGTTTTTCTTACGTCGTACTCTTTTTACCCTTAGCAGTTATTTTGGCGGGGGTACGACACCTTTTGGCTTTGCTTGCTTTGTTTATATTAATGTATATCAACTAAATTTCCGGGCTTTCACAATCTTAATAATTTCGATCATTAACAAACTTTTCACAATTTCAGTGTTTTATTTAACGTTCTTTCCCTACTGTGCTTCAGGTCAAAGCGTTGCCTTAGATGTTTGACACGTGCCACTTTTCAAATTTAAGCGGGATCTTGTTTAGTTTTGGAGGGAATAGTCATTTGGGTGGCCATTTTTTAAACGTTGCCGGATTGACTTTATTTCCGTGTTTTTGTAGTGTGAAGTTAGCATAGAACCTGGGGGTTAGGTACACTACACAGGGCTGATTTTATTTTCGTGTTCTTGTAGTTCGAAGGTAGCGTAGAACCTGGGGGTTAAGTACACTACAAATTTATCTGTATTATTATAAGGTTGTAACCATCTCTAACAAAATAACTCTATAGCGCTGTTACCCTCAGTGACAAGGTTTCAATTGCTCACAGCACCCAAAAATAAAAAATTAATTTCATACTCCCACAAAAAGAGTGTCACTTTCTGACTAGATTCGGACAATTAGTAATCGCATCACATGCATTTACAATAAAATTGGCATCTACTGTCCAAGGGGTTATGAGGGTCTGCATTTTTTAGCCAAACCGTCCCCTTCCGTGAAGTTCAACGAATTGTTAGGAAAAATGCAGAGGCTTATTTGGCCTACCATTGAGAGTTTGCATTTCAATACTCACTTTTTTGATAATGTGTGCAATATAGTATATAGTGGATTAGGCCTACTGGGGACACCACTAAAAAAACGCGCCTATAGCTTAACCTCAAAGGTGGTGTGGAATAGAGTATCACGATTATTTGCTGTATTATAGAAACCCTATAATCTATCGTTTGAGCTCCGTCAGATATAGAACCCTACTTTCTAATAACACAAGCTTCCAGGGTTGATTACACCTTCTCATCCCCTTAGGCAGTGGATACGAATTTTATTGTACCTAAGTACATGTGGTTAGTTATTACTACGTGACGGGTAAGTTATTTTGTTTGGAGTGGTTCCAACCAAATCTAATACAGATAAATTTATGGGTCACGTCACGTTAGAATACCTAAATCGTCATGAAATAGCTTGGTTTGTGTGCGTTTCTTATCTGACTGAATTCTCCGGCGGCGCTGGTCGTTTGGGCTAGTTCGACGTGTTGGCTGCAAAGTTCACACGAAAAAACTTGAACACTTCAACGTTGCCATTTTAGAGTTGTATGGTTGGTTGCCTAAGTGCCAGTAAGCTTCATTACTTTTTTGTATGGTACATACTATTTTGGTTGGGGGCTTAATACGCTAGATTTTTGCAATTACGTTACTTTGAATAAATTAAGAGGTACAGTGGCCAAACTACCAAACCAAACAGAAAAGGCTACAGACAGTCCTGTCTCCAAAATTCAGTCAACTTGTAGAAAAACCAGATTTTGCTAGTCTCACATAACACACAATACACCCACAGCCTGCACATGACTTCCACACATCTTTTTGATATTAGTTCCTATTTTAAGGTCTTAATAATACACCATTCTTTCTCGAAACATTTTATGAGGGAAATGGCTATAACATTACTGTAACATTATTAGAAGAAACTAGTCGCCTTTTAAATATTTTTTAATTCTGTAAAAAATTACAAACAGAAAATGACCAGATTTACGAAAGTTGATATCTGATATAAATAATTAAAAATGGAACCACCAAAGATAACAACAAAATAATTTCAAGTACACTATTCTATTAGTTTCTTCGCCTTAAAATACCTTCTCAGGTACAAAACTTGCCACGTCGCTAATCCAAGTAGGCAGGCCATGGAAAATATGGAAAAATATAATACTTTACTATTTGTCGACTCTAAAAACGAGTATAGAAGAAAAGATCACTAATCAAAATATTAGTTACCATTTGTATCACGCATTTCTTCCTCGCGCTTTCGCATAATTGAAAAGTCTTTAACAATCGCTTCGGATAAGTCTTCTAGAATTTTTAATTCTACTTCGATCGGTTTTAGTTTAGCAGCTTCACCAATAGTTTCATAGTTTTTAGCTTCAACACCGTGTTTTATGATAAGGGAAACTTCCTGTGCCAGACCACGTTGCGCTGCAAATGATAGTTCCAGGCAAAAATTCCAATGGAAATAACTTACTTTGTGGTACACGAGATATAAAACAAATCTCGAAATTGTCATAAGTCTCCGTTGAAAAAGAGAATTTCCCTTTCGATATATCTTCGTGCTGTGATAAAATGTGTCCTTTCGAATCTCTAACCTACAATGGGCAAAGCAGTTGTGAAAATTTTATTTCCACGTTTTCCGTGTACATACCACGTAATCTATTTTTTGACCAGGTGCTTCCGATACCTCGTATTCCCCCAAAACTAACACATTCTGTTGCAGTTCTTCTTTTAGACACTTTTGTGAATTTGGTTCTTGTGTCCACATAATACAATTAACAGACACTAGAAATGTTAATACTAAACTAAGGGAATTAAATACGTCCATTTTTCTCTTAATTTAGTTATAACATCGAAGACCACAAATTTATTACGTGTAAGATGTTGATAAAATTGATACAAAATATACGAAAAGCCGCAAGACCGATGAGGTGGCCCAAACTTTTCCAATGTCAAATTGGAACGTTGCCATGCGAGTCATTTTTGATAAAAGTAATTGAATTTTAATTATTTTTCATAAAGTATAACGCAATTTTATAAGATGTGGCAAACGCGCTTTATTAATGTCAACACTACGTTTTTCATACAAGTTCTTTTATTATACAATTATTTTTCATACCTACCAAACGTTAGATGACAATGTTGCCAAGTTTATTAAAGAGTTTGGTACACTAGATCGTATACAGGATGGTCCAGACCATTCATTTTATAACACGGGGGGATTATGGATTCTACAGGCCACATTCTATAAGAAAGTTTTTTCCGGGTCGATCTGAGACAATTTTTTTTCGGGGCTCAAAAAAAGGCAGTGTATAACCTTCCTGTTTTACCAAAAATTGACTACACCAAAATTTCTCTGGAAAACACTTTTTCTTATTAATTTTGGTGCGTAGAATCCAAAACAATTCGTACTTTTTCGATCAGACTTCTCAAACAAAAGTTATAGACTAGAAACCAATTTGGAAAAAAATTCAAAAGGCTGTAACTTTTGAACTAGTAGCCCAATCTTGGAACTGTTTGAAATTATGGATTCTACAGGCCACATTCTATAAGAAAATTTTTTTTTATCCTATACAAGGAGAAACTTACATTTTCTCGCCTGTGTGAGGACGCGAAAGAAGACAATTGCACGCATGGAGCGAGAAAATTCAATTTTGTCGGCTAGGCGAGAAAAAAAATACGCCTTATGTAAGCTAGATGGCGCGGTTGTAATAAAATGTCTAAAGTCACTAGATATAGAAAGTACCGCAATCATCCGCCATTTTTGGGCAAATTTGCTGCCAACTTAAAAAAATTGACAAATAAAATCTGAATAGCTGTCATTTTTTATAACCAACTTCATAGTACTGTCATGTTTTATAAAAATATATACAGATATCTCCAAACAGGTGCAACAATCCCTAACATTAAAGTTACTAGAATCTGGTAACTTCCGCCATTTTTGGGCAAAAGTCATGCGTTCTCTCTCTAACACACGAGCCCAATGGATTGCGGTACTTTCTATATTTAGTGACTTTAAAAATGTCAAAGAAGTTATTTCTTTTTAATTAAATAAGAAACATAAAATCGTCAACACTGATTTAATAATTAAATTTACCCTATGTTCACTTTATTTTACTGAATTCAAGAATTTATTTAATTACAGCGAACCTATACCTATCAATGTTTCGTGAATTTGAATACTTTCCCAATATCACGTGACCAATTCAAACGTTTCAAACTTAAGTCATAATCTCCCATTTACTTTCAATAACGAGCATCTGTGTCAATACATTTAACATCAAGATATACTTTGCACTGTAAGTAGAACACTGCTTATCCGCAATAAGTAGCATTTTAACATACGAGACTACCTCGAAGTTAAAATGTGTCCAGTGTGACTGTAAGGAATGAATAAATGTATTTATAAAACACACATTTTTTTAAAATACAAGATCATCAAGGATTTAAAGTGTGCCCATTGCGCTTTCGTCGCCAAGCATAAATCCAGTCTTAAAAGCATCTCACATTTGACAAGACATGGATACTGCGAAGGATTTAAAATGTAACCGGTGTGATTTTGTCCCTGAAAACACACATTCAATTTTAAAACACATTTGTTAATACACAAGACCAGTAATAATTTCAAATGCGCCTGGTATTAATTACCACCCCTTAAATCCCGTTATTTTCTAAGGAAATAATCACGCGCCAGTGAAATGCCGGAAATGTCAACTCAGTTCGCACATGATCGGTATTCTCCACTTGCACCTCTGCTCTGTTGCACCGTGACTCCCTTCGGTGACTCCGCACTGTGCAATCGCAAGCACGCTAGAATTTGAATTTGCGTTGAACTGTATTATAAGGGAAAGGGGTAAATATACGAGTAAAAAATATACTCGTGGACCCACTTAGATTGCACCGTTTCGTAAAATTTTCGCGTAGTCAGCAGGAAACGTGGAAATAAACAAAACAAACGCGTGCACGTTGACGCGTTAAAGCAAATCTAAATTCAAGCGCTTGCGGTCGGACGTTGTTGAGGGATTAATTTTAAATGTAAGTGTATAGGATAAAAAATATTGTGTGCACCACGGCACGAAAGTTGTTTTCCGGGCCTCAGGAAGTGGCCAGCCTCGGCTGCGCCTCGCCTGGCCATATCTTCCTTCGCCCCGGAAAACAACCACTTTCCCGCCTTGGTACACAAAGTACTATTTCCGGGTCGATCTGAGTAAATTTTTTTTTCGGGCCTCAAAAAAAGGCAGTGTACAACCTTCGTTTTTTTCCAAAAATCGACTACACCAAAATTTCTCTGGAAAACACTTTTTCTTATTAATTTTGGTGCGTAGAATCCAAAACAATTCGTACTTTTTCGATCAGACTTCTCAATCAAAAGTTATAGACTAGAAACCAAACAGGCTAGTTTTGCTTGCACTCTGGATCTCCAATAAGATTGTCTTTTAAAGAAAAATGGTTGACTAATTACTTAATTACTAGACGTTATATGGGAGAAGGCATGGATTATTTTAATAAACCGATACAACGGAATTTCGAAGGATCAGTATTACCATCACTTTTTTAACGACAATTTGGTCATTCAATAGGAATGTCACAAGCCGTTTCTTGGTCAATATTTTCCACAAATTCATCGTTATGGATATTTACATGTGCTGGAAGCGTGACCAAATCGGTGATAATTAAAACAACGCAACGGATTCGGTATATAAGGCCGAACCTTCAAAGGACAAATAGCTGTATTTTTAAATATTCCATTGCGTTTCGTTCTTATTCGCCTAACGTCCGTAACTGCTTGACTTTTCAGGTTGTCCTTAATCTACTTGTAACGTACAATTCAATGAGGATAATAAACAAAGGGGGAGGGGGGGCTTGAAAATTTTTAACAAATAGCCCAGGAATCTTACTAATATTGTTGTTCATTTTACGTAACTCGGCAATAATTGATATTTTAAAAAAATTATAAATTTAACCATTTATTTGGTTGATTGGTTTCTGTGATTACAGCGCATTCGGGCATCATATGGTATTTTTAAAAAAATTGGCATTAAGTTCATATGTCACACACGATGACGTACGTTCTGTTTTGTTGGCTGCGCCGCCTCACCTCGCACACCGAACGAACTATATACTCACCTAGCGGTATGAAATATACTTTATGACCTATTCTAATACCTATCACGTATACAACAAAAATGTTGTAAAAATCGATCATCAGTTATTAAGTAAGTACTCCAAACTTCTTTAAAGTCAACCCCTCCGGTTTTAAGAGTTTAGTGTTTTGTACTCCAAAGTAGTTTCCCTATATCTTGTGACACATAGTCATTACGGAATCAACGAGTTATTGAGTACTTCAATTTTCATGAGAACTTGGACTAAATTAATTATTCACATAAACGCCTTCATTCAATCCTTATGGCTTAATTTATAATTAAACTATTGAATAGTCACCATAGGATCTGTAATATGTAATTAAGAAAATGCTCGGAACAACTAAAGAAGGCGTCCTTTATTTAGCTATTACCCCTAGAAGACGCAAACTTCTTAAAAATGTCTGTAACAATGCTAGTTTTACATACAGGGTGGAATATCGTAGTAATTAGAAAGAATCCTACTTCTTCATTTAGCAATAAAAACAAATCAAAGTTAGAATATAAATCTCTTATTAATTCTACTGTACATTACAGGTATCTTACAATACTGAAAAAATTATTGTACCGTACTTATAATAAAGATCAAAATGCTTCTACGTTAATGTTGCGCACACATTTATCACAATCTCAAGTACAAATGTAAGGTTAGCAAGCTACGTTTAGTAACTGTCCGTCTGTACCCCATTGAAGTAAAGAATGATTACTGACTAATGACCAAACATACGGAATGAAAAATTCTTCTGGCTGCTCTTCTTCAACGTACTTAAACTTTAAGTCGGGGAATTTCTGTAAAAATCCTATAAGTTTAAATTGCGACACTAAGCACTTACAGCTAGTTTTTCCTTGGGCCAGCGCTTTGCGCCTTCCTGTATCACCCCTAACACTTCGTGAAAGTCGACCTCGTGCTCTTCAGATTTAATTGACAGCTGATCGGAGAAATACTCAATGACAATTTCGATATTCTGCACTATATCTTGAAAGGTGGGATTATTCTTGAACGGTTCGAATATGTGCTTCTTGTATAGCAGAGTGTACACCAAATTTGGATTGTTAACAAGCTGATGGACTAGGCACGAGTTAAATATTTCAAGTAGCATTCGCAGCACTTCCTCTAGGACGATCACATCCTCCTCGGAATCATTCGTCATGCTGACGGCGATGTCGTTCGATTTACCCTCGAGTTGTTGCGCAATTTTCCGATACCTCTTCGCTAGTGTTTCGAATAGGGAAACTAGGCGTTGGCTAACGTACGGGTGTAAATCGCGAAACTGTCCGGACATATTTGCTAACGCCGCCAGGCAGTTTGTGTGTAAGTATTTGTCGCGCATTTTCAGCATGTTATATTGAACCGTTCGGATTACTACCAGAACTAGCAAACCACCCAAGGAGATTTCTGGTAAAGATCGCTCAACATACCATGTTACTCCCTTTAATTTCTGCAAATTATTAATGATAACGACCAGTCTATTTGCCGGAAACATGGAGGGGTGTCTCACACTCTCACTGTGTACACTCTTCCTTTTTTGGGAAAGGTCTCATTCTAAATTTTAAAAATCCACGCTTCCTTTTAGGCTAGTCAAAATAGGTGGTCAAGGTAGAAAAAATTAGTAACAAAGTGATCTCTGCGGAAATGAGTACCCAATAGGGTCCTTATTAACCCCTAAAAAATCGCACTTTGCCGCATTGGTGGAACTTGGAAAAAAATGGCCGCCATCTTGATTTTTTTCGAATTTATTAAATATTTCGGAAAGTATACATTATATCAAAAAAACTCAAGAGACTTTTTTTATGGAGAAACAAAAGTTACCTATAATAAAAAAAAGTTTAAGTCTATTGATCAAAAAACAAAAAAGTTATTGAAATTTATATGATTTGTGGAATTATCACATCTGTATCGAGACTTAGATGTATTTCAAGAAATTAATGCAGATATAGCAGTTTTAATTAAATCAGGACTTAAAATTATTTTAAATCTGTACCGGTGTCTAAAGAAGATTCATTATATTAACCACTTACGTCACACACTATACAGGGTGGTGACTTGCGTAACGCATCATAGGGATTTCAATGTAAAATTCATAACATGCGATTATTGGCCCCCCAAATTATTTTAGAGCAAAAATGTATTATTTTTATTATAGGTAACTTTTGATTCTTCATAAAAAAAGTCTCTTGAGTTTTTTTGATATAATGTATACTTTACGAAATATTTAATAAATTCGAAAAAAATCAAGATGGCGGCCATTTTTTTCCAAGTTCCACCAATGCGACAAAGGCCGATTTTTGAGGGGTTAATAAGGACCCTACTGAGTACTCATTTCCGCAGAGATCACTTTGTTACTAATTTTTTCTACCTCACTTGTATAAACCTGCCTAAATTGACCAGCCTATTTATAGTACAAGATCCCACATAAGCTCAACCTTCGCCAAGAAACACCTTGCAAATGGTTGCTAAAAGAATTAAGTCAAGATCAAGACTACCCTTAATTAAAATTAATGTAATGCTTCTGCTTCTCAGAATCTAATCTTGGTGCTCAGGCAATAATACTATTATTTTAAATACAAGGCGGAGTATAAAATAGATAGAAGTGGACCAAGTGATAATGGCTTGGTAACATTTGCTATAGTTTTTGACAATTTCTATAAACGTGTTGTACACCATCAGCAAGTGTGCGACACCCCTGGTGAAATACTTACAGTAGCATGTACACTTTTATTAAACATATCATCTTCACTTAGAATCAGTAGGATTATTAAAGACATGTAGATGTGGTGAGAGTCACAGTTAGGTGCATGATAAAGCGTTTTTAAAATGGGGATTACCTGGAAATAAATTATTAACGTAATTAAGTAAAAAAATCACTTACCAATTGTTCACAGCCCGTCTTATTCAGTACATAATTACGAAATGTAATGTTTCGGTGAAGTAATAAATACAATAATAATGTTGTCGAATCTTGATTCGCCTTTTTACAAATTGTTACATACAGATCGTTATAATTAATTTTAAATAAAGTAGATGCTTTGGTAGGAGCAATCGGACTGTTATCTACAATTAGCCTTTTCAGTATCTCCATCTTACTAACACAGAAATGAGGGGTAAACCGCAGATAAAAATAGATACAATTCTAGTGGAAGTAAGTTATTGTAAAATAGGAGTCGGCCATTTTTAGGGATTTGTGGGGTATAAGGAATTGGTCTCGGGATAATTGGTTTGCTCCCAAATTTGTTTAATTTTTTAGTCGCAGCATTGTTTGAAGTTTTGAAAGAATGCACCAAAGGATAGAAGATTTAATTTTCAGTCCTCTAATTATACATGTATTCGAGTATAACTTCAATATCATTTTCATTTATTTCCCTTATTTTTAAATTATATTGCAGGTATAATAAAATATACTATAAGAAACACGTGTATCATTGGTCTTTGTGCGTGCTTTAGACTTGATAAACACTTATGTCTTAATATACTATTTGCGCTCCTGATTTTTACGTGAAAATGTTTTTGTCACTACTAGCCTATGATGACATATGATTATTAATCTTTTTTTCACTTATAAAGTAGGCTTCCTCGACAGATTTTGAAAGTGGTTAATAATTAGAACGGTGTCACTTTTATACATCACAACCCGAAACTCAGCTCACTAAACGTTTAGGCAGGTTCTCTAGAATGAATCATGAATAAACTATTGGCATGGTCCATGTCTTGACAAATGTTAGATGTCAAGATGTGCTTTAAGATTAGATTTATGTTCGGTAACGAAATCGCACTGGGCACATTTTAAATCCTTGGTGATCTTGTATACTAAGAAATGTGTTTTATAATTAGATTTAGCATTCATTGCATAGTCACATTGGGAGGCTATATCTATGTATATATTGTGTAAACTGCAGGGGGATCTCATTCCTCTATGATGAAATAATGAGGACCATGATAGCGAGCCACCTTGTAGTTGAAATTTACGTGCTGTAAACGTAATTTAGGTTTGGCATTAGTAGTTTCAGGCGGGACATCCTGTACAATGTTTTAATTTATTTGTTTATGGACACAGAATTTGAGGATTTTATTTAATGGTCAGTGTAATGTTTATTTTAGTATAGTAAATTTAGAATTTGTGTCAAGTAATTTAAGGGTTGTATTGTATTTATCGAGTGTCTGAAATTCGGAACGCATCAATAAGGAAACATTTAATTTGAAATTGAAGTAAGAAAGAAGTCTTATCTGGACAAACGTGTATGTAAAAACCGCCATTGGACAAAATAATTGGTCAGGCTTGATAAAATAACACACTATTTTGGACTCCTGCAATACTCGGCTAATATTTTAAATCATTCAGACTTGAATGAAAAAAAAAGCTTAATCGATCAAAAGCCAACACACGAGTGTAAAGTATATTTGTACTTTACAATTAATTAATAATCAATTTAAAACAGCTCCTAAATGGATTGATTAATAACAGTTGACTATTATTTCTCATTCACTTGCGCATTTATCTCATACGAGCTCGCACTTCACTAATAATCACTTCAGCATCGATATTAGAACTGCCCTTAAACACAGTTCACTTTCCTTATGTAGTAAACAAAAAGTTTCTAAAAAATTGCATGAAATTCAATATGCGCATAGCTTTAGCCATATAAAAGACAATTCCAAAAGTTGAGCCTAATCGATCAGCATTCACAGTGCCCTTTGCGCATCTCGACCATTTACAGACCGAATTGCAAACTTTCTTATTTATGAAGGTACTTAAATGAAATTTGATACATAGCCACTTGGAATAAAAGCAAATTTAACGCCAGTTTCAAAATTTGGTTTTGCGCATGCGCAGTGCCAACTTTCATATTTATGGTGGAATTCAAATGAAATTTCATACGTATACACTTTAAATAAAAGCAAAACTAACATCAGGTTTAAAATTTGGTTTTGCACATGCTATAGCCATACACAGGAGCTCGTTTGATATATTTGTTTAATTTATTTTTATTACACTTGCAACCAATGGCGGAATTTGTTTTTTCCATGGCATTCTTGGTGCATGGCCTTTTATAATAAGGAATGAGGTGGAAAAAGGTGTATACAATTTTTATGGCGGTTTACCCCATGCTCAGACTATACCTTCACTATTGGCACATGTAAACAGGCTCTGCCTGTATGGATTCACTTGAGCAGTACAATGATTTGTTAACACTAATATCAAACTCAAACTGAGTGTCGCCAAAGGGACATCGACAAGACTGTTATGCGTATTGTCAACTTCATTGTCCGATTTACGATTAAAAGTGATCATAGACCAAAAGCCAGTCGCCAATCCTTGAAACACACAGATAGTACTTGAGAGAGTAAAATTCATTTTCTACCGTAAACGAGGCCTTGATTTCCGGAATTTGTACCATACACAGGCGGTGCCCTCTTCTGTTCTATGAAATTAAATAGTAAGCTCTTTACTAACAAAGGAGCATGAATTGCATGACGTCCTCTGATGATCAATCTGTAAATATTGCACTGGTCCGCTCTTTTCTGCGCGTGTAAATGAATTGACAGCAACACAAGCAGGCATGTAACGCTCTCTAAATGTACAGCGTAAGTGAAATCTTTCAGGGGAACATCAACCAATATTCCTATCAATGCCCCGACTAACATTTCCAATCTTGAGACATTGCTCGGACAACATTCGATGTGTTCCACGAATTGTTCTTCAGTTATAACATCCGTAAAGTATTTAATTACACATCTGATTATAAATAAAGCGTTAAATGTTTGCCAGCTGAATATGTTACTAAAACATTTAAATTAAAGCTACTGTAACCATGTGAAGCACACATACTCATCCGTATTAGTAGCTGCCAACAGTTCTGATGCTCTGGATAGGAATACCTGAATTAGACAACCCACGTTTCCTGTCTTTAAATTATTTGACAATAACTGTTGGCAAAACGGCTCCACTTTTGTATCTAATGCTAATTGGTCTTCGCTACAAATTATTTACTTTAGTGCCTTGCCAATGTTTACCGGCTTTACCTCGTTTTCGGAAGAGAAATGTTGAAAGCAAGAAACCTGTTCCAAAAGGGATCATTTGGTGTAATTGTCTCAGTACCAATAAATCTTAGAATGTACTCATTTGTACTGAGATCAACTGTTCGACTCAGTGCAGTGCCCATTTTGGTGTAATTAATATCGAGAAATCGTTATTCGGTAGGAACGGAAAAGTAAAATGTAAGCAAAACCATTACAACAAATAAAAGTTTAATTTTCTGCATTTGTTTGCCCTTTCATAACCTGTACACGTCATTTCCACAGTCAGCAAATAAATGGGTCGCATTCTACTGCTTTCCATTTAAGTGCGTGAAGCTCTGGTGCAGTTCGTTCGGAGCAGTTCATTTTGCACAAATTTGAATTAACATCCATTTGAGTGCGTGAAGCTCTGGTGCAGTTCGTTCGGAGCAGCTCATTTTGCAAGTTGTTCATTTTTAACACATTTGAATTGACATTCACAGTACGTAAATAACCACAAAAGTGTTACAAGCCCCAAGCAAAAAGGTGGTGCATGAGGGGACAAGGGAAATCCAATTTCGGGCGCGTCAGAGCTCGAAGCTTTCTTAAAAGGAACACAGGGCATCGTGCACGGTACAGCTTAGAGCTCCTCTTTCACTCAAATGGAAAGCGGTAATTCACAGTGTTTCAGACCCCAAGCAAATAGGTGGTGTATGAGGGAACAAGGGAAATCCAATTTCGGGCGCGTCAGAGCTCGCAGCTTTCTTAAAAGGAACACAGGGCATCGTGCACGTTACAGTTTAGAGTTCCTCTTTCACTCAAATGGAAAGCAGTATCATTGTTATCATTATGTTGCTCAACTGTCAAATGATAGGTGTAGGCTTTGTTTATTAATGTAACGTTTTAAATAAATCATAATTCTTTTACTAGTTCCAATTTGAAACTTCCAAATCCTTCTTACAATTTACTGACGACAGACTGCTCAATATTATACATTCAGAAATTTGAACCCACGCTTTGCAGGTACGGTTTATTGGTTGCATAGTGTCACAATAAAAAAATATTCGCATTTATAATAATTTTTTCGTACTTCCGAGACTAAAGTGACAACTTCACTCCATTATGACAAGTACTGAAGTGTCACTTTTTGTCCCGCCGGGATGAAATTTGGACGAAAATCCCGGAAGGATGAAATTACTAACAAGGCAATTTCGGTAGGTTGTTCCACATTTTGTATGCGGCACTACTTCTTAAACGCATCGTACTGCTGCTCATATAGTTTTTTGGATTTCGGTGGTATCAATTCTTTACCTAATTTGGGTGCTCTTATCAATATCAAATACATCTTTGTCACCCACCACCAAAATTATGACACTAGCAATGAGTTTCCAAATTATTTTTGTTACCATAGCATAGCATAGGGTTTATCCTTTTATTCAAAGGGTTTATCGTACCAACGCAACGTTCCTATGGTAACTTGTAGTTAAGCAGCGATTTAGTTGATTGAAATTAGTGGGCAGCTCTAGTCTGAATAAAACCGAAAATTCGGATTTTTGGCTTTTGAAATTTCTTGAAAATTCTACAACTTGAACGCAGTTCGGAAGTGAAGGTTCTTGGTCATCAAGTCGAACAGTCACCGGCGATAAGGGATGAAAGCGATTACACGTGTACTTTCCAGAAAGCATGATATATATCATGCCTGTTGAATTTTCTAGATGCTAGAGTATTCCCGTAAGCATTAGCATCTTGACGAGCAAAAAGAAGCTTACTGAACGGATGCGCGGGCACATGCCACATCTGGCCCTGTATACCACCCCTACAAAATTTGCAGCCATCAGAGAATAATTAGTATTTTTTGTAAAAATACGTTTTAAAATCTAATTTCACAAAATGACGAATAAAAATCTTTAGAAAAACCGCATCTTATTAGTTTTGTACGATTGATTCGAAAATTATTGCAGTAATTTTTTGCATATTACCATTGTATATACATCCAATGATATTACGCTAGTAAATATCTGAGAAAAACCGCAAGATTTGCATAGACCATTTCTTCCTTCATATAATATTACTTGTGATGTTTCTGTGGATAACTAAATATAAACCGGAAAACTGAAAGAAGAAAAAGGTTATAAGATCTAGCAGCTTTACATTCTCAGTTACTAGGTACTTTTTTTTAGTATGGTTTCCCTTTTATGAAAATTTCAAATAACAACTTTCTAATAAAAGTATTTCTTATAGGTATATATATATGTATAGTACATACATATACTTTAGGTAGGTATATAAAGAGCTGACGGGCCAGCGGACACACGATTTTTTACCATTGTTATTTTGACTGCAAAGTAATTAATGTGGAATAGAGGGGTAGGTACGCAACTAATCTGGACAAGTGACGGAATAATTAAAAAATTCAATATAGAATAAAAATTTATTTTAAAAAAGTGGATTTTTTGTTTATGAAGATGTGCACTCGTATCACAATAGATGTAATTGGTTGAAATGGATTTTTCTTAATGGTATTTACCACCTCCTCCGTGGTGGTGTCCAGCACCTGAACCATGATGGTCATAGCCGCTTCCATGATGATCGTGACCGTAGCTGCCCCCTTGGCCATAGCCACCACCTTGACCATGGCTACCACCCTGACCATAGCCGCTATCCAGGCCATGGCCGCCACCTACGCCATGACCGCCACCCACGCCATGACCGCCACCCACGCCATGGCCGCCACCCACGCCATGGCCGCCACCCACGCCATGGCCGCCACCCTGACCATAGTTGCCACCCTGGCCGTAGCCGCCACCGCCACTATGATGGTCATAGCCTCCGCTGCTGCCGTGGCCGTAGTCAGCCATTACTGCGACAAGGCAAAGTACCAAAACAATCTGTGAAACGAAATTTAACAATTAACATACCTGAGAATAAAAACACAGTTTGAACTTACAAAAACACGCATCCTAAGTGTCTTGGATGATATGGTCGCAGACGAAACAACTAAGCAATTTGTTGTTAACCAGCTCGCGCTTTATCTTTTATACTCCCGTTTCCAATCAGCAAAAAACAAGCCACAAGCTAAAACCGGATTGATTGTTTTTGTCAAATACCCCCCCAGAATTAATGAGTTACGTTTATCAATTTACGTGTTGATAATCCGAGAATTATGACATGACTCCTAAATAATTACAATAATAACAATAATCAACAATTGAAGACTTCTATGTTTTATAAACCTTGAACGTCTATCACTATTTAAGGTCAATAGAAAAAAAACCGAGCCGGGTTTGGTTTTAAACTGTGTACTTCATATGGTCGATTACCTATTGTAAAACTAGGAAAACTCATTGATTATGGTAACCTTTTCCAAGAGAAGATTTGAGGAGGTTATCACTTCTCACAATTTTCATTACCAAGCCGCGCTGTTACGTTTATCTTAAGATGTTTTAATTGGAACGCGCTTTATCTCTGTGTTAATTACTTAATATGTAATAAATATTTTAAAAAATCCATTCAGCAAGTTCAGGTGAACGGATTTTGTTACAATTTATTAAAAAATTAGATTCATGATTTTGCAAAATTTTGGCCCCAGATGTTCTACAGATGGAATTTACCTACATCGAATAAAATTATACGTCTTCCCAAAGTAAACCTTTAAGGGCATAGAACTGGGCTCATCAGACAAATTATTGGGAAAGAAACTAAAAAAGTAAGATTTTTTTGGGCCATTTTTAATTAGGAATTCATTGCAAAACTGCTATGAAAAGCCACTGATAAAAAAAAAATGTTTAGAATCTATAGTTTACAGCGAGCATTGAACCCCTATCGTCAACGTGATTTCGACGTGCCATAGTATCGCACAACTTTTGGCCCCTTAATTCCTTATTATTTATTCCGAATTTGATATGACTATCATAATGCGGCTGACGATTTCTCAGGTGTTTCACAGGGCCTTTTAAAATATAAGCAAACAACAGTTGTCGGATGTAAGTGTAACAGCAACTTTGGGCCCAATTTCCACACCATTGCAGAGAAATGTAAGGTGAATGTTGAGATCTTGAGATAAACAATTTGCTAGTAGAGACAAAAAACTCCGTTTTTCATGTTTATGTTTCAGTCGGGCCACTTTTGTACTACACGAACTTTGTGGGGATTCGCGGTCACTCCATTCTCTGAAACCAGACGACCAAGGTATGTATTTAACTTTTTTTTTCAATATGTAAACTATTTGACGACTGTTATGTACGATCTTACGCGACTTGGATATCAATCTCCGGGGCGTAACGTCGATGCTCGCTCCTTCCCATCGACCCCCGAAATGTGCAACTTAACTTGGAAGGTTCTGCTGGCATGTCTTCAGAAGGTTGACGAACAAAGAAATCAATGGACTATTTTTTAAATTTCACACAATTGCTAAAATTACTCAATCCGTCGAAAGACGAAAATGTCATTGAAAATAAGGTAGGCGGCAAACTGAATGACGTTTGCAGTCTATTTTACGTCACTTTCCGGGTTCAGGAATCAGGCCCAGAGAGCAACTTCGCGCTCACTTCGGCTGTCTGTAATTCAGCTAATAGGTACCTACCCTCTTTTATTCAATTTATTCTTTGAGAATTTGAGAGTAGCATAAAGCCCTGTAGTGACACTACTCTCTGTAGTGATACGTGAATTATACTTTCAATTGTTCAATATTTAATTCATCTTTACTTTTGGAAAAAAGTCGTAGTCTTCAAATAGACGACTCCATCTATCGTTGGAATTTTGACCACGCAGTTTTAGCGCGCGTTGGTTATCTTTCGATTCCAAGATTTTTAATTAAACAGTAAAACGCGCCATTGAATTTTAATTGTCGCGATTCTTAGTGTAGTAATCTTTGGCTAGTGAATTCTGATTTAGGGATTCCGCAATATTTGGTGGAAGGAATTTCGCCTTTAAGTCGGATAGGAGAATATTATAATTGCGTTTTTTTTCTGGCTAATCGTAAGTGTATTTTTTTTCTTTAGGTAGGCTGATATTTTATATACAATTTTCCATTGACGATTGTTGCAAGTTCATCTATAATTAGTCCTTTTTTAATAATAATAATAATAATAATATTTTATTGTGTGTTGTGTTTATACACTTACACTCGTCAACAAATATAGGTACATAAACAATAAAACGGACGTATAGTTACAATCACATTGTGTACCTATATGAACGGAGAAGACTTACAATAACTAACAAACTCGTCGAACGAATAAAAAGCATTACTTAATAGCGTTGTTTAATTTTTAATTTGAATGTAGAGAAAGGTAATGATTGCATATTAGCTGGGAGACAATTAAACAAAAATTGGGACTGATATCGTATACCAAATTGAGATATTGCTAATCTGCAAAGGTCAGTGCGAATATTGTTATATTATTAAAGAAGTATGTACATTTTTGGTTATCAACGCAGAGGGTTACCTGTGATTTTCTTTTAGGGTTTTTGATTTTAGTTCGAATTTAATTGCAAATCCAAGTTTTAAGACCAGTTTCAACACCATTTTATTCCGGATACGTTTTACAACGAATGTGAGTAACCTTGGAGTAAATTCACCATCGGTGCGCGTGAGTATGTAACTTTGTTTACGTAAGTATATCTATATTTATTAACTTGTGTGAAGTGACGAATAAGACCCACGTATGCAGATGCTATTGACAACCCTCTACTTCCTTCTGAAGCGGCTAACCGATTAAGTATCGTACTTGTGAGCTTTCAGTTCATCGCATTCCGGGCTCTGCAGTTTTGGAGTTTTCTTTTGGTGGTAGATGTATGGATCCGGGAACTGAGCTCACTTCTGTGGATAACTTCTTATTAAATTAAGGTAAGCGTCGCCTTATATGTTTTACTTGTATTTGGCACTAAACGTGCGCATTTGTGTTCGTAAGATCAACTATCCTATTGGGGATAACAATAAACCAGAAGTTATTTTGGTACATAATTTGATTTCTACTCGTTTTTATCCCCCCGTATCTTCTTAATTTCATGCGGAGAGAGTTGAGTTGGCAATTGAGTGGCACTCAACCTTTGATAAGTGCACCGAAGTCAAGAAGGCCATTTTACCCAGAACGAACAACCGTTGTGAAAGATTCTCAAGGATTTATTTTGTGTTTTACCTTGTGCTAGTTGGCCGTTTATGCGGCGGGTTTGGGGAAAGCGGCGCCAACTCTACCTATTCCTTATACTTTTTTAAAGCGACAATCTGATGGCTACCGTATGAAAGAATCAAAAATATATTGGCCGAAGATGACGCGAAACGTTTTATTAATGAAGCTAATGATGGCATATATAGCAACGAAGGTAAGGTTTAGTTTATTCTACCTTCACCTTAATAATTCAGCAATAAAAATGTATTTGCAAGATTTTCTCTTGTATTAGTTTACAATGTAATTTTTTTAAATAAATTTTACGCTAAATTAAGGGTTGTAAACTGACATTGGCAGTACAAGTACTGATCAAAATAAAAGCAAATTGAGTAGGTATCTATTACCTATTGTGGTCAAAAAAGCGTGTCGCAAATCGCCCAAAAACTAGTGTGGCAATTACGTTATAACAGTACCAAAATCGAAAAATAATCCTTTTTGTTGTATAAATTTTAAAAATTTCAAGCCTCCATCGGAATACAAATTTTCATCAAAGATCGCACCACCTTTTCGGGGGAGAAATTTGTTTTCTGTGTTTTTTGTGAGTTTATTAAAAAATATTTTTTAAAACAAATAACATGCGGTAGCGTTTAATAACTAAGCAAATTTGATAAATTCAGACAAGCTCATTTTCATTTTCGAATGGAGTCGTAGGCAAATACTTTTTCTTGTGGATTTTGACCTGCAAAATCCAAACCGGTCATATTTTTTAAGATCCATAGGACTACATCAACATGTTACTGGAAAAAAAACGATTTCTGACACCTCAGTGTCCTAGGAAAACGTGGGTGATATTTCGAAGTGGAAATTTGTTAGTTTTTGCGAGCCCCCACGATCGTGAATGGAAAAAATATTTCGTTTTCGAGGAGAGGTAGGTATAAGTATATAATATAACAGGTACCTACTTAACACAATATAAGGGCTAGGAGCTAAACGAAATAATTCGTAAGAGTACCTATATGTACCTACAATGTATTTGGTTGCTGTATCGTATAAACAATCACAATAATTAGCACTCACAATGATTACTTAAGCAGAGATATGCGTTGGGGTTAAGGTCAAAGTTATTTAGAATAAAGACTATCATTTGAAATTTGTTTCCAGAAAAGTTCATCAGTCGATATATTGTATGTGGATCAATGATCAATGTCACAATTACTTATGTAATGCATATACCTACTTAATTTGATCTTCCTTTTATTTTCCAAATTCAAGGTTTTTTTACGATTTTTGTCACGATCGTACTTGTCAAAATACAGAAATGGATTGTGAAATTAACCACCATTTCCAATTCGTTATGGTTCAAACAGGGGGGTACACTGATTAGTTTTTTTTTACATTTCACAATATCTTAGGACGAACTGGTTTACTTTTTCCTCTATCGGGTACCCTATCGCAGATTATCGTCATATTCTCGAAATCGCAACTTTGTTTTGATTACGGGTGTTCCCCGATAAAACCAAAACACGTTTAATAAACAAGGTCTTGCTTATTGATCTAATTCGTGGATACCTTTATGAAATCGTCTCAAGGTCTTATCGTGATATTGGAATTTTTATCTCTTTGTGATTGAAGCTAAAGAGCTGTATGTATACAGTCCAGTTTTTTGAAAACCAATGATTTTTCTAAAATTGCTCGAAATAAAGATATCATATTACTCTGTTGGGAGCAAAAGCCTGATAAGATGGTCATTTAGCAGTAACCCTTTGATGTATGTACCTTACAAAAAAAAATGGGACTATACACAATTAGTACCTCAACACCAATTATGGTCAATCGATTATTAAATCAATCAAGATAATATGTAGCTAATTATTAAAACTAATTCAGTAGAGTGGTTTTTTACGGGTCGAATACTTTTCTGAGATTAACCCCGTATGCTATTATTATTATTATTACACAATTTACATAATTATGGTCATAAATTTTTAAAAAATATGCCCATCAATTTCTAAACTAGCAATTTTTAGCCTTGACCTTCGTGGAGTAAACTTTTACTTATAATACGTAACCACATAATAAATGCATAGATATTATATGAACAATCACGTAAACTATATTAAAAAAGTAAAATGCAAATGTAAACATTTAAGTAACATTTAAAATTGTGTCTAGCACTATTACTTAACCATTTCCAATGGGAGGGTAACTTTTATGGTCCTTTCTAAAACAATGTTTGGTCCTCGAGTGACAGTATTAGGAGATACATCTTGGGATAAGCAGCTGACGTGACAGTGATTCAATTTTAATTTTTTTTTCTCAAAACTGTTATTAAAGAAATACCTTGAATCTTAATAGCGATTATCTCATAGGTTGTTAACAATTATATATAAAAGAGGAGTTGAAGCAGTTTAAATAACAAGTCCGCAAGATGAAGGGTTCATTTCAAGTAAGTAGATATCCTTCCTTCATTTTTTTGTGACAACCAATTCCACTATGAAAACGAATAACAACAATTTCTCGGTAATACAGAAAGAAGAACCACAATGGGAAATCACCTCACATACAAAGATTATGCAATTCATGATGACTAGTTTACTTTTGTTGCAGATATTTTTCTGTATGGTCCTTATCGTACACCAAATGGGTACAGGATATTCACAGTTCCAGGCAGAAAGTCAGTTCGTCCCGACGATAATTCCAAAAGATCCAAATCAAGCGAGGCAATTATTGGGATATAACAAGTACGATCGGTCGGAAGTGCGAAATTCCGACAAAGCTGTTCTGTATGGAAATAACTGGGAACAGTTCGCTAATTAGTATTACCCATTAATATGTACATAAATCTTTAAATTAAAGGAGTAGGTCCTTGTACAATTTTTATTGCACATCTCGCGGCCTTATTGAACAAAAGAGCCTCGAGAAATCTTTACATTAATTATATTTGTTTAGGTTAATTCACTCATTAATAGGAGATCAATTCAATTCTTTGAAAAGTGGTGCTGATGCAAAAAAACGCTAGGTTTGTGGTCTAAAGCTAAACCACTGAAATGAATTTCCTCGAACTATTAAATTTTGATTTATAGAACTAAGACTAATCGTCGAGAGCAAAATACAGTAACATTTTTACTGTAATAAATACGGCTACGGCTGTAACAATCAAAGTATCTCAAAAACTGGATGGTGGAAAGCACCAAAATAAACATTTTTGTACTCCGTGGATTAAATCAACGTATCTACGAAAGTGGCACTTTTTCTCCTGGAGGGAGAAAAATGCGACGCGAGACAAAAAGCATTGACAGTGCACACTAAAATGTCAAACACAATTTAATTATTAATGGGTACGTTTATATGTACATTTTGGTACTTGCGCCACATTTTACACTTAGAAAACCGCGTGTGCAAATGTCAAAAAAAATATTTTTGAACGAACAGGGTGTCCCATTTTTAGGGTGTCAATAAATAACTTTTTTTAATAGATCACTCTGTATATTTTTACATGTTTCGATGTCAATTGTTAACCTCTACATTAAGCGCTATTCACATTTTGATTGTTTGTCAATGTTGCCAACTTATTAATTTTTTTCCGAATAGATAATGATAACATACATTCTACCCATACATTCAATGGTATTTTAATGACAGGTCTCATACATGGTTTTTACAAACTACCTATATAACGATAACCTTCTCGCGCGACTTCTTTTCGAGATGAGTGGTTGACAGACGGACGGGCCCGGAGGGGGGGGGGGCATTCTAATTAAAGGTCTCAATAAAAGGAACTATTCTCTACTAACTACCGTCCTTCTTTCTTACCCCTTATTAAAATAAGGGGGCGAAGGAACTGATATAATCCATCATGGTACTCTAATGAAAGGCTTCAATGAAAGAGTTAATTTCTACCAAATTTCTACCTCGACCCCTCATCGTAATCGGTTATATTTCCTTACATTCAAGAGCGGAATGTCGGAGGAGGGTATTCACACACATTAAAAGCGAATATACCTCGAAAATGGTTTGGTCGTTTGGCGGAGGAGAGTACTCACAAGGGCAAAATGAATCGTTTGAACAAGACTTATATCTGTTGGTTAAGTGGAAGCGAATATTTTGAACACGGCAGAAGGTATTCATAAAGGGCAAGTGCAAGGTCTGAACGAGACACATCTACCGATTATATCAAAACCTGCAGGGCAAATATCTGCAGAACTGAGTGTCGGAGAAGGGTACAGGTACTTTCAATGGACGGAAAGATCATCTCAATGAGGCACTACCGATATGATTATTTCGAAAATGTTGGAGGAAAGTGCCGACAAAGGAAATACAATATTTCGGAAAATTTCTTTAAGAGCTTGTATCTTCCTAATCCGGGACAAACATCACAAAACCTTCCCCATACATTTCATTTATTTGACAAAGGTATAAATAATCAATGGCGACATGTTCCGGCAAATGCCATCATTCGGCTCTAGAAAGTAATGCTTTAGAAAATTTGAGTTCACCTGCAGCGACGAAACTTACAAATTTGTTAAAGCATTACATTCTATTTATGATTATTTATACCTTTGTTTAATAAATGAAATTTATGGGAAAGGTTTTGTGATCTTTGTTGCGGACTATCATTTACCCCATTTCGAGCTTCCCTGAGAGAATGGATACTTACCTACTCAACAAGTTGTATTTTCCTGCATAGTGTAGAGTTTGAATGTATTCCAGGCGACCTTTAAATGTTTATGTGTATTTGTGTAAAGACAAAATTTGACATTTTCAGTTTTTCGGGGATATTTCGGTTAAGTAATATTTTAAGATTTTTCAAAAATGTCAAAAGCGTTTTTTTAGTTACAATACATTTTTGCTTTAAAATAATTTGGGGAGCCAATAATCGCATGTTATGAATTTTTCATTGAAATCCCTATGATGCGTTACGCAAGTCACCACCCTGTATAGTAACTGTAAGAAAGTACATATTAATGCACGGTTCATACAGGGTGGTGACTTGCGTAACGCATCATAGGGATTTCAATGTAAAATTCATAACATGCGATTATTGGCTCCCCAAATTATTTTAGAGCAAAAATGTATTAAAGCTTTTTGTAGAAAAAATGTTTGTACGCCAATCAACCGTATCAGTTTTCAATTTTTTTCATATAGTGAGGGAAAATTGGAAAAATAAAACCCGCATCTTTTTCAATAATCTGCGATGCCATGGAATTTTCTAAAACAAAAAGATATCCAGTTATCAATTAGCAGCAGTTCGAAATGGATTTTATGATCGACTTGATCGAAATATAATACTTTTTGATAGAATTTGATTTGTTTTATAATAGACATTCCATGGCATGACGGATATTGGGGTAGTTTTTGTTTTAGAAAATTCCATGGCATCACAGATTATTAAAAAAGATGGGGGTTTTATTTTTCCAATTTTTCGTCTTTATTATGCAAAAAATTGAAAACTAATACGGTTGATAGACGTAAGAAATTTTTTTCTACAAAAAACCTTAATACATTTTTGCTCTAAAGTAATTTAATAATAACAATAATAATAAGTGACATTTATTATATTACTGGAAGTACATAAGGAAATAAACATAAAATAAACATTCAAATAGATAATAAACTAAATAATTAAAATTACATGAAATGAATGTTCCGTAATCTAACGGGGCGAAGTTCAGTTCTGTGGTGAGACAGTGGAATGAACTTAAAAATATTTATATTGAAAGGGGGAGAGAGATAAATAAATCAGTCGTGGTTCTAAATAAAGAAGAAGAAAAGGAAAAGGGGAAGAAAAATAATCAATTGTTTTGCTCGCGTAGAAGTAAATGAAAATAATTTCGTTTAAATGCGCCTTTTTCTTTTCTTTTTATATACGCAGGAATATTGTTATATACACTTGCTATGTTGTATGAAAAAGATCGCTTAAACATTTGCGTTTTATGTAGTGGAGGGGTAATTAATTTGTAATGTCGACTAAACCTCTCGCCAGGAAAAATTGCCGGTCATAGAACACTTGATCCCGTTCTACAATCTATGTTTTTCTAAAGATGTGAGCGACTTCCGGGATAGTATCGTGTCAATGTTGAACAAAAAGACTTTTCGTTCAACATTGGCACGATCCTATTCCGGAAGTCGCTCGCATCTTTAGAAAAACATAGATCGTAAATCGACACAAGGTGTGCTGTGACCGGCAATCTTTCCTGGCGAGAGTTATATACTATAGTCTGTCTAAAATTGACGTAATTATGAAAAATATAATAATAATATAATAAATAATAATAAAATTGAAGTAATAAATTATAAATTGGTGAAATAGAAATAGTATTTTTGTATGGAAGTGCTTCTCTGTCTCTGTCTATCAAGTATATTTATTACTTCGCGTCAATTTTGGACAGACTATTGAACTGAATTTAATGTTTTCATACAGGTAGGTAGGCATCTTAGTAGAGATGATTTTATGAAATTAGGATGCAGAATGTAATAATCTTCTTTTCGACATATTGAGCCAATCAATTTGGGGAGCCAATAATCGCATGTTATGAATTTTTCATTGAAATCCCTATGATGCGTTACGCAAGTCACCACCCTGTATATAATACATTCCAGCAATTAATGGACTTGGAAAGTAGGTATATGACATTCAAAATTGAATAAAATATTCGTTAACAAGTTGTTGGTGAAATGGCACAAAACATTGCAGTGATGCACATCAGGAACATATTAATGTTTTCTTTTCTTGTTATTTCTTCTGGTATCTATTTATGTTATTATAGGGGACCAAGGAGTTCTACGTAACTGAATGTGTTGTTGGTTTTTAAATTATAGGAATACCAATATTTAAAACTGTAAACTACCTACACAAGAAGCATTCTGCATTGCAAAGTACAGTAATTGATAGAATGTCACTCATATCTTACCGTGGTATTTACCCACACAGCCGGTATTCAATATTTAAGTAAAAAACTCTTTCCCTCTGGGTATGAAAAGTATTATTTTCCTAATTTTGGGGCGGAAAGATGTTATACCTTTCATTACGGTATAGCTTAAGAGTGCCCATAGTATGAGTAATCTTTAAGGGTAGTGAATCTACTACTTCCTCAGTAACGCTTTGGAAATCTTAAAATTTCTACAATCAAAGAGATTTAGTAACCAAAGACGTTTAATTTGTACAAGTACAACAAATTTTTTAAAAACCCGTCGGATTATACCACCAACCTTGCGGAACAGAAAGAGTTCTCTCTCTCTAAGTCATGATCATCTACCATTCGCCTCTCTTGTCGATAACTTGGATTCACTGGTATTATCTCTTCGACCCCTGTTTCCTCTGATAACATAATGTAGAAATGGCAAATTAAGGTCTCTTGGTTTTACCTTGGGGAACTACTGTAACACCGTCACTGTAACTTTTGTAGGTGTCTTCAGCATTGACGATAATCGTAGTTAAAACTGTGCAGATTGCCAAAACCATTACGACAAATGCTTCCAAAGAGACCGTTAGAAATACAACAAGAACGTTTCGGACACATTCACTTTGGCTGAAATTGATTACAAAGTCAATTAAATACAGGACCACCTGAAATTGATCTCCTATTAAAGATCCCCTTTACTATTACCCCACATACGCAACCCGCACACTGAACAACCCGACCCATCGAATTTTTCACTAATTTTGACAAGGAAATGTCATCGCATTTTAACATCCGCTGAAGATTACGCCCGTCTTCTTTGGGCTTTTCTTTTAGAAGGTCGACTGGAAGCTCTTGCTTTTCTTCCATTGTATGTACAACGTTTGTTGGAGGTTTCACTTTGGGCATATCTCTGTAATAATCATCGGCGGTGAATTTGAAATTTTGACTTTAATTTGGCAGAAACAAATGCTGAGAAAAACAATCGATTCATTATTTGCAGTGGTAATTACAATTTCTTTTGAAGTACGCTCAGTGCATCCATTTATGGATGTGCTAAAAGCATAACCCTTCATTTCACACGAACTGTTCTAAAATTAGCGCTAAATAAACAAAAATAAAAAACCTAACGGTTTTCATTTCGATTTTTTCCTTCTTACAAAGTGAATAGTAAAGATTGTATGGAACTTTACTATTAACAACTAGGTACACATTCGCACAATTTTAAAATGTGTTTACGCGACCTTTAACTATATTTTCTCACAAAAATTTTGATTATTTGACACCAATTCTAATTACTAGTACTATGACAATTCTATTACTTGTAAATTACTTTAATCAGTAATGCAAAAAACGTACCATGTATATAGATAACGTCCTAATTACATCAGTAAACATGAGCTATGAATCAATTTTCACAGAAAAATTATTTGTTTACTTAACATCTTGTAAGTATATATAGGAAATTTATTTTCAGTAAGTTTCAGACATTCTTCAAGTTGCAACGAGTGTGCTTCAAGATGAATTTAGAGGTAAGATGAGTTTATATTAAGATTAAGGCAAATGTAAATATGGTATTCGATTTAGCTGTATTTGGTGGTTGGGATTGCCACAGCGATCGCCGGTGTGCCTGTGCCTGAAAAAGAAGAAGTATCTCCCAAAGGAAGAAACTTGGTTATAGTAGAACCATTTTATAACCAGTACGAGTTCATGGATGATGATCCCGAAGCGATCGCCGGGTTTGAAGACGAAAACGAGATTATGTACCCCACTGGAAGCTTGGGCGATCTTGAAGTGGCCGAAAGTAACATTGTGTTTCGTCCATTATTTGCGTATCGAAAACAGATGGCGAAAAGGAGAAGGGTTTACACCCAGCCATCCGTTGCAACCCTTCCATCGCCTCTACCCTCAAGAAGAAAGTACGTCTTCAGATACCCAGTGTTTAAAAGAAATCCTCAGTATGAACATGTTCAGTACGATTACGTGCCGTAAAGTGAGTTTTGGGGTTTTAACTTAAGTACTACAGTTTATTTATTTAAAATGTATTTATTCTGCTATTTTTATTAATAAACAGTTCCGTACAGTGGACCTATGTCTTTTGTAATTACACAATGAAAATTTTACGAAATATTAATAACGATATCAAGGTTTACAACTGACCTGTCATTATTTATCATGTGGCCCGTTGAGTCGCTTTCGATTAACCAACTTACAGAATCTTCTTCCTCCTGCTCGGCAGTGTACATATGGCTGTAGAAACTACAAAGGCCCAGAGCTGGGCAGAATACTTTCAAAAAGTATTTGAATACTAAATAGTAAATACTTTACACAAATCAAAGGTATTTGAATACTAAATACTTTTACGTCCAGCTACAAGCGTAATACTTTAGAATATTCGAGTATACATATGAAAAGTATTCAAATAGTATTAAAAAATAAGTATTCAAATACTTTAGAATGTATTCGAATACTTTCAAAAGTATTCTAATATAATCAAAGGTATTCGAATACTATAAAAAGTATTCCAATACTTTGAAAAGTATTTCATTAACTTACTTTGAAAAGTATTCGAATACAGTAAAAAGTATTCAAATACTTGTCGCTCAAATACATTAAAAATTTAAAATTTAAAATAATATACTAGATAAAAGTCTTAATACTACTTAAAAAATCAAGTTATACTTTGTATGGGGTTAGCTTTTTTATTTTTCCATTGTTATATACAAATTTAAGGGGAGTAAAAGCGTATTATTATTATTATATAGCAGGTACCTACCAGGACCTTTCTTATACCAGTTATATCCTTAAGAATACGTGTACCAGCTTTCAAAGCGTCGTGCACATGATACGTACGCCTTTCTGAAATTAATCCTAGCGATTTTGGAACAGATCCATTTTTGACCATCCGTTTGTCCGTGTGCATGATAGTTTGTTTAGAAACGTGCGATCGCTTTGAAAATTGGTACACATGGTCTTAAGGATATAAGAAAGGTCCCTATTGTTTTTAAGTTACGTAGACTATCGAATCAAAAAGTTTCACTCCAGGATCGTTCGGTATTCAGTTGTATCGGATTTTTATATTTGATTTTGTGACAATGGAAACTTTCCCTAAACATTTCTAAATTGTTCTCAAATATTTGAATAACTTAAAAGTACTGCCTTTTTTTGAGGCCGGAAAAAAAATTGTCTGAGATCGACCGGGAAAAAACATTTTCTTATAGAATGTGGCCTGTAGAATCCATAATTTCAATAACAGTTCCAAGATTGGGCTACTAGTTCAAAAGTTACAGCCCTTTGAATTTTCTTTCGAAATTGGTTTCTAGTCTATAACTTTTGATTGAGAAGTCTGATCGAAAAAGTACGAATTGTTTTGGATTCTACGCACCAAAATTAATAAGAAAAAGTGTTTTCCCGAGAAATTTTGGTGTAGTCGATTTTTGGTAAAAAAGGAAGGCTATACACTGCCTTTTTTTGAGCCCCGAAAAAAAAATTGTCTCAGATTTTTCTTATAGAATGTGGCCTGTAGAATCATAATTTCAAACAGTTCCAAGATTGGGCTACTAGTTCAAAAGTTACAGAATAAATTGGTTTCTAGTCTCTTTTGATTGAGAAGTATTCGAAATACGGTACTTTGCGAAGTATTCGAATACTAAAATATTAATGTGAAAGTATTTTTGAGTTACAAATACAAATACTGTTTCCATAAAAGTATTTAATTACAAAGTATTTGAATAATGGATTTGAATACTAAAAAGTATTTACAAAATCGAATACTGCCCGAGCTCTGCAAAGGCCACTGACTGTTCGTCCTTTTTGACGGTTCCCTCTGCATGGTTTACCTGCCTACCCCTGTAATGCCTTCGGATGTCTCCACACCTGCCACATCTGTGATACTTGCGTCTGGTAGCAGGTCGTTCCTGCTTCTTGGTTCGCTTCCTCGTTGATTAGTGTAACTGCAACTGTTATTGCTGCAACTACTGAAGGCTGTTTGCAGGGCTGGGCATAGGGCATGTATCAAAATACATGTATTTCAAATACAGTATTGATTTGAAATACATTTGTATTTTGTCTAATAAATGGTTTTTATAAAGTATTTTGTATTTAAAATACAAATATATTAGAAAATGTATTTCAAATACTCAAATACGAATAAAGAATTAGAGCTGGCATCATGATTTATAGCGAAAAAGAGAAATCGCTAGCTTCTCTGGATAATTACCTTAACATTAAGAAGTTATTTGTAAGGTACAATACTAGTCTGTCTGTCTGCCGTCTATTTCCTTATGCAGTACATTTCTAACAATTTGTATTAAACAAACAATCTAATTTTTTTAAAGGATTTATCTACTCTCCAAGACGTGGGTCTCTTAAGCGATAGTTAATTGAAAAAGCTGTTTTTTTTAAAGGCATTCATATAACATTATCATTAATTTAACATTTTAAAACGGATTTTCAACTACCCTCATAAGTCTTTCTTTTTGAGGCCTTTTCGGGATCTTGCCAATCTTGGCCTACAGTGCACATTTCACGCTCTGGGGCCGACTGGGAGCGACTTTAGTCTCCTATTCAGAAAGAATGTCTAGGGCTTCTTATTTCGTGTTATGTCAGTTACTGCGATGGCGATACCTTTCTGTGTTACGGATTATACGGAACATTTTATGTACTTACGTTAATTAAGTGGTAAATGTGAATGAATTTTTTTGACGCATCCTATACACTACAATCATGTGTCCATGGAAATAAAGAGTATTATTAATGACCACAGTCACTGTAGACTGACCATTTTCACAAGTACAATAAACCGATACAACGGAATATCGAAGGATCCTCAGTGTTACCATCACTTTTTATAACGACCATTTATTTGAATCTTGCAAGGATCTCGGTGAAATAATAACAATTTTGACGTATTTTGAATTAGATCAATGTACATATGGTCAACAAAACGCATCAAATGCATGTCTTGGGCATTGATATAATGCTTTTAGTTCTTTTCCCAACAATCTTGGCCATGAATAACGATTTTGACACAATAAATAGGTACCTATTTCCTGTTGACCTGTTCCCGATTCACTTTTTCATGAAAATCAATAGCGTCTTACCTTAATATCCAAAGTACCCGTACACAACGATCGACCCCTTTTAAAAAGAGTTATAGCGCACACGGGGAACGGAAAAAAATTAAAGGCTATAAAAAGTATCTGGAGATCTTAAGTAAGAGTTATAGTGAACACAGACGAACGGGCGGACAAAAGGACGGACAACCGTATACTTACAACTATACAGGATCTGAGGATCATTTCCTTCGAAGAAGAATATTTGATATTTTGTCGGGATGAGTTAGATCATTTTAATTTTCTGCTAATATAATACATTCGTCTAAATTTTCATTCGCATGTAATTGACTAACGTTGCTATTAATAAATACCTACCTTCCTAAGTGTAATTAAAACTCACGTACAATTATGTTAGATATCTGTCTACGCAAAAGAATTCTCTTAATTCGCTTATTAATATGCCATCAACATAAAATTAGGTAAATGATAAATTTCTCTTCCTTTAACGCGAACCATTACTCAAAAATTAGAAGAATTTTAATTTATTAATTGATATTCATAACTTGAAATTAATAGCAATGATCGTTTTAAAAGATATTTACATAAAAATTGAAAACTTAGTTTATACTGTCATCATTTAACGAATTTTAGGATGTTTTAAAAACGTATCAAACGGCCTTAGGTTCTTTAGTTAAGTAAATAGGTTTTAACTTGGATTTACTATTAGATCTGCAAACAAAGTCTTTCATTTCCACTACAAATGGTGGAACATCTATAAAGATTGGAATGAATTGATGTAGGTAGGTATCCACCAGGTACCTACAGCATTCGCGTAGTTCTTATTTTTTTGCTTTTTATACCTGGATTGCAGTTCTAGTGTTTTGTTAGCATAAATGCCCATACAGGGCTTTCATTTCAGAACTAACCACCGATTGTATTTTGTCATTCTGTTAAAATTATAAGAACATTTGAAAAGCTTAGGGGATGTTTGTTAGAAGGTTTATCTTAGTTTCGGCATTGATGCGCCCTCGCACCTCCTGCTAACCCTCATACAAGAACAGTCACAAAATCAAATTTGGATAGTGTATATGAATGAAAAAAACTTTGACAAATAGGTACAAAATAAATAAGTGTGACGCATTTTTTATCTCTTGGAAACACCTAGAGTTGTAACAAGTACCCTAAAAAAAAGACGACAGGGTGAAAGTGATTACGATCTGAGAATTGCCATCTAAGTATTTATGAAGATCCTAATTTTTCCAAAAACATCTTTTTCGTCATCCCATACTGTTATTTCAATTTAACTCAACTCATTTGACAAATGAAATATCATTCATAACGGACGGCGTCCGTTAAAAAATAACGGACGCATATGCGGCCGTTAAGAAATAATGCTTTTATTGAAATACAAACAACTACTTATTATAATGAATATGAAAATTAAAGTGACAGTTATTATTGCTAGAAATCTGTAGTCCATCGTTGGAAACTTGAGGACCACTATCACCTGTTGATGTTACACTTGATGAAGAAGCTGTGGCTATGGATGTTGTAATTTCAGAGTTTCCATTGGACCTTTGAAATAGTTGTTTGGTGATTTTTAATCGCTTCGAAACAGAATTTTCAATATACGATTCCGCTACCGCAGATGAATCCCAGCCTCCAAGTTCCTTCACTGCTAGGAGATCGCCGCCATTTTCTGCAAGCATGGTAGCGGATGACCTCCGAAACGAATGGCCCGTGTATAACTCTGGGTTTTTTAATTTTAAGAACTTAGCAATTTTCCTGGGAACCCCCCCAATGGTATGAATGCCCACAACCTGCCTAACACACTTTTCTTTGCGGTAGACAATGAAAAATCGCCGAGTTTCTAAATTTTGAGGACGTTTTTCCGCGTATTTTTGGTATAACTGATACGCATTGAAGGGAAGTCCTTCTTTCGGAATTAGAAACACTCTGCTTTTCTTATTTTTTGTGATCCGCAATGTAACTATTACGTTTTTGTTGGTGTCTTCAAAGTCCTCCACGTTC